GGGGGGGAGAAGGAGGGTTCTATGGTTTTTGTGTGGGGACTTATAGTATATATATGGAGTTTTGTAATTGGGGTTGTTGGATTAGGTGGGGATGGGGGTAGGATAGGTGGTAGAATAGATGGGATAAGGTATATATATATATATTTATTTATATATTTAATATCTTTTCAATCTCTAGGGGTTCTTTCCTTTTTTTTTTCTTCTTCTTCATTCGTAGAATATTTTATATAGTATATATTACGGCATCCCGAATCTACTACTAAACCTGATGACTTAATCGTAAATCGTAAATCGTATATACTCGATTTTAAGGTTATTTTATAGGAAATCACAAGTCGTAAATCGTAAACTGGCTTAGGGTTAGGGTTATATGCCGGCGCTGGAATTAAAGGTAAAACCACTCGATATAAGTGAATAATCTTAGATTTGACTCGAATACTCCTGCCCTCGAATATAACTCGAAGGCTCCTTCAACTCCACCCCTCTTCCCCGCCCCCCTCTATATAAACCCCTCTAATTCCCTTACTACTTAGAGGCGGAGGAGAGAGGAGGAGGGGAGGGGAGGAGGAGAGAGGACAGGTAAGCAGCAAACAATTGTTAGCGTAACACGTGCTAGCCTAGCCTCTTTAGGAAGGTAGTATTAGGGGCTGGGAATAAGCGACACGCACGAAAATATTTCCCCGCTTCTGTCCCCTTTGCTGCCCTATCTCTCTCTCTCTCTTCTAAACAACATACTAGGGTACAACCCTTATACGACAGCGAGGGTATAACAGTGAGGGTACGACAGCGAGGGTGGGCGACAGCGAGGGTGGCGAGTGTACACGCGAAAATTTGAAGGGTGTGAAGTTTGAGCGAGGGTGGGGGTGTGGGGGTATAGGCACAATAGTAGGTAGTAGTAGTAAATATAAGACTTTTACGATTTGTAATTTGCGGTTTGGTCATCTGGTTTGGTAGTAGATTCGGGATGCCGTATATATATACTAGGTAGGTTATCTAGAAGAAATTACCGATTATATAGATAGATATACCTCGGGAATTATCTCTTTTATACCTTTTATATTTCTTTGCCTTACTCTTTTTATTATTTTCTCTTTTTTTCTCTTTTTTTTCTATACCTTCTTTTCTAGTATAATATATTTCCTAAACTCTACTCGGATCTATTATTGCTATTATTATATAATTACTTACCCTTCCTCCCTTCCATTTTCTATACACTAACATCCTACAAGAACCCTAGGCTCTCTATGAGAAAAAAACGTAAAAGATTATAATATCGCTTACCTATATAAGGAAGTCCTAATACTCTGATCGAAGGCTACGGGGATAAAGAATATATATACGGTATACCCATTTATTAAGAACCTCTTTTGTGAGCCGGGAGGATAGTTGAGAGTGGGGGTTTGTGGTTCTTTTCTTTTGATGTTCTTTTTCTCTTCTTTTTCTTTTTCTTCTTGTAATTGGGAGGTAGGTTGAAGGGGGTGAGTTGGGTAAGATGAGGGGGATAGGGATAGGGCAGGAAGGGGGAGAGGGGTGATGCGGTAGACTTTTGCGAGTTGGAGTTGGTGGGAATGGGATTGTAATTTGTAGGACTTGGGACAAGTGACGTTATCGGGACGGAAGTGATATATACAAAGTATGGAGGAGATGGATGGATGATAGGAATCTTCCATGAGGTGGGAGTGAGGATAGGTCCGTATGGTGGATGGGATTTCTAAAAGAATGTTTCGTTTGTGATGTATTAGATGTCTTGCTGGAGATACTTATTCGCATGAAGGTTGAAGGTGGATATTGAGTATATCCACCGCACCTCACCGGAGCCTGAATCGTTCTCCTTTGAGATATTTCGTTATCTGTGTCTCCTAAAGACGTGAGATAGCAGCTTGAGTTCCCTGGGCATTTTTGTGATGACCCTTGATGATTCTTGGAGTGTTTGTCTCTGTCTCATTTTTCTTTTACTCTGAATTGAATTGAGGGAAGGTGGAAGCGTTGTTACTGTAGGTCCTTGGCCGTGGGGTCTGTTCTCACTCCTTCGGTACTTGTGCTGAAGTGTTCAGAAAAAACAGTCCAATGATGATATCAATGACAGGATTGAAGGACGACTCGGAGAAGTACAGGATCGTGTTTGATATGCTTGATGTGTTGGGTCAATTCGTCTCATACTTAGAACAAGTATTCTAAAGATGTACTATGGCTCTTGATCGAGTCGCACAGCGATGCGAGGGTTGGAATGGATAGATCATGTTGTGATACTGTACAAACCCAATCGTCCTCTGCATACCAAGGTAATACTTACCGTTCCGGTGACTTTCTACGTAGGTACAACAAAGCGTGGAGGAGCGGAGGTTATTTTGAGGATCATGTGGTTGATCTATCCTTCGTCTATCAAGGCTGACGTTGACGACATGTTGCAAATGTGTGGTTGTCTACCAGGGGTAGGGGATCTCCCAGCAATCTTTTCGGAAAAGGATATCGTAGCCGCTATCTTTGTGTATGATGACCACTCGGTGGAGTACGAAATGGTCTGATCTATTTTATCGTTAGGCCAGCCGCTAGTCGTTGGCGTTTTGAAGTCATGTATGAAGGTCTTGGTAGTTTTGGAAATAGAGCGAGGGATTGAGAAGGTGGACTGATGGTGTGTTTGATTGAAACATGGGAATGGAATGGGCGGCTGAAGGATCGCTTGCAATGTGACAATGTCACTCTTCTGGAAACAATGGTACCAGTACATCTGCAAGTACCATCAGTAACTTAGTAAGGGAGAAGTGAGGGGATACCGGTTTTCTTGCCCAGACAGATCTGTAGATCCGTGGGCAGTTTGGAAGAGCCAAGTTATCGGGAGCATCAAGCCAATCACTTTGAGCTTGAGGCCGAACTACTTCGAAGTAATCATACTTTTATTGCTGGCAAACCTACTAGTATACTTGGCCAAGAGTGATAGATAAGGGTCCTGCCTGCGTGAACAGTACTCAGCCCGGGTACTGAACATGCAGTACTGTATGCAGTGCCGAAGGAGGTTTGTTTTAAGGTCAAGATTCAAGAAGCAGAGAATTCTTCCGATGAAATCTAGACCTGGCGACCTACCTCGGTACACAGATTCTGAGGATCTTGAGGATCGGCAATGGACTTTGATGAGTACCGGGTACGGCATTTCGGAGAGTTGATATCACAGAAACGCTTTGAAGTCTTGAACTTGAAGGAAGTCGCAACAAGGTTTGCTTCCGAGCCGTTGACATTTGAAGTCAGACTGGTTTGTGAGAAGCTTGACGCCACTAACGAGGGAGCATTGTATACCAAGACATGAGTTTGTCATACTTTGTATCGTCGTCCACCGCAGTCCAACTTCCCTACACCAATTCCAGAGGCCTCAATCTTGAATTGCTGTCAGGACAGAGCATTGCTATCGATGCGTGTCGGCGTAAAGGAATGTCGGCGAGTGTGAGAATGAAAATGGTTGTACTGTATCAACTCCCTGTGCCGAAACAGCCTTCGACACAATTGCTCTTTACCCCTGACCCAGAAACGGAAGCGAGTGGGTTGTTGCGAGCCAATGGAAATTGTGGGAGGGTCGGGGACGTCCAGGGGGCGTGTTTCTTGAGGCTCTTGGCATTGCCGCAGACGCCCTTGGCGCGTTGTGAAAACATGATGACAGGAGAGAAGACGGGAGGCTCGAGCCTCGCGATCCGCCCGTACGGGGGAAGGAAGTAGCAATCGTCTATCCAACAGGCGTTCTAGCTGTGGGGATCCATACGCTGTGGTTGCCGGCGTGTTCAGCGTGTCCAGCGCCTCTGGTACGCACACCTGGCCTCATGATACCCATCATTGGTCCCGATGAGGTCTGTACTCTGTACAGATAGATGTACAGATGTGCAGAGGTCTGTAGAAGTGTGTACGGAGTACACACCCTGTGCCCCAGGCTAGGTTGCCAGCCTGCGCGCTTGTGCCTGTGATGTGCTCTAGCGGCGGTGATAGACGCAGAAGCGAAAGCCACGATTCCTGTTTCGAGCTGCCAGATGGGTCGAACCATTCAACACTGAGAACGAGGCGCCCCGAGGCCAGTGCCAGTGCCAGTGCCTCAAGATGCATGATCCCTCGAATGATGCCACTCAACCACTCCACGGCAATGTTTCCCTCTGTCCAGGTAAAAGCGGGCCCTCTCAGGTACTCGTCCCTCGTGCTGGGCTGGGTACTGGCGACTTCTGGCGCAGCTAAGCAGCATCTGCAACGAAGGGCCTTCACGCCCATGCATGAAGTGAAGAAACGAGCCTCCACCTGCTACCGCTACTACTGCCGCTCACTACCTTTTCCTTGTCGCTCCCCCTTCCTCTTCCCTCCCCCTTCTGCTTGGTACTCCGTACATACGTACGCACTAGTCCTCCCGAAAGCTACCGGCATTCTCTCCTCTCACCCTCTGTTTTGCGTTTTGCTATTTCCTACACGCCACAACCTTTACCCTTCTAATTCCTATAGTTCTGCCAGCAGTCATCGGTGCAGGGCATTGTAGGTATGTTGAACTGCTTCTCTCCTCCTCGGTTTCAATAGCCAATTCTCCTGGCAAGCGGTCATTTGTTTCCTCAGAGCGGTCCTGGCGCATGGCGCAAAGTATCTAACCCGTGTTTGCTGATTCTCTACCCTTTTCTAGGCTTCTCGAACGTCACACTCCTTTTACACTATCTTCGAGACTTTCCTTTGGAACCTTCTGTCATATCAGCAGGACCTGAATGACCCGAACCCCTTTATAATAATATACCCGGCGTTGTAAGAGGAAAGAAAGGACGGAAAAGGAGGTCCAGCAAAAGATCTAGAGCCGACCGCGGCACTCCAAGTCGACCCAGGTCGCAACACATATAACATGTCGGATTATTTGCAGAGGAGTAGTACAGGCTCGATAAAAGTGTCGGAAAGATCAAGATGGCCACCCCTAACGCGAATGTTGATGTCGGGAGAGATGACGGGCCAGCAAGCGAGAGAACTGAACATGAGAGAACGATTCGACAGATGGATGGTTAACGAGGGTTATCGAAGATTGTGCGTAGCGATGGATGTTGTGAGCTGATCTATACTAACTTGCTGCCAGTTTTGTCTTTGTTTTCGCCAACATTCATTTGATGGTATTTGCTTTTGGTTTCATGAATTACCAGATCAAAGACAACTTAACCATTGCCCGAAGTACCTTCGGGCTCACATATCCTATAGCAAGATCCGCCGCATTAGTACTCCATTTCGATGTGGCTATGATTCTTTTCCCCGTATGCAGAACGCTGATCTCCTTGGCTCGACAAACGCCTTTGAACGGTATCATACAGTTTGACAAGAATATTACCTTCCACAAGACCACCGCCTGGTCCATCGTTTTCTTCTCCTGGCTACACACCATCGCACATTGGAACAATTTCGCTCAGATCTCAGCAAAGAACAACTTAGGTATTGGTGGATGGCTCTTGGCCAACTTCGTCTCTGGCCCAGGATGGTCTGGATATGTGATGTTGATCGCTTTAATGTGCATGGTTTTAACTTCGGTCGAAAAGGCTCGTCGTGCCAATTTCGAGCGATTCTGGTACACTCACCACATGTTCGTCATCTTCTTCGTCTTCTGGTCCGTCCACGGAGCCTTTTGTATGATTCAACCTGATTTCGCCCCTTACTGTGTCAACATTGGTACGACCGCTATTGGAGTTTTCTGGCAATACTGGATGTATGGTGGTTACATTTACCTGATGGAGAGAATCGCAAGAGAAATTCGCGGAAAGCACAAGACTTACATTTCCAAGGTTGTTCAACATCCAAGTAACGTTTGCGAAATTCAAATCAAAAAGGAAAACACCAAGACCAGAGCCGGGCAGTACATTTTCTTCTGTTGTCCTGAGGTATCTGTTTGGCAATATCACCCGTTCACGCTCACCTCTGCACCTGAGGAGGATTATATTTCTATTCACATGAGAATGGTTGGAGATTTCACTAGAAACGTTGGAAGGACTCTTGGATGTGAATTTGACAAGCCAAAGGGAGAGAAGAAGGACGCATCGCAAGTTATTGGTGTTAATGCAAACGCACCTGGAACCGAAGGTGTTGACCCAGCTATCCGAAGAGTTTTACCTCGAGTATATATTGATGGACCATTCGGCTCCGCCTCCGAAGATGTGTTCAAGTATGAGATTGCTATGCTTTGTGGTGCTGGTATTGGTGTCACTCCATTCGCCTCCATCCTCAAATCCATCTGGTACCGAATGAACTACCCACAAAAGAAGACTCGTCTCACAAAGGTCTATTTCTTCTGGATTTGCCGTGATTTCGGTTCTTTCGAATGGTTCAGATCGCTCCTCCTCGCTATCGAAGCTCAAGATATGGACAACCACATTGAAATTCACACCTACCTTACCGCTCGAATCAAGGTCGATGATGCGACCAACATCATGATTAACGATGCCAACGCCGATCGCGATGCCATTACTGGTCTCCGAGCCCCTACCAACTTTGGACGTCCCAACTGGGATGCCATTTTCAAGAGTGTGCGCAAGATTCATAGTCCAGCGGAAGCGGGTGTTTTCTTTTGTGGACCCAAGGTTTTGGGTAGTGTATTACATATCAAATGTAACATGTATAGTGATCCAGGTATGCTTCTCTCTCTGTCTCATCCCCCTAGAAATCATAAGCTAACCATGCATCTAGACTTTTCCTTTGCTTGGGGTAAAGAGAATTTCTAAGTTGTATATTTGGGGCTTATCTTCTTTTTCTTTTTAAAATGAGCGGGTGATAGGAGGGGCTTATTTGGAAGGGGAGCGGGGGAAGATATTGTGGATTGGTGTTTCCCGTTGTGGTTGTTAAGATTGATGATGAATATACATATATACATATTTTGTGAAGGGAAAGGTGTTTTTTTTATTTTACCCATCTTTTCCTTTTTAGCGCAGGGCGCGAGTGTTTATTTACTTATTTATTGTCTGGCTATATGTCAATTGCTCACTTATCCGGGGGGCTTTAAACCTTCTCCTATTTTCTCCTTTTTACCTTTTACTTTCTTCCCCCATTTTTTTTTCTTCTTTTCGCGCTAGCGTATTGTGGCGTTGAATGTACTTGTTCGATGTGGATATGGATCGGTCTATCTGTATGGTGAGTGGTGAGGGAGTGGATCTGGACCTGGATTTGTATATATGATCCATTGGGTTCGAACAATCTTTCTCTCTCCTTCTCTCCTTCTTTCCTCTTTCTTGCCCTTCCTCTTCCTCTCCTTTCCTCTTCCTCTCCTTTCCTCTTTCTTGCCCTTCCCTTTCTTCTTTCTTAGCTCCTTATCCGGGGGTAATCCTTCCTAATCCTTCCTTGTCCCTCTTTTTCTTTTTTTTTCCCCTTTCCTTTTTGTTATTCCAAGTACTATAACTCCGCTCTTGAGGGTCTGCGAGGTTCGTGCGGGGTTTTTGTGATAGGAGGAAGAGGGGGCACGGGGAGGGGATACGGAAAGTGTTCTTGTCTTGTCTTGGGTTCTTTGATCTGAATTGTTGTGCGGTGAGATTAGGTGCTGTTGGTAGCTGCTGTTGGTAGGTGCTGTAGGTGGGTGTGAGTAGAGGTAGAGGGATGGGATGAGATGGGTTAGAGGAACTTTGGGGTGTGGATTTGGAGGTTGGGTGGTTAGATTTGTAAGGTTATCTATACGTGTTAATTGGTTTAGGTTGGGTTGTATTTTAAGGTAGGACCTAATAGATGTTTAGGAGGAATGGGGTGTGAGTTGAATGGTGGGTATGTGTGGAGGTATGTATATAAGTACTTATAACGAGTTAGAGGTCAAAGGTTCAAGGTTAGAGGTTAAAGGTTGAAGCGAGGTCTAGTCCTCTTAGAAACTAGAAGAAGAAGAAAGGGAGAAGAGAAAGGGGAGCGAATATTTAATCGCGCTATTTATATCTTATAACCTATTATCTAGGAGTGATTAAGCTAATACTATATAATACTAATAAAAATTCGGGGTATAAGTAAAGTAAGACTACCTGGGCGTATAGTAATATAGGAAGTCGAGCTAACTTATTCTATATTATCTAAATAGCTTATAAGTAACGATTAGTAAATCGGACTCGATTCTATAGAATCTTAGAATTCTTTTACATAGAATCCCTTTAAAGCCTCTCCTAAATAGAATAGAATATTCTATCGAAAAGACTTTGGAATTGTAGGTTCTATATAATTCTATAAGGGGATTCTAGAATAAAGAGGAATTCCAGTTACCGAACGTTGCTTGTAGGTTATTCGAGGACTTAGTAAGCTATGTTAAATAGTAACTTTTACTACTCGAGTTAAGTTAAGTAAAGATTACTATCTAGCTTACTTACTCGAGCTTATCACGCTAACGTTATTATTAATAGAGAATAGAATCCGTTGGGGGTATATTTATCTATTCATTTATTATTCTCCTTGTAAATGGTTCTAGCATGTGTATTGGTAAAGGGCTGTAAGGGTTCGCAATAGAGGTTCGTGTTAGAGCTTTATGTCGTACCCACAGGTTTTTGGGAATGGGAGGTTGTAAGAGTGAGTGGATTCCGTATGGTTTGGTGTTACAAAGGCTCGCTCGCCGTCATATCGACTCAATTGGCTTCATGTCATACTTTGGTAGTATTATACTACGTAATACTCAAGAACGGGTAGAGTAGTGGTAATTACCTATACGTGGGTGGAAAGATAGATGATTATATGTGCTTGTCTCTAATTAGTTTGAATTTTGCGATGCTTGGTTATAGAAAGGTTATAAGTTTTACTAATATAAGGAACTAGGATTTATATTAAGCCATGGAATTAGATTTTTCTCTATGTATATATACTCTTTTACCTATAAAGGTAAGAGAAATAGTATCTTATTATAGAATTAACTAATAATCCGTAAAACGTATCGGTTCTTCTTTAATATATATACTTCGTTAGTTCGTTAGTACTAACTTAGAGTCGTAAAATTCTAGCTGAGCTACTCTAGCCGGTCCGGTTATCTTCCCTTTTCTTATGCAACGTAGTGTTTGTAATTGTTGGAACGATAGAACTTTTAGTATATTTGGTCTAAGCTAATAAGCTGATAGATTTACTATAAGTAGATCTTGGGACTCGGAGATAGTTTCTTATACTTTAGGAGCTAGGGAGGAAGAGCTATTATGTCCGGGTTATAGAAATTGCTAGTTGTAAGCGACATGTATGTATCCGATGAGCTGGCGCTCTGTGGAGATTCTACGCGCGACAATAGGCTTTTGGTTCCAATTATATAGATAAATTACGGTTATTAACTTAATAGATCTTTTGTTGGATTACTTAGATTTTCATAGAAGTTTTTCTAAATCGTCGAAATAGATTTACATTCCTCTAGCTAGGTATTGAGAATAATGATAGTAGTTTCCTGCCAGTTGTATTGTTCACAACATGATTGGTTGCTTTTGAATGGATCGGATATTTGCACCATCGACGCCACAGCACTGAGCTTATTGGCGTAGCGAGTAGAGCCGCAGTATGACTGCAGTTTTACTGTAGTACAACCATGCTATCAGCCGTCCTGCCACGACCGTAAGAATGCTTGTTTGCCACCATAAACGTATCATCGTGATTCATAACACTCCACGCGCCACTCATCCTCTCTCACTTTGCAATCAATTGCTCTTCTCAGTTCTGCGTCCAATTTCCTTTCCTCCCAGGGCTTTTCGGAGTGTCGGCGGTTATACTGTCCGTTGCTGGAGGCATGGAAGGATGTTGTGTGACCCGAGTTTTGTAGATGGATGCTGGATTGATTACAAATGATCGATTGCAGTACCGGTAGTTTACGCTACCTCAAAGTAGGAAATGGTGTTTTCGAATCAAAGTCCTGAATTGGAGGAGTCTGTACGGTACATCCAGAATACCGCTTGTGGAGTATGGTCCGCGAGGTGCATCGTGATGTTGTATTGAAGTCCATGGAAGATTCGGACGTTTAAATATTGTAACGCCACAAGCGTTTGCTGACGGCGATCTGGTGAGGGTATTATTGCGTTGCGTTGGGGATTCGTCATGAAAGGGCGTGCTTATATATCGAGGGTGCAGGAATCCGTCGATTCGGTGGATTTAAGAGGATCTTGGGGCTTGATGATTTCGGGGGAATTGGGAGAAAACTGCAAAGATGTGGTCGAGAAGAAGAAAACGTTGGTTATTACCTCCGTTTCTATTAATGAAATGTACTGGACGTACTTGGTTATCATATACTTATCAAATTTACTAGGGCACAATCTCGATCGTTTCAAGTGGTAGTAACAGTCACCAGGAAATGAGTGGACCAGCTCCTCAGAAGGTTAAGTAAGCTTAACTTGAGATAAGACAGCCTTAAATCTCGAGTAACTCTAGACCGGGACTTGCTTACGACGATCATTTGTGGAGATACTACAACGGCTGCATCAAATCCGTTGCCTTACCACTGAGCTCGCTTAGCCTAAACTTCGCCGCTGGTGGGGTAAAAGAGAGAATGTGACTATGGTGCTGTGATGGTTGCATACTTACGATGCTGATTTCACAGTGCTTACTCTTGTTTCAGAAGCTTATTTCCTGGTGGCATTTACGTCAAAAAGTTGTAGAGTATATGAGATATCGTGAGTGAGAATGATGGTACGGGTAGTGTGAACGAATCATTCCTGGGGTCCTAAGATTGTTTTGATGTATCGTATTTCTTCGGTGTCATTATGTTGACCGAGGCTATCATTAATAATTGTCTCTTATGGGTTGCATTGAACGTTCTTTCTGCGCGTGCCAAGTGGATATCAAGGCTTTGAGGGCTGCTGGACCCACTCACTTCTTTGGATGGAAAAACTCATGATCGAGAGGCGGGGGGGGGGCTCTTTCTGACTTTACGTGCGTGATTCGAATGTCCGTAGGGATATACCGGCGATGAATCTTGGATTGGATATCATTGGCACCCTTGGTCGCACTTGATTCGTCATGATTGAAGGGTATGAAATGGACTACTGCAACCATTAGTCGTTATTATAGGAGCATTGTGTCAGGATTATATCAGACAGAAACGATTGAAGGCGGGGTCGTGCATGCCGAGGAGTGATTTGAAAGATGTATCGATAAGATGGATGGCCTTTTCCGTTATATATCGTTGATCGTCCACTTCTAGAGTTTGGGAAACTGTCTTAACATTTGCTAAGTCATAAACCACCTTCAAGATGGATTCTTTTGCAACATTCTCGCTAGCAAAAACTCAAATGCTGATAGGCATTTCTTTCGCCATAGTAAGTCGTTTGTGCCTTTTGTAAAAGCAAAGAACCCCCCGTCGCTAATCTATTTCTTCAGAGCCTCATATACTTCATCGCACGCTCCATATACAACATCTTTTTCCATCCCCTTGCCAAATATCCCGGCCCAATACTATGGAAGATCTCCGCCCTTCCCCTTACTTACTACTCAGTAAAGGGAACAATCCCATACCGAACACATGAGATACACGAAAAGTACGGACCGACCGTTCGATTAGCCCCCAATGAACTCTCCTATATCTTGGAAGATGCTTGGGCGGATATATACGAACGAAAATCAGGCTCTCGAACCTCGGAAATGGATAGGGATGAAAATCTAGTTCTTGATCCTCCTGGAGCAAGAACAGAGGATCTTAAATTGTGGTCAACCGATCATGCTGCACATACACGAGTTAGGCATGTCACTTCTTTCGAATGGTCCAAGATACTGATAGCTGACGATATCAACTTTAGACGAAATCTAAACCCGGGGTTTTCTGATAAGGCTCTTAAAGAACAGGAACCGACACTGAAGAAATACGTTGATCTTTTGATGCAGAGGCTTCATGAGAATTGTCATCAACCACTTGATATGGTGAAATGGTTTAACCTCATCACGTTTGATGTTGTAAGTACCCATTGGCGGATGTGTTAAGCGAGCGAATATCACTGCTCTTAAAAAGCTTTTGAATGTCTAAGCTGACAGAAACAAACACAGATAGGAGACTTGACATTTGGAGAGTCTTTTGGCAGTCTTGAACATGCGCGAACTCACGTGAGCTTGAGCCTTGAACTGGAAATCGCCATAAACTTAGACTACACCAACTTCCACTAACAATATAATAGCCCTGGGTTGACCTAATTGTGTCGTCCTTCAAATCAGTAATTCTTATAATGTCTTGGAAACGCTATGGGCTCGACAAATACATCATGAAACTTGCCTCCAAAAAGTCCCTGGACGACATGGATAACCACCGAGCGATGGGCGAAGAAAAACTACGGAAGAGACTTGAATACACTCGATCTCACCCCGACTTGTAAGCTCAAAACAACACAATTTCCCCTCAAACCCTCGAAGCTGACAAGAAAAAAAAGCCTGTCAAGCTCCCAAAAGAACTTGGGCACCCCAGAAGGCCCGACCTGGCCAGAACTCGTCTCCCTCGTCGGAGCATTCATCCCCGCCGGCTCCGAAACAACCGCCACCCTCCTCGCAGGAGCCCTCTATTTCCTCTCCACCAACCCCTCCACAGCCAGCAAACTCGTCGCCGAAATCCGCACGGTCTTCAAAGACGAATCCGAAATCAACCTCATCAACGTCTCCGCCAAGCTTCCCTACATGCAAGCCGTCATCAACGAAACCCTCCGGATCTACCCTCCTGCCGCCGGAAGTCTGGGCCGTATCACCCCTCCAGAGGGATGTATGATTGTAGGTGAGTTCGTGCCGGGTAATGTATCAGTTGCTGTGAATCAATGGAGCGCGAATCATTCCGAGCGGAATTTCAGGAGGCCGTATGAGTTTTTGCCTGGGAGGTGGCTTGGGGAGAAGGAGTTTGAGGGGGATAGGAGGAAGGCTTTTCAACCTTTCTCGGTGGGTCCGAGGAATTGTGTGGGTAGAGCGTTGGCTTTTGCTGAGTATGTCACCTCTCTCTTTCCGTTTCAACCGTCTTGCTCGGGAGGGAATAGGGTGTGTATAAGTGTCGCGGAATGCTGATTTTTGTTGTAGGTCACGACTTATTCTTGCGAGACTGATTTGGAATTTTGATTTTGAACTTGCGGAGGATGCCCGTGGATGGGCTGATAAGCAACCGGTTTATGTTGTTTTTCATAAGCCTACCTTGATGGCTAAATTGACTCCTGTCATTCGTTGAGTGGTCCGGTATCTTTTATGGAAATCGTCGGATGATTAGGGGGAAAGTTCGCTTAAGTTCTTCCTTGGGTCAAATAGACGGTTTATTCTCTACTTATAGCAATTCGTCTAATCGATAGTTTGTGACTATATCCCTCAAGCCTCTAGCATACTCCATTCAAATCCTTACACTCCTATATCAGTAAAGCACAATCCGCCTATTCAGGATTATCAGCCCTCCAAATTTACTATCCACCCTTAAATACTGCATGAGCATAGAGATCAAAGTCGCTGCCACAAGCACGATAGCGTAAGGTTAAGATCAATCATAAGTATCGAAGAGATCTAAAGCCTAGCTATTATTTATACTCGACGAGAGTCCTAACTACTTCTAATTAGGAAACTCTATCCCGCTATTACATTCACTAAGAGAAGCACCAAAACACTGCCGTTAAAACTCAACTTCAAGATCCAAGGTATAAATTTCTCAAACATAAAGTAGTTGCTCTAGAGTTAATTTCTAAAGGAATCAATGTAGCAAGTAACATCAAAAGGCACTAACTTATGATGCTAATCTTCTGTAAAATCCACTTTTATTCCTATTTTGAACGGACTCCGAGTTCTAGCGGGGCTTCAAAAGGTGTATCAAGGGCAGCTCGGAAGGCATTTTGGTGTAGCTAGACAAGGCAAAAAGTCAGGCATTTACACTTCGGACCTTGAAGTTGGATTTTGGCGGTAAGATCCTACACCAACCCACATTAACCTGTACAGATAAACCCTTACACTGTCTACTGAACTAACCCATCCTAAAAGACACACTGTGCGAAACTTTTATAATACAAAGTATTTATATGGTATACCATAGTTTGACCATCTGACTCTGTACCCGCTAATTTACTGCACTACAGGATATACTTCTGATCGCTTGTACTTGAGTTCGCACTTTTTGGGACGAGATTTAAACATCTTTCATGTTTGGTAGCAACTAGGCTCTAGAGTAGCTCAGCCACGGCCATTTATGGTACTTAGTAAGCATGGAATATATGCTAGATGACTAGTGAGCATACTCAAAGAACCCCCAGAGCCTGAGACTGTCCTAGAGCCTCACTAAGTGAGAGACTATGACAGACTGTAATCTTACAGAAAAATCAACCAACGAAACAGGCAATGCTAAATACTAAGAACTGTGTGAGTTATATCAGGGACGGTGGGTAGGGAAAATGGGAGCCCAAAAGTGCGAAAGGGCATAATGAGTTACAGTACTAGTAGTTCCGCTGACCCTAAGCGATACGAGTAGCGCCCGGGGAAATTGTACTGACTATTAATTAGCCCGGAGTCAGATTTATTTATCCTACGTCACGTGCGACGATAATTGATATTATATTGGATATTGTTAAGAATTGGATATTGTATTGTCCATATGTACATTTACGATATAGCAAATATTGTAGACACACCCGATATCCAAGCGTTTTTATTGTGCCCAAGTCTGAGATTTATGATCATCATTGCAAATTGAAACTCACCCACAGAGTACAGTAATTAATTTGAGTCCTACTAGTCACAACCACCTCACCAATAACCTATTTAAATTTCTATTCAATTCAAACCTCACACCACATCCTTACCTCCTTCATTACTCAATGTGACCATTCGGTGAGCTCTAGGCAGCAAGGCTCCGCCACTAACCCCACAAACTGCATACAGTTACAGTTACACAAACATCTTACATCCTCAGCCTCTCCAAAAGTTTGCATCCCCCACCTCAACCTCACCTGCAACATCCACTTCCGAAAACCAGAGGATCCGTTCAACACCCTACTTGAAGTCAACAGAATCAAGAGAGACAAAAAAAACCATGTCTCCCAACCCCTACCCCCCATCCTACAAATCCAACAAGGAGGACCCACCACCACCCTACTCACCTGCAGCCTCTGCACGAATCACCGAGCAAACCCCACTATTCCCCGACAATAACAGCAACACTAGGAATCCACGCCCGCCGATTATCAGGATATATCTCCCAACGGTACGTAGTCCCGCAAGGGAGTTTGATAGGAAAGTGAGGAGATGGATGAAAGCAATCCTGATTGGCATTTTTCTCGGTTGTGTGCTTGGGAGCTTGGTTGTTTTGGGGAGGGATGTGTTTTATGGTTTTGATGGTGAGGTGGTGGTTGAGGAGGTGAGGATTGGGGTTTTGGGTGGGTGCTCTTTTTTATTTTTGCTTTTGTCTTTTTTCTTTTTTCTTTTGATGGAATATGAGGGCTGTTTTATATGTGCTTTGAGAGTTGGGAGTTTGGTTTGGGTTTCTAATTATCTCATGAGGGAATGAGAGTTTAGTGCCCTCTTTTTGGATGGCTTGTTTTTATACATTTGATTCTTCGTCTTCTTCTATATATTGTACATTATCAAAAAAGACAAGTCCTCATTTCCAAACAAGCACTTACACATAAAACTAACATACCAGCCAGGCGCAGGGTCAGCAGGAATATCAACATCCTACACCCTCTCCCAACTCCCCCTTCCCATAACAAAACGCAAGAAAATCCACCTAAACATAACCCTCCTCGACAAAAACCCCACAATAGGCGGTCGTCTCACCCTCCCCTTCCAATCCGATAACTCAATTCTGCAAAAGGAACTCCACATCGAAGACCTCTCTACCGCCTGCTTATCACAAAGTTCAATTCTCGCCGCACGCGCGAAATCCGAACTGTCGTTAAACTACGGAATCAGCAGGTCATCACAGACTTCCCTCACAAAAACGGGGTTCTATGATGGCAACGGAATCATAGCGGAGGTATCCCGACCGAGGGATAAGGTCGGTTGGGGTTGGTTGAAACTCGTCTGGCGATATGGGGCCTCGGTTTGGCGAGCAGGTGTGTTACCCGATGGGGCCTCGTCTTCGTTCGTAGAGATGATGAGGAAGAGTTCGTTCCCTAGCCGTTCCGAAAGCGCAACTTATGAGAGTGTCTGGGAGATCCTCGAGAAAGGGGGGATGACTGATGCAGTGGGTCTCGGTGCTGTTGAGAGGTTAGAGAAAAATGGTGTTGGGGGGAAGTACGTGGAAGAGATTTTGCGACCTCAGGTCAGAAGACAGGGCGGGACTGAAATAGAAGAGGTTTCCGATTTGGTGCTGAGTGTTTTGTTAAAGAGGGAGAATGAGGGAACGTGTTTTGATGGGGAGGGAGGGAGAGTATCTGAGGTGTTGAAGAAGTTTGTGGAGAAGAGTGGTGTGGAACTCAGGCTCGATACCGAGGTCACAGGAATCAGACAAGAAATTCTGGACGAGGGGAAGAAGATCTGGGTTCTAGAGACGAAATCAACATTGAACGACACCGCAGAGTCAGAATACACAGGATACGACCACCTTGTCATCGCCGCACCCCTCAATGATTCCCTCTTCAAATCACCAAACCAAGACACCAACACAAGAGAAACAATAATCTACAGACCCATCCACACAACATTCATCCTCACAAACACCACCCCCTCCTTCTCCCCCCTCCTTGCCCTCCTCCCCACCACCCCAACCCAAATCCACGAACTCACCCGCCTCCGCCAAATCCACATCCCCACCACGCAATCCCTCATCCAAACTCTCTTTCTCTCCCGCATCCTCTCCAACTCCATAATCCCAGATGAGCAAATACACACCCTCTTCAACGGCCCCTCAAATGTGAAAGAGATCCTGCACTGGAAAATCGAGAATGCGTGGCCGGTGAGTAGACCTAGAAGTAGTGGGGATAGCTTGGGGGGGTTTAAGTTGGGGGATGGACTTTGGAGCACCGGGATGGGAGAGGGGGTTGTTGGTGGAGTTGATTGGAGTTGGGTCGTTGGAGAGAATGTTGGGAGGCTTTTGGGGAGGGAGTTTAGGGGGTGAGGAGAGCGTTTTATGGAATTCGCAATTGAGTTAGAAGGGGATAGCAGAAATAGATACTTAACGTTGCTTTCTGTCTTTCATTTGACCCCATCAACCTGTCAGCATGTAACTTAATGCCTTCTTTGCCTTTGTAATGCAGTTGTATATCATGGCACTAAATTTACTTCCCCATGTGCCTAGAATGACAGACTCTCTCACGGTTCAGAATATCATCCAACGATTCAATAAAAAGTCAAGTACAGACAGTATGAATGGTCTGTTGTTGAAGTGGAGAAATCACTCTTCTAAAACAGCAGCTAACAGAAAACTATATCACGCAAAGGCAAAGCGGGTTTTGAGAAAGGTTGATGAATCTGATGAATTACAAGTACAATACTCCACAACTTATCACCCACCACCACCACCGCCAGGATCGTTATTGATCCCAACTCCACACATGCTAGTCAGCATGGCACAAGCAGGACCAGGAAGCTTAGGAAACCCAACCCCCAAACCTTGTTATTCCGGATTCCAATCCCACTCATGCTAGTCAGCATGGCACAAGCAAGGAGGACAATGTCGATTCCAAACTTGATCAAACTTTGATAAAACCAACATGAGTGAGACTGGAACGTAAAATTGTCAATAACAAGGCCGTAGGCCAGGCTCCTTCGCAACTCCAGCGCTTGCCATTGTCTCGGGTGTCCAGCCCGCCTCCTCCTCCCCCTCTATTCTTTTCACCAACTTCTTGGCATGGCCACTCTAGAAAGAGAGGACCAGGCCAAGCCTCTTTGTAGAGACTTGACGAACCCTCTTGAATAGAGGAAGAGTTGAACTCTCCCCTATCCTAAGGGTAATGGAAGCAATCAAAAATTCCCCCGATCAGGAAGCAAGGTTCCGAACATCTGCAGTGAAGGATGGTTAGTTGATAGTCCAGGACGAAAGTATAGGGAGAAAAAGGAAGGGGAGATGTACCTGAAATTCTCTTTTGAGAATCTGGACGAATGAACCAATTGGTTCAACTCCATTTTGCGATTTGCGATTTGCGATTTAGTCGTTATTGGCCTGACTGTATATTCAGGATGACGAAGTAGCTGAGGGTTTCGTTGCTTCCAGCGATGGTAGGAGGTGGTTTGGTGGTGAGCAAGAACAAGGGCTTCCAGATTGTAAGCTGCAATTCAATGATGGTGTGAAGGTGAAGGTCGGAAGACTTACCAATTGATTCAGTGTTGTTTTGATGGCCTTCCGACTCATCCTCCTTGATTGGCGCCATTGTCAACTCTGTGTAGGCTTGCATGGTTGGGAGAAGCTTTGTCTGGCAAGACAGCGCAATGAGGGCAGAGAACGCAAATGTGAGACAGTTGTAAGTTGCGTTGAAAGGAGAAGACGCGCGCTCCTGCGACTAGAAAGAATTAGCTTTAGGTTCCCTCAGGGACTGATTCAGCTTTGATCTGCGTCCAAGTGGGTGAAGCCAAGAATTCTCAACTGTCGGACAGGTTAACAAACATACCTTTTGATCAAGAGCGCTTGACAGGAGAGCTGTGCCTAAGAAGGTGATTAAGGTTGTGTTTGTAGTTTGATGGTTTGAGAGTGATTAAATTGATCAGTGTATTTGGTTGTGCTCAGAGAGACGAAGAGGAAGAGAGAAGGAAAGCAAGAAGGGTTGAGATTTTAAGATACTTTGATGGTGTGGGGAATCGGACAATCAAAACACCGATATGAGTAAGTTTCCTTGACCCCTCACGCTAATTTCATTGTCTTCCGTCATCGGTCCAATCATAAATTTCAGGTTCCGTTTGTTGAGGCAGGCACTTCAGAGCTTGGGAACCTCTTAACCGACCAACACAATAAGCGAGATAAGAAAAAGTAAAAGCAGCCACCCATCCAACTGCCACCAGCTTCCAAACTTCGCCTTGAAGGTCCTGGCAAAATGCAATGAAATTGTGGCAGGATGTGTCTTCAACTTTTATTGGTGGTGTGTTTATTGGGAAGGGAAAGCAGGCTGGACTAGTCACAAGGGCGTGGGCATGCAGTGGCTCCTTCCATTTATTGTTGACTTCCAACGTGACTTCAGCCTTAAGGTTGTCTTGCCATCAGGTGAGGAGGGTGATTACTGCTCTTGCCTCAACTTGAAATTTTTCTTACGTCCAAGTCTAAAGGTCCTTCTCATGGAAGACATGACCCAAAAATTCAAAGCACAATGACCCTCCCCTGTCGAATATCGAAGTTTTGGCATAGAAATGGACTTGTGAGGCGTACATGAAATCGGTCTGAGCAATATTGCTGTGGCTGTCGAACTAACTTACTTCTCTTGATCTTGACTTGTGAGAGCATCTTTTGAAGTCACTGAAAGGAAGGGCACATAAATGCACATGATTAATTCTTATACTGTAACATGCTGCATTCTTTTCTTATTTCTAGTATCTGCAAACTATGGTTTCTTCCTCGCACCAAGCACTCCTTCGTCCTCAATGTACAGGCTCAGGGGGTGGATCTTTTGCCACTTTGAGGAATGGTTTGATTTGACTGCCTTTGATCTATCTCTTTTATCTTTTTTGGACTTTCTGGGCTTTTTTGAGATGGGTGCAATGGGGTTTTCGGTACGGGAGTGAAACTAGAGTGTTATGATGTCGGAAGATCTACCGCGCGTAGAGACAGCACAAGGGCTTTGTTGCATAAAAGTTGGCATCTCGTAACCCTTAGATTTTTCTTGTTCGCTGAGGAATACGCATAATCATGAAAAAGGAAGCTACCATGCACAAATGCTACCCTCGCAAACTTTTTGAGAATCTCATTGAGATGTGTCAAATGATGACCAGGATAATCTTCTTCTCATGAACTCGTCTAACGGTCTTTCCCAGTTTCTGCAGATACAACTGAGACGGAGTGAGCCGTTTCTCCAACGCCCAACCAAGCTGCAAGCAATATCAAAGCGGTCTCTGGGCCAGCAAGCGGTAGCTCTGGTACGATATGTCGAACGGGAAGTGGGTAACCTCCAAGATTTCCAAGCCAACAAAATTGTTGCCAGTTGATATCTCGCGACGCCACGAATATGCGACCATTGCATTCTGAACTGCTCGGCCAGTTCCTCGAGTATTTTGGCTTCCCTGATGCGTTTAGATGTAGACATGACCGGTAGGTTGGTTGATTCCATGATTCCATAAGCTCCTTGCACTTCTTGGGATCAAGTCCTATTCATGCTGGCCTTGATTACCTCGAAACTGACGACTAATTCTCGCTCAGCTGAATGGTGTTTGTTAATCTTGTTCTGGAGAACTGATTGAGTTGAAGGATATGTTCTAGAGACATTTGAGAACACTTCTACCATATACGTCACTTGAATTTGGGCACTCAGTATTAGATAACGGTATGCCAAAACGAATGGTCATTAGTATATATTTTAAAAGTGTTGGTCTTGATTTCATTATGTTTTATTGATTGGTTCTTTGTGATAGCTATCAAAATTTCTGGCAATTCAATATCAAATCTATGGTTGGGTCCCTTGGCCATACCAGGAATTCCAGAATGCCCTACAAGAGTGCAAAGATTACAAGGTGTCCTCAATGGATATATTAGACACTTAAGCATTCAGCTCAATAGTTTCAGATGGCAGTTGTGCTAAAATGAGATTTATAGTACATCACTCCATTGTATATATGTAGATACCATATTTGATTATCCTGAAGTTAAACCACATTTGTGTTAATTATCTGGGCTCTTGAGGCACATCATTTTCTCCACTTACATGTATAGGCAGAGTAAGAAAATGGAATCTTCCCAAAAGCGAAGAAATATCAGGAATAAAATGGTTAGATTTGAAACTGCTATATTGTGCTATTGCAGGCGCCATGGCGCAAAAGATTATTCTGTCAGAGGATAGACCTGCTATCAACCTGCCACAACACCCGCAAGCCAGTCAAACCCATCAAGTCTAGTTGACCCGCCTGCCTTCACTAATCGATTTCAAAGAAGGTATTCTTCAGCTCTGTGATATCTTCGCTTGGGTTATATTTCGCTCGCTCCTGCAATGCCAGGACTCTGAGGAACAAAGTCCAAAATTTTCCAACCTCAGGGTGCGCCGTGTGCGCTGCTTTGTAAGAGCCCCCAAGCAAAAAAAAATGATCATTTTGAAGGAAATCCGACGAATATTTGTCGAGAAACTCGTTACACTCCTCCAACGTATGACCTTGGGGATTCGCGAAGAAAATGCATGCAGTGTGCAGTAACCCGTCGAGTTGTCTGCATTCTACTTTGGTGAGAATTAGTTTTCGCGACATCTTCCAGGCACCCAAGAAATCTCCAGTCAGTATTGAAACCATTTCCAAGGTACGAATCCTTCCCTTATTCCGAGGGGGTTCAGGAAAACGATCACCGGTCATGACGAAGATAGACAGCCGATATGTTGATAAAGCATCCATATAGAATCCTTGGCTAGCTAAAAGGTCGCCCTTGTCTTGGAGCTTTCGCGCTTCCTGAATGCATTCCTCTGGAGTCATGGGAGGGAGGTTCGATGATTCTATCAACTCCTTACTCTTCTCATCATCAAGCCCACGAACAATTATTTCCCGGGAGTAAATATCAATCTTAGGCGGCGGATACCCGAAGGATACTATTCGATCGTACAGGTAGGCGAAATGGAATTGCCGCAAGCCTTTCGCGAGGTCTGCCAAGCGCCTTGCTTGCCATGGGACATGTTCACCATAGTATTTGCTCGTAGTGTTGAATTCGAACACTATTGTGATTAATAGGTATTGGAAATGCATAGTCGGATGTATGGTTGGGCATGCAAGACCACTTTGCGTTGATGGCTGCTATTAGGCGAGGCAGATGTCGGCCTGCCATGACTGCATACTTCTTCTCAATGATTCTATTTCCGTTCCTATCAAACTGTGTGTCGGTTCCCCAGTCGGTTCCAGCGGCCCGCCCACGGGGCCGGCCCTCATGTAATTGTAATTCAATGTGCAAAGCAGCATTGCGATCTCTCTCTTCTCTTCTCTGAATAGAAACTACAAGTGGGAGCTGTTCTTCAAATAGGTCTTGGTGACGGAAAGTGTTGCAGTCTGCTTCAAGTGATATGAGTTCGTTTTCGTGATAGAAGGACACTAGTGCCTCTTCTCGAATTTGTTTGCTGACATTTAGGAGGGAATGGTAGTTTTCTACATGCCATTCCATCCTTCCTTCCGCTCGGAACTCTTGTCAGTCGTCAAGATAGGAAGTATTGTTGTTGATGGAAAGGAGTTCCGCGAAGATTTTGTGGCGAATCTCCATCGGAATCGAAAGCAAGGTAGTAGGCATTATTATGAAAGAGTTGCTTGTAGGGGTTGAAAAAGGTCTTTAGGCGTGATTTGTAATGGCTTTAGATTTGTGTAGTGTTTTGAAAAGAGGTAAGAGCATTAATTAATAGCAGGATAAAGGTTCAAGAAGTTTTGAAATTAGAAGAGGAAGGAAAGTATGCCAGCCTTCTACTAAATAGTCCTTTGGGAAGTGACAGCTAACAATTCTGTGAATAAACTAGCCAGTTATCACAGTGTCACACGTGAGCCTTGAAGGATTATGGTCACATCAACTTTTGACTCAGCCCTGCCAAAGTGAATGTAAAGATTTGGAATCAGAGAATAGGGACCAGGGACCATTCTCTACAAATTATTGGGCTTGTACAATATATTATGAGTCATCGTTAGGCCCAACTATGTAAGTTGATACTTAAGTAGCTATCAGTGTCAATCGCGGAACTTCATTAAAAACTTATGAGTTTAATGTTGAAGTATACAGAAGATACATTACTTGTTTTAGCTCAACTACGTATCTTGTACTTCTAGCATGAGTAAGACTTAACTCCAGCTACTCAGATGTATTGGTCTGTTTTCCAGAAGCAATGCTGCCAATTACGATTATTTAATAAGTATAACTTGCACATTCTTACAATTACAATTTCTACTCACATATAGCATTTATTGTACCCCTTTTCAAGCTCTTTTATTCACTCAAAGCTTTTACCCTTCAACATTGAAATACATTTGCACTATCGTTACATTGTTGCTGTACTTTAAATTTTGAAGATGAAATAGTTGCTGAATAATTCTTGCTTTATAGAGTTGAGATACAAAAAGGAGTAAGAGAAGTAATATCCCTCCACGCCTCTATCAATACTTCCCTGGTTCTATGTATATAGGTTCGGTAAACATATCGTAGACCGGTAGCAAAGAGAGTATTGCTAATGGACCATACAATCTCAAGAATGGGTTCCTCTATTTATCGTATCAGTTTCGAAAAGCCCTGGTTTAAAGAAGACTTCACACAGCGCTGTCTTAGATTGAAAGGTCCATAAACCTGAGGATATCCCCTCCTGAAGAGCTGTACTTTTCATGTCCTTGTTTTTACTTAGTAAAACCTGATTATAGATGCTGGCTCAGAAGTTCCCAGTTGGAGGGCTTTCTCAAAGAAAGTCACTAAATGGGCATATAGTACCTCATACTTAAAGGCTGCTTTGGAGCGAACAAACCCCTCAATAAAATGCCTCGCCTACAACATGAAACTCAGTAAAAGATCAGAGTCACCAAGACTGTTAGGGGACTCTGAATATCCCAGTCAGCAACCCAAGAAGCTCAATTCTATCCTAGGTTGCTATTTGATAGAATCTCAGCAAGTCTAGCACAGGTTATTGCCCACTTTTTGAGGGGCGTTTGTGATGGCGGAGGGGTGGAAAGGCTAGCTTTTGAGGCTGGAGGTAGATATTGTTAATCATGTGTTTCTTAGTCGTATTATTCAAACAGCTTTTTGAAGTATTGGTTAACTTGTGAATAGTGCCTATCTATGGACAAGTATGTCACATATTTAGGGCTTGAAATGCCGCCTTACTCACGAAGATTCTGGTAATCACCATTGCTGTATCTGTTTAATAACAATAGCTAGTAAGAGCCAGTCATTCTAAACTGACTTGAGAAATCAGACGGAATACCTGAGACTTCCTTCCAAGGTCATAGTCTTGTAGGGGAATAACCATATCTCCTGCCTCTGATTCACACAACAACATCATCCATCCTGCCTGCCTGCACCGCACCGCACAGCATTGCATTTTCCTTTTCCTTTTTCAATACCTCATAATTCGCCTAGTCGCCCCATAACTGCGTCAACAAATCAGCATACTGCTTCGCCAAATCCCCAAGATGATGCGAAGGAGGATAACTATACCTCTTTCCCTTCCCTTCGAGAGCACGTCTTTTCTCCAGATACAATCCATGATAAAATGCAAAGTTGAGCTTTACACATATACGATATGCAAAATTGACATGTTCTTCTACAACAAGCCTTTAAAATACTGGTATAAGAGGCCTTACCTTAATAGGGATTATATAGCGCATATCGAAGTCTTCCACTTCATTCATCTCCAACTCTAGTCTAATAATCAAGAGAATGAACACATTGCACATTGACCAAGTCATAAGCCCATGCTCTACTGAGTGTCTGCAATTTAGTTAAATTGGGCTCAAACTGCTCATAAATATTGCCATCAAGACGTTCTTCATAGTCATCCAGTACAAATTTGAGTATGTGCTCATTCAGTCCTAACCACACCACAATAGCACTTTCGTCATCAGGGGCAGGAAGTTCCGCTTCCAAATCATAGACGACAAGCTACTGATCCACAATTCTCGTATCAGAAGGTAAAGAAGGGCGAAAGTGATATTGACCAGGTATTCGAATATCCCGCTAGGGTATTTCCTCGAGCTCTGGCGGCATTTTGAAATCGGACTTGGTTGAAAACATAGTGATGGTTCTCTTAAGGATGATCAATAGAGACAGATGGTAATTACATAGAATATAGATTGAGAAGTTTTGGAAAGCGGTATGTTTACGTTAGAGATCTTGGTCTGTTAGCCAGGGGATTAACGAAGTACAATGCAACTGTTAAGTAGACGGCTTTTGTCGCCAAATTTTACAGGTTCTTAGTGCCTAAGTTTATTCTAGGAGTTAGACAAAAGCCATGTAACGACTACGCTATAGGTGTAAAGATAACTTACAGAGCTAGGAGGGGACTATATAAGTTATTACTGACTACGCTTAGGTCGCGAGCTATCCTATATTAGTACTTAATCGAGTCTAATTCTATATAATATCTAAAGCTATTTAGACTTCCTATACCTAGCCTGCTCATACTCGCTAAAATACCAACTTGATATAGACCTAGCTAAGATAATGTTAAGTATCTTTATAAATCCAATTCCTTCTTCTACGATAATCTCTTACTAAAATCGTGCATCTAAAATCTCTCTACAAGTTATCCGTTAGTTATATAAGAAACCAACAAATGTTGTTTACAATAACAAAAAACATCCGCCTATTAAAAAGATTAAGACGGGTAGGTACATGAGAACTATAAGATATATACCAAGAAAGTTATAATATAATGTTCAATACAGGGTTTTTTAGGAGATTAATTTCGAATACTGAATTCAACTTCGATAAACTCTCCATGTCCTTCAACTGTTCGCCTTATGTTTGACCCTTGCATCAACATCTTCCATTTCCTCGTTTTTCAATCTTCGTACCTCTCCCTATCCTCACTCTCCCGTTTTATACCTACAACTCTCCATCAAACGCAGCAAACTAATTTCCATCTCCAGCACAGTCCCACATTCCACCCACCCAACTCATTGGGACACCAAACCTTCGCCACCCCAAAGGGGAAGGAACAAAAAGACAAAACACACTTCCACCCACCCAACTCTGTCAATCACAAAACCTTCACCATCCAAAAGGGGAAGGAAATAAAAAGACAAAAAACACTTTACACAACCTTCAAAAAACCCCATCAAACAACATTTCCCACAAACCTTTCCCATCCCAACCCACGCACCTCGCTAAACCCTTCCATGCGTTCCATGCATCCCTTACTTTGAAGTACAGTACTCGGTACAGCTAGCTCCTGACTCAACCGAGAGAGAGGAACAACAATAATAGATCCCCCAAAAGCTTAACCACGCGTCATCTTCTGCAGCGCAGTGGCCTCGACACATGATACATTTACTTCAGTCATGACCTCGCCCCTCGCCATCAGAAAAGTTATTCCCCAACTCACGCACAAACAAATAACTTACACCAACATTCCCAACGCCCAACGCCCAACATCCCCCCAATTCCCAAATCTCCGTTCATCCCAAAGCACCAATAACCCAATAAACCACTCAAAAAACCAAAACAAAACAAATAATCAAACCCCTACTCGGTCGCTCCGCGGCGAAACAACACTGCCCGCCAACTAGAGCGCGCGTAAAAAACCAAATTAAATTTACAGTACGCCCGTACAGTAACCTCCAGGAATGAAATCCACTTCCCTTCGATAGAAAATGGTCTTCAAACTTCGACTCTTCTCGACTCGCTCAACCAGGATCAGGATTCGGGGTATTAATATCCTACCTATACTTTGAGGTAATATCTGAGAAGTAAATTTCGACCTTCGCTTCGGGACAAGGAATCCCATCCCATCTCATTTCATCCCATCCCATCCCATCCCATCCCATTCAGTCCGTACACTAAGTAAGTTACAGGAATTCTGAGATCCAAATCCAATCCAACCCAGAAATAAACTTTCCACACCACTACACACAAGAACCCAAGAATCCCAAGCCCGTCCCCGTCCCTCACTCAAATCAATGCACACCCCTCCCCTTCCTGAATGAAACGAAAAATATTCCGAAGGCCTTCAAGGTGGAAACAAACGTCCACCCACCCAAGCCGGGAAGGCATCCATATTCCGTGCAAAGCCGGAGAATAAAAAAAAAAAAGAAAAAAAGGCAAAAGAGATAACAAGAGAAAAGAGAGAAAGATAAGAGAAGTAAGTAAATTTACCGAACAAAAAAAAATTCGGTGTAATTATTTACATGTACTAAAGTAATTTACAAGTCAAGTACCTTCAAAGCCCGTGGTATAACATGACATGCCATGACATGTATATTCCCTACCTACCTAAGTCTTAGAAAGGATCTCCCATCCCGTGGAAGCTTTGTCTGACTAGTCGTTAGTGCCCGCTCGATGGTTGTATACCGGGCTACTGTAGCACACGATGGGATGAGATGGATGACTGTGCGCAAAAAGGGCTGAGTGATGTAACATAACTTTATCTTCTGTGCTCGTACCTAAGATTACAAGAACAGACTTTGTAAATTCTCCGTATATCTCTCCGATAGTACGAGTAATTAGGTAAATTTGATAAAGTAAGATTTAGGTCTTGTCTATTGCGTATACACCTACTAGATGTGGACATAATTTACCTATCACATTTCGTATATGATACATCCCTACTATCTATCCATCAAGCTTCAGCCCTTTTTACACCACCAAGCGCCTAATGCCCAACGCCCAACGCCCAGAATACCTAGAATCCACAGAACACAGAACACAGAACACAGAATACAAAGCCAAATTTGAAAGCGACTACACTCTACAAGACACCACCGACTCCGACCTCGATTCCAAATATCCTACACGACAATAACATCCCCGCCATCAGCTAGGTAGCCCATTTCACAACACCCATTACGTAGCACCTATACCCAACACTCAACACCCAGAACACAGAACACAGAATATAGAGAACACAGAATATAGAGAACACAGAAACTAGAACCAAAGCCAAGTACCACCCCTCTACAAGAGACCACTAACCTCTACTTCGAAACGTAACAATAATATTCCTACTACAGAACCAAAGCCAAGTACCAAACCTCTACAAGAAACCTCTATCCTCTATTCTAAAACCTAACAACATCCCCGCCATCAGCTAGCTAGCTCTCTTCACAACACCCAGGACCCAGGAACCCATACTCCACCGACCAGAACTCCTAGAACACAGAAACCAAAGCCAAGTAACAAACAACCCTCTACAAGAAACCTCCAACCTCTCTTTCAAAACATAACAACAACATCCCCCCACCATTAGTACTCTTCACAAAACCCAAAACCCAACACCCACAACCCTTCACCCACCACCCACTACCCACTACCCACCACCCACTACCTAGTACCTACCTGCTACCCCATACAGACGTAACAAAATCCCATGTCCTTCTAGAAGTATTTTACTTTGAATCCTTGATATCCTGATTCCCGTGTATACCATACTCGTACTACCATACTACCATACATAACCACAAGCAAGACAACCAAACTATAGGTAGACCTCGCGTCGAGAAGAATTCTCGTGGACTAGACTGGACTCTTATACAGATATTAATACTGATTAATGAATACCCACCTACCTACTCTATACCTATCACAGTACCAATATATTCATCTTCTCCCCTCCTCCAATCCACCCCCCTCTCCTCCACTCCACTCCACTCCACATACACATACCTCCCAACTCTCAACCCACAAACTCCCCAACCACCCAACAAGGTCCCCCCTTCCTTCCCCCTCCTCCCTCCAAAAAAACCCCCATCCAGGCCATCCCAAAACAATACCAAAACCAGAAAAAGCCAAAGCCAAAGCTAAAACGCTCTACGTATCTTTCAGGGTGTCTTTCAGACCACTAATACCAAGTCAGTGCACCTCCCAACCCTTCCCACGGCGCTGTCGCTTGGGAAGGTGAACTGACACTGACTATTAAACCCCCCCCCCCAAAAAAACACCACCACATGCCACTAGTAAAGTACAGCGACGCAGACCAGAAACGGAACGTCATCCCTAGATCGATCAAGTACAGTACCAATCACTCATACATATCATCACACTTCACTACACTAAACTTCAAACCCATCCATCCCATCAATCCCATCCCTAACAAGAAAAAAATAAAAAAAGAAGTGACAAACAAAGATACATTATGTAAATTATTTTCATTCATTCCTTCTTTCGTTCGTTCTTTCATTTATCTGGCCCATATCCATGCAAGCATGTCAGATCAAGACATGGCATCCCATCCATCCCATCCCATCCCATCCATTCAATTCAATTCCAAGGTATCTCCATCAAATCAAATACAGCATGTGATTTTCCTTCCTTCCACCCACCCCATGTACCCAAACCATCCATACCATCCAAACCAAGCCAAACCAAGCCAAAAAAAGCTTCATTCACAAAGCCAAATATCCAAAGGGAAAGAAAGAAAGAATCAGAAGAAACAAGGAGATATATCTCCGCACCCAAAAGTAACCCAATCAAAATCAATAGAATTAAAAAAGAAGTTCTCATTTATCCATCATCAAAAAACCCATTAAGTAAAGCTCACGACTTAAAGTGCGGCGCATTAAGAATAATCCCCATCAACACCCCCGCCATCGTCCCAGCAATCGGAATCGTCGCAATCCAACTGAGCAACAGGAGACCCACCCGCTGGAAGTTAACCGCCTTGATGGTGCCATTGCAAAGTCCGACACCCACGGTGGCTCCCGTGATACACATCGACGTGGAGACGGGCAGCGAGTACTGGGAGAAGACGAGCACGGTGACGGCGGCGCCCATTTCCATGGAGCAACCGCGCGAGGGGGAGTGGTAGGTGATTTTGTTACCCATGACTAGAAGTCGGTTGTTAGTAGAGTTTCTATGAGAGGGAGATGAGGGTTGAAGTACCTTTCATAATGTTGTAGCCATAGGTGATGAGACCCAACGAGATCATGGCAGACATGACAGCCAACTGCCAAACTGGGACCGGAGCCTTGGACTTGGCAGCCTCACCCGTGGTCCAGGAAGAGTAGATCACAGCCCAAGGACCAACGGAGTTTCCGATATCGTTGGCACCGTGGGCGAAAGAAGCAGTGCATGCAGTCAGAACTTGGATGAAAGAGTAGGTGTGCTCAACCTCGTTGGAGTACTTCTCAGCATGGTCGTAGACGCGCTCCATACGTTTACCCTCGGGCGTGCCTGCGATACCAGTTTGCGCGGCGTGGATATCGTAGTGCAGACCGTAGAGAGCACCGACGACGATCATGGCTGGGACACGCTTGATGGCGATCTTCATGTTGTGGACTTCGTAAATTCGACCAGGGCCATATGGACTGTCTCGGAGAGTACGCATGGCCCAACCAAAGGGACCACGTTTAAGGCAGAGCTTGGCATGGAGTTTAGCATCTCCATCCTCTCGAAGTTGCTGGTAGGTCATAGTTTTGGCTTGAGTTTCGGCGGCAACGAGCCGCTTTTCGTTGGCGTCGGAAGAGGAGCGGGTGATCTCGTCCTTGTGAACTGATCCTTCACTCACGGATTCTGGAGGAGGAGTGGATGGGAGCTCTTCGTCATGTTGAACCACGGCGTAGTTTGGAACAACAGAGCGGTCGGCATGAGCTGGTGCTGGACGCTTGAAGAGAAGTGGTCCTTGAATGAACATCCACCACTTGACGGTAGGGTCTCTCTTGACGATTCTGGAGTGGAGGAAAGGAACGAAGAAGATGCAAGCGAGAAGGCAGACACCACCACCAGTACCCATGGTGACGGCAGCAACATACCACGCAGGCTTCTTGTTCAAACCGAGATTAGGAGATCCCTTGTACACAATCGAAAGAGTACAGATGGTTGCGGCCACGAGGAAGAAGAATGGCGAAGTGTACACAGCCCATGGAATTGGGTTCTTGCGAAGATGCACTGTCACCTTGATGAGCATGAAAATCGAGGCACCGAAACCAGCTGCGATGGTAGGAGCCATTCCCAAACCAGCGAAAATGGCACCAAGTCCCTTTCCTCCGTTCCATCCCCATTGCACGTTTTTGGCACCTACGGTAGCAACACCAACACCTGCAACGGCTGAGATGAGCGAGTAGGTGGAGGAGACGTGAGCAGAGTGTCGAGTACACCACATGACCCAGGAGGCAGCAGCAGCCAGAGCACAAGTGAAAGCCAACATTTGAACGCCGGCATCGCCCTTGAATGCCGCAACTGGAATAATTCCGTTCTTGATGGTATCGGCGGTTCGAGCACCCACCGTGATGGCACCTAACATTTCAAAGATGGTTCCAAACACCATGGCCTGGCGATAGGAGATAGATCTTGAAGAGACACTGGTCGCCCAGGCATTGGCAACATCGTCTGAAGAAAAAGAAGCAATTAGCCGGTGCTCGTGTACTACTTATCACATAGAGGACTACTTACTGGCACCATTGTTGTAGGCATCGAGCATGGCAAAGAAGGTGCCAATGACGAACACATAAGTGTAGTCTGTGAGAACCATGATTGCGGTTGGTGAGCTTCCCGTCAGATATCGAAGGGTAGTTGATCGATACTGGATGCAAAGTAGGAAAATCATAAATGCAGGAAGAGGCTAGGACGTCCTATATACTCTCTGCTTCCAGGCAGGGGCCAAGGCACACTTCCACTTAGCAGTACTTCGTACATTGATACGCATATCCATACCCTGCCCTAGTGAACCACCGAGGCACCACCAACCGCGCCGGCACCTGCCCAGCATGCAATTGCTGGTTCCTCGCAGCAGGGTGGGCGATATCCAGGAAGGCTCTGCCCGGCGTCAGTACCAAACACACCACAACATGGATGGCCTGTCGTCCCACGTTCTGATATCAATGGCCCTTATTCGCGACAGCAAGCGAGCGCTGCCGAGCGCCGTCCATGAGGGTCATTGATAGGCTCCGCGGGGGGGCTTGGCACAAGCGGACCTGCCCATTCAACAGGTGCCAGGGTGCCCGTGGAGTGCCTAGCGAGTCTAGCGATGGAATTTGACTTTCCACCTCCGATTTCTTCTCACTTTTCATCCTTCAATATTGCAGTGCCAGTGCACGACTGACAAGGGAGAACTCTATACACGTGTGTTACGCAGGCAGAACCCAGACTCGACGGTCGCTGGGAGGTCTCCCGTCTGGCCGTAACCGTCGCCGTGGATGAGGAAAGTGTATTTGTGTCGGACCAAAGTAAATTGATGTCTGACGACACAGACGAGATTTACTTTGGCATTTACTTTTTTCCTTGGGCCAGGCTGCCAGGCAATGACAAGGCCCGATAAGCAAAAGTCTGGTTAATGTGGCTCGCTTGGCGTGTTGCTTGTACGGCGAATTTGAATTTTTCAGACTGCTGCAAATAAACACAAATTAGTGGCCGCGTACGGTCCCGTAACATAGCATCGCATCCGGGGCACAGAAAAGGGGTGCAGACAGGTGCAGCTGCCATCATGTTACTCGTATACATATGGAGTCGAAGTACGCTATCAATCCGTTAAGGGCTGCGAAGAGTCTGGCTGCGGCTGAAGAAATGTTTACGACCCTATGAGATTTCCCCATATCCCCACGTGGTCTTGGCAGGGAGAAAGAGGCCGCCTGTAGAGACACCAGAGGCACTGGTTGCGGGCACTCACCCACCACACTGGTCGCACCTGCCTCCACCTGCAATTCCCTCCACCACTCTTTCACTTCACCCAATGACACCATCCGCGCTGACCCACCCTTCCACCCCAAACTCACCCCACCCATCTCCACCTGCACACCCTCACCCACATCCTTCCTCCAAACGCCGCAACCTCACAGACTTCACGCTTTCGCCAAGGCTGGGCAAGGCTAGGCAAGGCCTCGGGCGTGTTTCCTTGAACCCTCCAATCACCACCCCTCATCAGTGGACGCCTTCATTGATGAAGGGAAATGGCAACATGCAAAGGAACCTTCCATGGCAGCTTCCATACTAAAATGACTCTGCTGCTCCCTCCCCCATGCCCTTGCCTAATCGTGTGTGACTTGCCCTAACCGTCCTCTGCATCTCAACCCTCCCATCTGCTCAGCCCTTCGTGAAGCTTCTACGCTTGCTGCACCTCATTTATATCAGGCATAGCCGCTGCCCGATCCTTTGCTCTTGCACACCCTCCCGTCCCGAATCCACGGTTCCTCCGTGCCTTAGTCCATCTGGTATCACATCATGATGAGAACGGAAAAAAGAAAGAATGCACCCGGCCAATTTTATGTCTGTATATTGCAAACCATCCGTCTACAACATCATCACATGCCACACCCATCTGCCTTGCTAAGTGCGCATAGGTGTCAAAACTCTGCCGCCACTCCACCAAATACTCGTGCCAGCCGCCTCTCACCAACACCATCACAATAGTCCTCTGTTATACGCAATCCACCCTAAAACCAATCTCCAATATAAAAGAAAGAACCCAGCCCATGGGGAGTATGTAATAATCTGACACTCAACCAACCGCCTTTGCGCTCTAGCCAGTACCAGCCAGGAGCCAGCGGCCAACCCACTCACCTAACAAACACCGCCTCCGTTCCCCGAGATCCGTAACATGTACATAAGAAAGAAAGCAAAAAAAGCAAAAGGCAGATGAAAGAAAAAAAGCGAATGCAAGTAGACCTTGTAGAGTGGATGATTTCTAAAACCCGATCGACTGAAGCAACAAAGGAAAAAGGAAATAGTAAACAGCGCGTCGATAATATTTTTGGTCCGGAAGTCAAGTAGATCCGCACAGTATTTGTAAATGCAGCAATGAATCCCGCTCCAGCTCCCGAAAGCAAACGCCAAAATGATTCGCATAAAAACTCCCCGCCTTTCCCCGTTGGGAACCATGGTCCATAGCCATTAAACGCCGCGCTGAGGTCATGATGATGGAAAAAAGGAATGGTTCTATGTAGAACACAAAGGTTCCGAAAATGTGTAACAAGAATGTGCATCCCACTGTACTCTACCGAGATTCTCTGTTGCGGTGGCTCAAGTAATCAGGATAGTTGGAAACAATCGATGGGGCCCGTGGCGTGGGCTCTTCGTCCATCGAGTCGTATGCCGAGGATGAAGATGGCTTGGGCGTCTGGTCAAGATCAATCTCAGCTACTTTGCCACCAGGAGAGGAGAAGAGTTCTGGCGGTGTCAAGGTCGATCCGGAAATCTGTGAGGCCGAAGGAAACTCTTCTATCGTAGGTGGTGGCTCCACAGTATCGGCGCTTGTAGCTACGTCCGACGTAGACACAACACTTCCTCGGCTGTTAGTACGCATCATCTCAGTTCCAAGTTTGGATCCGCGATGAGCTTTTGCATGTTTAGGACTCTTCTCACGAGAGCCTAGATCTTCATCTTCGTCATCCCCGGATTCGCCACATTCATGGCGATTCTTCTCGATAGATTCTCTCTTGGCTCGCATCTTCTCTGTAGATCGCTGTCGATGAGGGACCTTTTGCAGGCCATGTTCAATTCTGCCAGGGGCGGATTTCTCTTGCAGGAGATGGAATGGTAGCTGCTTGGGAAGATCGCGACCTTCCAATAAACTCTCCTCGTTACTAATGCCGAGACCGGGAGGCTCATCCCATTCGCCAGTTGCCTTTCGACTGATGACAACAGGAACATCCTCATTCATCAAAGACTCGGAATCGCCGAACAAACTAGAGCTGATCGAATCACCTCTGCTTGACCCTCTGAAGCTACTACCCGGTAAATTTGCATAGCCAGAAGAACCAGATGTTGGGCTGTCCTCGAGACGAGTGCTCTCCTGGCGTAAGCCTGATGGTTGTGTGTAGCTGAGAGGAATCGCGGTACCCTGGCCTGGAGCTGGAGCCTTCCATTGGCACAACCTACACATGACTTCTGTCAACTTGGAGGTGGTTGGAGGCTTTTCGATCAAAGCATCAAAATGATGAGGAGCCTGCAATTCTTTAAGATAGCCAGTGACGGCAACAATTGGTGTCTGAGAATTAGCATTCTTGGTGTCGCGAATCATGCGTGCAACATCGGCACCATTGATCTGAGGCAATTTGAACTCCATCATGATGAGGTCAAACTTGATCTCACTTAAAGCATAGCGCATTGCTTCCGGACCATTTGTAGCAGTAATCGTTCGACATCTCAGCTTTTCAAGAAGCTTCTCCATAACCATTCTTGAAACAGGGTGGTCTTCGCAAATGAGTACATCCAGTGGGCGAAATTGGGGGCCATCCAGCAGGTTAATTGCAGATAACCGTCGTGAACTCTGGCGACGTCTCTGTACACGAAGTAGCGCATTCGCCTTATCACCTTCGTTGTCAGACGACGATGGCGACATATCAAATACTTGACTTCTGCGTTTGCGATGGGAAAAGACATCGGCTGGTATTGGACTGCCTTCTTGAGAACCAACTGTCTGTGATCTTGCACGGGCGGATGAAGGTCCGCTAGACTGGCGAGGCGTGGTTATCTTTTGCGGTGAGATGGTCAATGGTGGTGGACCAGAGCCGCGGGCCTTGATAGGCGATGATATAGCGGAGCTAGCTGCCTTCTGGAGACTTGCTGGCATCCGAGGTACATCGAAGAAACTACCAGGAGCCAGTGAGTTGCCCGACTGATGAGAGAGACTTGATGAATTGCTAGATGTTTTGCGTCTACCTTCCGCGTTCTGACTTGCGATGAACGAAACCAGGAGAGGCGAAGACGGCTGAGATGCTCGACTTGGGGAAGAGTTAGCTTGACTTAGTCCAGATGGTGATGATGGTCTATTGGTAGCCTTTGCATTTGAAAGTGTTCGCTGAAGCGGCATAGGTACCATAGGGCTGCCCTCCAGTGTTGGCCCAGGTGAAGTACAGGGATTGGGTCCAGAGGAGACTGGACTTGTGACTGCTGATTTGTTCTGCGCAGCCAAGGCTTCAGCACGAAGCTTTTGAATGACATCCTTATTTGCCTTTTCCAGGACTGGCAAGTTTTTGAAAGCAAAGTTTCCAAAATCATCTGCTACAACAGGCTCACTAAGTCTGCGGCTCTTCGAGTCTCGCACGTGCGGAGGTATATGAAGAGGCATGAGGCCGCGCTTGATGGAATTGACCTGAGACCTAACTCGTGAGAGTGCATCGTGAGGACGCTCATGATACTCTGCTCCTGGAGTTGAAGCTGGTGGTGATGTTTGATCTTCCAATTCTTCGGCAAACGATTGTAGGGTAGCGCCACGAGAATCAAAGTACTCCGTGTCTTCGGGATTTTCGGGAGCAGGAACGAATTGCGCATCATCCTCTAGAAGCTTGTCCCAATCTGTGCCTTCAAACCAGGGGTGATTTCGAATCTCATCACCACCACAACTGAACTTGTCGTCCTTGTTCGCGCCAAGACGTTCGCTAGGTTCTAAGCACAAGAGCTTGTTCATCAGATCCTTGGCTTCTCGGGAAACATCGAAATCTTCATCATCTGGCCAAGAGATTCTGCGAGCAAGGATGTTCTCGAAGACTTCGTCCGGGCTTCCAGCATGAAATGGTGGATAACCGTACAGGAACTCGAACAGTATACATCCGACAGACCACCAATCGCTCGTTTCATCTTGACCAACGCCATTAACAGTTTCGGGTGCCAAATAATCCGGCGTTCCTACAAACCGACGGTTGCTGTCGTCTGGATCAAATAGTGCCATTGGAGGCGGCATCATGCTCGGCTGCGGTGGCGTGTTCCTGTTTTCTGTGCCATTGCTTGAATAACTCGTGACTGGGTGGAGGGTAAGTAAATCCGGAGATCCACTAGCCTCATTTTCGCTTGTTTCCTCGATCGGAGTTCGTCTTTGATTCATCATTTGCTGGCCTTGGGTGTCGTTGAGAGAGAAGCTGGTGAACATCTGGTTCAAGGAATCGCTGTTGCCACTGTCACTTCGACCTGAAATCCTGCGATTGTCCTTACTGACGGTATTCTCGCGGCTGAGACTGAAGTATGAAGGAGTATTGGGTCCATTGTCCGGAGTCATCTGTGGGGTCAAACCTGGTGAGTGGTGTCCCTGGAAATCGAAAGAAGTCGATCTCGAAGAACTGATAGAAGTCGTGCGGGCAAAGGGTCCTTGTTTGAGCAAGTCGGGGGCTGATTCGTTGACATTGCTGTTGAGGACTCGCTTCTGACGACCAATCAACCCCATCCGCGAAAGACCAAAATCAGTCAACTTAAGATGGCCTTTTTGATCGATCAGAAGGTTGTCGGGCTTCAAATCTCGGTGAACAATGCCTCGATTATGAAGGTGCTCGACGCCGAGGATGACCTCCCCAAGATATTTCTTGGCCCATTCTTCAGGCAGGCCACCAAGGACCTTGATGAGAGATGCACAATCTCCACCATTGAGATATTCCATTACGAGATACAGATAATCCTTGCTGGAGAAAGTCCAATACAACTTGGCAACAAAATCGCTTTCCCCTTGCCACATCATAATAGCTCTCTCAGCTTTGACATTAGTCACCTGATTTTTAGCCACCATATCAGCTTTCTTGAGAACTTTGATAGCATAGTAGTCACCCGTAGACCTTTTCTTCGCCAAGTAGACACTTCCAAAAGCTCCTTTGCTGATGGGCTTGATGATCTCGAAATCTTTGATTGAAGGAGGAACGGCCCTGGCTTGTGGGGCACTGACCGCACTCATCCGTGGAGATGGCGGTGGTCTCGAAGGAGGATCTGAATTAGCTGCCGAGGATTGACGTCTATGATGGTGTGGGATCAACGCAGGAGAAGTAAATTCGCTGCCCGGGATCAGAGGCGAGGCTGTTGGGGATACGATACCCTCATGGGCGATTGGGAGCCCTCGAGGCTTGGTGATCCTTAGCGGGGAAGATGGCTGCCCAATCCGAACTGGTGACTCTTGTCTGTGAGGAGAATTAGCGCCTGGGATTATCAGACTTCTCCGTTGGAGTGAGTTGGCTGCACGACGAAGATCGCCAAATTCTGATACCGGGGATTCGGTCCTGGCGGGTGGTCTAGAGATGATTGAAGACGATCGCAAACTTCCATCGCTATCCCCAGCATCGCTCTCGAAAAATAGAGACTGTCGCCTAGAGTCTTGGTGGGATGGGAGAATCCCATTTGGACCCTGCGACCTTGGTGTTGGACATTCCTTTGGGCTGCTTGACCTGGCAGAACGGGCTACAGATGGCGACCGACGTCCCTCTGCGGCGTTCTTGGTCAACTTGACTTCTCGAAGAGCAGCCGCAAGTGACGATGGATTATCAAAGGACCCCGTGAAGAAGGCGTCTTCGTTTCCGGCATTCTGCTCCTCCTCTTGTTGGTCATCCTCGGACTCCGACTCGCTGCTACTGAGAACTCCAGCGGCAATTCTAGCAGCTTTTCGCATAGCCTCATCTATACAATCTTGAACAATCACAGAAAATTCGATACGGATGCGTTCAGCGTACTCGATGATTCTTCGGTGTCGAAGGACTGCCTCAACTTTTGCCTTGGCTGCTCTCTCGCTGTCCGCACAAAGCAATGCGAGGCCCTGTTCTTGGTCTAGTGTATTGGTACTCGGCGATTGCCATTGTATAACTTGAGAAATTCTCGACTCAGATTGAGGCGACTGAGTTCGAAACTCACCAGGAGCTTGTGGCGGTGCCTCTTTGATGGCCGGAGTACTGATTTCAATGGAGGTATCACACAGGTCCAGAAGCAGCTCAACAATTCTTGCTTGAGGGCGTCGAACTGCGAAAGAACGTGCTCGTGCATGGCCAAACCCCGTGGTTGACGCGTCCCGGGACCTTGCAGGCGTACCTGGAGAAGCTGTACCAGACGAAGAAGAGGTTGAAGCTGTTGGCCCAATTGGCATCCCCTTATACTCGGCTTGAGGAGTGGCCAAGGCGGTTTGCTCGCCTGTAGTGGGCCGTGTTCTACGGGCTTCAAGGGCATCCAGAACTTTGACAATAGCATGTCGATGCTCGATCAGATTCTCCTGGCACATTTGAACCTCCATTTCCGCTGTGTGTTCTTGTAAACATAATTCACTATGCTTTTCGAACCACCAGGGCGGAATTTGACGTTCGCAGATACGACAGAGAACAGGAAGAGGCGGAGCATGGTTTGCAGGATCTACAAGACCAACCTCTGCCAGAGTGATAAGGTAGCTTGCTAAAATTTCTGCACCTGACCCAAGAGAGTCTACGATAATGGCTGGTAAGTCGATCTGAATCTCGCGTGGTGCAATCCAGGGACGAATCATCCACATTGTCTAGGGTCACATCAGTTTTAAAATCTACGACACCATATTTCACAACTTACATGGCTCTCTCCACCAGAGGACCGATCGTAAACCATGATTCCCTGGCCCTCCAAATCAATTGTCGCAGGCTCGACCTGCACATCTGAGCTTCCCTCCTCATTCTTCTCGAACAGTTGCTCCGGGATCGCAACCGGGAGCAGTTTCGAAACCGGGCCCAATTGCACGGTAAACCTGATTATCTGACTTCGTGAATCGTCCTTCTTGATGGATTCGACAACTTCGGCAAAAACTTCCTTGTTGTCACTAACAATAAGGTCCTTGATTGGCTTTCCCTGAACGGATTCAAGCGTGGTGCCGATCACATCTGTCCAGGAGGGACTGACCCATCGAATGCAACCATCCAGGCCCAAGTCGAGAATCACATTTAATGTCTGTTCAGCAGCCTCTCGAAGGTCTTCCCTCTCTTCCCGAATATCTGCACTCAAAGAGCGCTCCATCTGACCACCAGCATGTGCCCGAAGCTTCGACACCGCCGGTGGTGCCAGCATTGTTTTGGTGTCCTCCATGTTAGCAAAGATTCCTAAGAATCGTTTGTTGCGCCCACATTGACCGCAGTGTCGTTCGATGCTTGTCTCTCGGCCGGAGAATGGTGTTGGCCGACGATGTCATGCGCGTTGTTGTTGTCCGAAAGTGTGTGCTAATAACCGTGTTGCAATCCCGCCTCGACGAGTGGCAGAGGCCGGAGTATTAGCAGCGGGAAGAGAATCGAGACATCGTGGGGATTGATGTTGGTGTCTCGAGGGTGGATGTGATGGTGGTGGTGACGGACGCGCCGGGGGAAAGTGCTGTCGAAGCTACTTTTTGGGGCTGTCGTTGTGGGGGGGCAACGAGGGTGTGGAGGGTTGGATTTCTTTGGAAGGGGGAAGTCGCAGAGTGAGAGAAACTTGCTCCAGCAAAGGAGAAGAGACCTTTTGTTGTTGAGGTTTTTTTGAGCGTCGTGAAGGGCAGCTCTGCTCTACGGTGAGTTGTCAGTGGATCTCTCGCACTCGGGCTGAGGCAATGGGGGGGGGNTTTTGAGCGTCGTGAAGGGCAGCTCTGCTCTACGGTGAGTTGTCAGTGGATCTCTCGCACAGGGGCTGAGGCAATGGGGGGGGGAGGTGGGGGGTATAATTTGTCGTGAAGGTTGTCGTGAGAGGCGCCGTTGAAGTCGCTGGCGGGTGGATTTTTGTGAGTGCTCAATGAACGGAACAGGGAACGGACCCTCGGCCTCTCGCGTAGATATGGCCTCTACTAGCAAATCACTAGGAAGATGCTGGATTAGGAACAATAGCGGGGAGGGCTAGTCGAGGCAGCCAATCACCGTTACGAGTGGTGCGTGAATGGCCCACAATAATAAGGAAACCAAACAATGGCAATTCTTACTTCGTGGATGGTGACCACCTGCGGTCTGGGGTTTGGTGTGAGGTGCCGCTGCGCTGATTTCCACTGATCTCCAACACTGTCTGGATTGTATGGTATGGTACGTTCACATTCACCTTCACCTACAGTACAGTACGAGTACTCAAGTACTGCGGCAACGCAACGCCCCTTCACCCTTTTGTGGTAGTCTCATGCTCTCTCCTCTCCTGGGCACTTATGAGGCCATTGGCGCACATTACCTTCACTCGGCAACACAAGACACTATATCCCATACTATTGTCAGTATGCTGCTGTTGCTCCTCGTTCATAGTTAGGCTCGCTTGGTCGGGTATAGTACACACGCCCCGTCTCTGACTAAGATTCTTGATCTGCATTGACGCTGCTCTCAGGCTTGAACTAGACTCGCCTAGGATTCGCCAGAGTCAAGTGTAAGGTATGGTATAGCACGGTACAATACTCGTTTACGCTGATGTGTCAAACTGGCACGCTCCCTTCTCACAGGCATCTTGCCCGCGAGCCGATGCCGATACCCTTAAGTTCCCTCCTCACGGACACTGACCTTCAGAAAAAAGGTGTGAAGGCAAAGCCTTGGTGCCGTCAACAGGAAATGGAAATGGGGCCATCCTCGTCGGATCATGTAATATGGGAGAGCCAGTACTGTATGGCAGTACGAGTACCAGTATGGGCCGACCATTATTGGCGCATCACCACTACTACTGGCTTGCGACTCTCATGCACGGCGATCTTATTAGACTATTATCCAGATTGCAGAAGACATCACTCTGCTTAGCCGTTTCCCTGGTCCGAATCCCACAGCAGGTGTTGTGCTGTAGCCTCAGGGGCACCGTCACCATTTCATATGACGGGCCTGATTCCTGAAGCTGGGTCCTGGAGGGGTAGGCGAGGGATTGGCGAGCAGGGACAAGACTCGATGGCGTCGTGGTTTTAGCATCTCTTATGACCATGAAAGACGAGAGGAGATCTGTGATGAGACCATCGGACTCTCTTCATGCCATCCCGCCTTTCTTTCTCTCTCTTGGGTGCAGCGACGAAGTGCCAAAGGTTGGAGGTCGCTTGGTAACAAAGAGGGGAAGGGACGGGGGTGTTGGGAGCAACACTCGATGCAGCATAGCGCCGTGTTTGGCGAGCTGGTCTCTCTCGCATTCAAGGCAATAAATAATGGGAGGGATCAACCACATTTCCAAGTTCTGCACAAGTATACTCGTAACCTCTCCGTGACCACTCTGAGAAAACTTCTTTTTTACCTACTTGGGCTTGGGTGTTTGCTTGCATGGCATGGTCTGAATGGTGTTGTGTCAAGCTGAAGCCCAGGCTCGCCAGGCCAACCAATATCACCAGATATGAGAAATATGGCGTAGGTGTAGGCGTAGGATTAGGCGTACAAATAGTCACGATCAAGGTGGCAAATCCCAACATCAGGGGGAAACATGATAGGCGATGCTCGATATGACTCCTTTTTTTCATCGCCTACGGTATCCTATCCATCATCCCAACACCAAGCACCAGCAAGTTGCAGTAATAGTGTCTCGCTCCCACGCTTTCCCAAAAACTCTCCTATGAACTGCTCGTCATCCCACCTCTTCACGGAATCATCCTCTTCTCCCACGGTCACACCGCCCCGCCCTCAATTTATATCGAATGGGAATCCAAGGCTCACCGTGAACCTACGGCACGGTAGTAATCAAACCACACCACAACCACTTCTCTCGCTCCTCTCGCCATGAAAATACTGCAGCAAAATACTAGTGACCGTCCAAACTCGTCTGAGCACCGCCTCGAACACAACCATAGATTGGTCCAACAGCCCCGCTTTGCATCGGTGGCCGCACTGCCGCTGCATACGCTAGCTGTAGCTGTGGCCACGACATCAACGGCCCCTCAAAAACCATCATCTCGAAAAAATACTCCCCAGACATTATTGGCTTATGGGATAAACGTCTCACTGCCATCAAAAGCTCACCCGTCAGCACGGCAGCAGGAATACCACTCATCATCCAGATTCCAGTGCGTAGGAGCGGAGCCTACCCCCACCCGTTCAATTAGGGCAGGTTCAAGGTACCAATTCCGATAGGTAAACTCCAAACCTCGCACTTTCCAAAGTCAGATAGAGCACAACCAGTCTGACCAAGTTAATCACTCTCCAACCACACCACCCACAAAAATACATGTTCAACATTCCCAAGCGGCACAACCCACAATCTGAGCGAGAGAGAGAGCATGCGGACACCCGAATTCTCCGCGTGCTCTGTTACCTCCATCACCAGATCCGTCGGTGTACCCGCGGTTGGGTTGCACTACACCCACGGTCCAACGTGAAGAAACAGAAGAATCCTCTCGTTCACAATTCCTCATCGACGTCTCTCGTGTGCCCAACCCCAATTTTGCCTTTCTTGATGCCATTCTAGAAACAGATCAAACTGGCATCACCCGACGGTGCAGTCTCCGAATGATACAGTACATACACCCAGTACACCATGGCATCCATGACATCCTTATAATATTTCCTGTGGTGTTGATGCTTGACCCCTCACTCACACCGTATCGAGTCGGCTCACCCTTCCACTCGCTCCCTCCCATCACTTCTCACACTGCAAATATCGAGTCATCAATGATGCAGCCGGATGCACTACGTCTCTCCCGCGTACGTGGGGTGTGGTAGTAAGAGTTTCAGTGAACCAAACCTTTTCCCAGCTAAGCTGGGTTCCCCAAAATAAAACCCCGTCTGCTGACCATCTCCCACCCCACGTGATCTGACACCAAAACGTGGAGTCGGGCGTACACCGTACCACCATCTAACACCATCTTCCGTCACTCAGGCACACTCGTACACATGAGACATATCACACATCCCTCACGCGAGTCAACCCAGGGGGGGTTTTCCGTGTCATGGAAATGAAATTGGTCACTGGTTTGCCAATTCATTTCTTTCCTTGGGAAAATGCAATCAATCGATCTTTTGGGGGTAGACTTTTTGGGAGAGTTTGGTTGGATCGGGTTCTAGACCCTTCCCTTTCGACTGCGGCCCTCTCCGCACTCGGCGTCCCTGGATTGGAATTCAAACCTGCAGGTCTCTCCTTTGGACTTCCAGAGAGGGGTTTCCATACTTACGGTTTGGGATGTGATTGGTCGGAGACGTCGCAGGAGAAAAACATGTAATATTGAGATAATCATAGTTGGTCATTTGTGTCGAAAGACTTGTTGAGATGCTATCTCTTCAGACTTTCGTTTTCCTTCTACTCGATTCTAGATGTAATCATGGCAAGGTTTCATGGGAGTTCACACTCTACTGTAACGTCTAGCCCACCTTTGAGTCTGGATACCCCGGACAATGTGCCATTCTTGTTTCTCGCTTAACCTGCTAATATCAATCACTCCGGTCAACAGTACCTAGCAAATCAATCCATTTTTAGATACAGTAGACATGCCAATCAAACTCCAGCAACTTCCCTCCGCAAATCCATCCTCCTCAAAACACAATACCCACCAAGACCTAATCCCTAAATCCCTCCTTCTTTCCTACAGTCCTCCCCCCATAGTCTACCAAAAAGCCATGCCATACCTAACATCATCTCTCCCCCACCCCATCCCGTTTCCATCGCCTTCTAGCCCAGCTCCTAGCTCCCGCCGCCACGAGAACGGTACGAACGATAAACTTTTCACCACACCACTCCCAAACATCCATACAGAAACCATGAAATCCGAACTTTCCCCCAAAGGCAAACGCTACAATCCCTTCCGAAATCGCCGGATTCCGCACGCCCACTGCGGGATAGGTCCTCATTTACACCCTAAGTATCTACCTGAGCATCGTATTTGAAATTTTGAATCTCCCTTAATTTTTTATTCCCGGAAGTTTGTTGGGTTGTGTTGGGTGTGTATAGGTACTGTAAGATTACATACTAGGTATATGTACAGTAAGGTGGGACTGTATAGGTACGAGTAGATGCATAGAATAGCTGCATGCGAAATGACGAAACCTGGTAGAATGGAAAGTATGAGATAGAGATTAAGAGGTGCTGTGATGTAGATAGGGGGGATTCGGCGTGGAGGGGATAGGAACAACCTAATTGTTTTTCTCAGCTTGTCTATGGGGAAGTTACGATAGGGGGCTTTCGGGATTTGGTGGGGGGTTGGTGGGTGGGTGTTTCATTGGGAGGTGGTTTTTTGGGGGAGGGGAGGGTGCATGTGAGCTGGGTATCTTTATGAAAATGGAAGGGATGAGGGGGGAGGTTGTAGTTGGTGGTGAGTAGGTCGGTAAGTAGGGGTTGGTAAGTAGGGGTTGGTAAGTAGGGGTTGGCGGCAAGTAGGGGTTAGCGAGGTCATTGGAGTGGAGAGTGGAGAGTGGGGTGTTTTTTTACTTTAGGCTGGTTTGGGGATGGTAGGCGAGGAACGTGGTTTTGTTTTGTTTATAATATTACGAACGACGCGGAAGAATTTGATAGGTACTATTTAGCTTACCTAGTGTTTATAGACAGGTAGGTGGGTTTATTAGAGCTTTGATTATTGGAAGTAACAGGCGAGGGGAGTTTGCTTTTGTTGTGATTTCACGACGAGGAAGAATTAGATACCGTTTCGCTTAGTGTTTATAGATATGGTGGCTTAATGAGGACTTGGTAGTTAATAGTAGGACCTTTGGTTCTGAGATCTAAATAGGTGTTGGGGTACATGTATGTCGGTTTATAATAGTGAATGATTATTAGCTAGCTCCGGGCGTAGCTGCTCCTTCGGGACTAGCGTACTCTGGCACCTACAAGTACGCAGGGACTTAGCTAGCTACACTTGCTTCGACATGCAATACAACAATAAGGACTAATTACTACAACATACGATACGTAACATAAGTCTATTGCATCCCACTTTATTGACGTAAAGTCAAACCAACAATGTAAGATCTTGAAAGTGGATGTCGCTAGTAGGATGAAGTAAGCGAGTTAGAGCGGTCACTAGCGCTTTGTCAGAGTATTTATCGAGGTCGGGTGCTTTTTGGCTTTTCTTTGGTAGTGCTGTGTAGGAGGGATGTGATCAGGACTTGAATGGATTTTGATGGGGAATTGACAAATTGTACGATGAGTCTTTTGGCCTGTATTTTAAAGGTGGTCGTTGAGGTGTTGTCCTGCAAATGGAAGTGGGAGGTATGTTGTTCACGTGATTTCGTTTGAAGAGAGGATCTCTTCCATTGAAATTGTCTCTACGCTTCTTGGGAAGCTGGAAATGAGATGTTGTTCGACAGAAAGGGGAGAACCCCCTCAATTTGTAAAGTAAGGTACAAGTGGGTATTAAATATCCTGAAATGCCGCTAGTGCAAGTGGGTAGTGAATGTATAGCCAATATCTTGCACCATGAGTTGGAGAGGCTACGCCGCTTACTCCACAGTGCGCCAGTGTGACCTCTCAAACTTCCAAGGATCGATGAGATGAAGACATGCCCACGCTAAACACAGCTGCAATTGTTGCAATGACTTACGGCAGACTCTTTTTTCTACAAATCGATGATTCGCGTAGCCTTTCCCGCGTCCCATCAGTGTTGGCAATAGTTCAGTTTGCTCAGTTTTGTGCTCAGTTTAATATGTCGTAAAACTTCAGATAGTTCAGATTAAAATTTAAAAACTGTACTAAAAAAAGAAAGAACTAACCAAGCAAACTATCGTAGTTTTCAAAACTGTACGTCAATTTTAGTCTAAATTTATAAACCTAGGTATCATATAAACTCGCCTACTTCTCTTATAATATCCTTGTTGTCTAGTTCCTTTGACTTTTGAATCTTTTTCTTAATAATTAGTACTACCTCTTCTATATCTAAGATTCTATACTAGTTACTTAGACATATAAGAGCGTTAGTTGTTTTAATCTATACTAAGACGAATTTTAATCTGCAGAGGTAGACAGGGACGGTCACGTGGTTATTGGTCACAGGTGCGATAGGTCTAGAGCTTAGTAGGGTGAATCATAGTAGGGTTTTGAGGCGGTAAGATATAGCTAATTAGAACACTCTATACTACTAAAAAGGTTTACTAGTAGTATCCCCCCTTCCTTAGACGCTAGACGCTCTCAACCCTATTAGTACCCTATCAAGAGCTCTACAAAATAGGTATACGGAGTATAAAACTGCCAAAACTGCACAGTTTTGACCGACCAAACTATACTAACCAGCAGTTTGGATTTCGCTTTTGAAACTGTACCGATTTCTATAAAAACTGAACTAACCAAACTAACCAGCGGAACTGAGCAAACTATTGCCTACACTGCATCCCATGAAAGCTTCAAATAAGTTGATCTTAAAATTCTATCCTCTATGATAGTAATATACAAAACTGTATAGACCCATGTTGTGTGGAAGGCACGGGTTAACCGTGACATTTTAGATACCAGCCAAAATGCCACATATAGAACAATACGCCCCTCTTTCAAATTGTGGGTATTCCCTCCTTCCGCTGACACCTGGCGATGCGCTGGTAACATCAATCTTCGAATCCAAGTGCTCAGGTTACTGTCGAAGCTGTTACTTCCGTCGATTTCCATTTTCGTTAGCGGCCGCTCTGTAAGCTAAATGCGATTGGAAGGATGAAGTGAACACTTTCGAGATATTGTCTTTCGTCGCTTTGCGACGGAAACGGTTGGTATAGAGCTTAACCTTGGGTATCTTTAGGGGCGCATTTAACTACTCCCCCGGGTGGCCCACAATTGACGTTGCCGAATGGGTCTTTAGAAGTAGTGGTGACAGGCCGGTCAGTATTGAAGGGATCCTTAGGCTTGTCGCCAAAATAGCACTATGGAGGAAAATCAGTACGTATACGATGCGTTATCAACCCTTCTCTATGCTAATGTAGTACTCACGCAGTAGGTCTTTAGACCATCAGCTTCGCACCCTCCATCTCCGGTGATCCCATTATCGCAGTACCACTCAGCTGCCAATGCGGTCATGCTCAAGGCGAGAATAAGGATGAGTTTCATGATGAAAATAAATTGTGATCAATAGTCTAATAGTATATGAAAGTGATCGGTGAAAGTGTAATCAGAGGTACGATACGTAGGTATGATAGATAGGCGAAAAGGAACTTGAATTCTGGCGACAAGGGGACGTACTCTTTATATATATATAAATCAACTTCTAGCTAATACTAAATTAAGATGCTATTACGATTTGTTGTGTAACCTAGATTGTAGATGAAACTCCAAGGGACCAACCCTTACAGCCGAAACTCCAAGGGATGAATCCTCATAGCCGAAACTCGGCACTATCTTGAAGTGTCTTGGTATAGTCGTAAAGAATAAGACGATCACAAAGTTCGAATGATACCCAGATCCTATGTGCCCTCCTAATTCATCCCATATGTATAACTCGGGCTTGTTCGCGACACCTATTTCTAGTCTTGGCCCTTGCGGTTGTTTCAACGTCTATACAAACCCGTATGATCGTATACGTACGGTATGATTCTCTGATTGTTGATATATTTTTAAATTAAGGTTAAAAATGACAATTGCGATTAAAGTCGTCATGCGACCTATTATTATTATTTTATTCGTACATGCTATCCTTTCTACGAAGTAGAGTATATGACCAAAAGAACACATAATTGATAATCCAAAGTGGATACAAGTGGATACCAGTGGATACAAGTGGATATAATAACTGGCTTGAACCTAATCTGGTTGGTCAAATGAATTTGCTTTATCTGAGCCTTTAGACCCTCTTTATAAAGGCTTTATGTGGTGGCCTCCCACTCCCCCAACGTGACCCGCCCGCTCCCACCCCGACCCCCGGCCCGTATCCGACGCCACAACGCCACCAACCACCACGACCAGCCTTTATTATTTTTTACAATGCGGAAGCTCTTGGACGTGGGCAAAGCATTTGCCAATTCTTTGGTATAGATTGTTATGCCGCTGAGTCCTTGCTACGGAAGTCCTAATTTGGCGAGAACATGCCATAGGCATAGTAGTGGTGGTAGTGTTGAATTTGGCTTACTATTCGCAACTTGCGGTTGCTATTGTCACTCATTGCAAGGGTCCTCAAGAGTGATGTTGAAGGCTGTGAATAAATTTGCGGGTACCCAGATATAGCGTCATATTTTGTTGCTTGGAGTACTTTAGTGGGCCAGAATCTGCCATTCCCAAAGTCTTGGCCTGAATATTTGTCACGTTCGATAACAACACTCTAGGTAATAATAAATCTTTCCTTGGCTAAGAACGAGCATTCGAATTTTAGAAAGACAGCATGTGAAAGTGGGTAGATTAAATATGCATTTTACTCCTTATAATTAATGAAGTCCGTTCATTCTTTGTGGAAATCAAGAGACTCGGGAAATAAGAAGTTACTACTTGCATTTTCTTCATGGTGGGACTCATTAACGGGAGTCAACGCAACGTCAGCAAAGATGGCCCCTTTAGTCCCGTAGAAGCAAAGGGGCCTCTACGCAAGTACACCCAGTCCATGAAGAGCAAAGGGCCATCCGCAGACTCAAATTTAGATCAAACACCGTCAGAACCAGCTTCAAAAATGATATCATTAAGGAGATGAAGTTAACTTCTCGTTCTTAAGAGTCCTGCCCATTATTCTACGCACATTATAATGAAGAGTGATTATGCTGACATCGTGGCACAATTAGTCTAACTATTCTAGTTCCGTATACCTGGGTTCCTGGAAAGGGAAAAGTGCTAATTATTCCTGAGCTCTGAACACCTTAAAGTTATGAACTTAAAGTTCTTGTACATAATTCAGTACTACCTCCGTAGTAACCATGTAAAGACAGTTTGTTATCAACCTCCATCTTATTCCGCAAATTCACTGTTGATGGCATTTGATTAGGCCTCTATGTTTTACGTTTCATAGATTTAGAGAATTAAGAGAGAGGCGGAGTACAATAATAAGCTAATCTTGTACTCTTATTCTTGTGAAATGGCTGCAGAGGAAAATTTCTGTCAGCATCAATAGGGTGATACTTGAAATACTTCAAGATTACAATTATCCATTGGGAACGACGACTCTCCAAACTGTTGCTGGATATTTGGCATCCACTCCATTATCTTGGAAATGGATTTACCCAGGGATACTAGCTTTGGGTAGTAGGGTTACAATTGACCTCGTATCCACACGTAGATAGTTCTTTCAGTTCTATAGGGTCATTTTGTAGGGAATTTAATAGCGTTTTCATTTATTAATACTAGATCGTCAGAGTTACAAATAGTAAGCCAATTAGCCAGTTACCTCATGAACAACCCACTCCGCCAGATTACACTCCCCTTTTTCCGGGGCGGGAGACCCTGATCTCTGGCCCATGAGAAAGCGGCATTGGCGTGAGACGTAGTACGTATATCATCTTTGGTCAATCCACCACATGGCGCATCTGCACAATCGAATTCTCCCGCTAATAGAGCACCATCACCACTTGAGTTTCAAACTGCTGGGTCTCCCGCTCGAGTCTCTAGCTCGGGACCACCAAGACCAAACAATCGAATATGACTCGATGTTTTAACGTTCCCGAAACTTACCAAGACGAACCCAATCGCCGGAGGAGCCTGAGCTCATAGTGACAAGTCAACGTTAATAAAGTCTAGCGAAGTGATAATCTTCTTCTTTGATAAGGAGAAGACTACAAGATAAGGGGGCAATTAATTGTGTGTCAATATCTTGAAGTATATACTGCACTTGGAACCCGTGCTAGAGCAAGGTTACAAGCATCGTCGACTGTAACTCACAATTCAGTTTTAACAAACCTAAATCATTATCATACATATATAAAAGCTGTCCCATCGTACTACCACTGCATACCAGCTAGATAAACTCCAGTTAGCTACCATGTGTCGAGACTGTAATTCAGCGTATTAAATAAGTAGAGTAGAGTAGAGTAGAGGCACCTACTCAACACTACTTAAGTAGGTTTTAACCCTACTTTAACCTACTCGCCAAGAATTAAGTAGGTTAGAGTACTAATTAAGTAGAGTTGCGCTAGTCGGCCCGAGGCCTCGTAGCGTACCCGGGGTACTCCCACTAGTCGGTGCACCTACTTTAGCTTAGTTAAGTACGTACTCCATAATATTAGTAGAAGGTAAATAGCGTAAGTTATACTATTTTACTAATTTTAGCGAGGAAATATTTATAAGTATCTACTATAAGTATACTAGCGAGTAGCTCTTTAGCTAAGGGGCTACAATTCTAATAAAGAGTACTTATATTTTGTACTTTAGTTACTACTATTATATAACTACTCAAGTATACTTAAGTAGTTGAATCTACTACTCTGACCTACTCAACCAGACCATATACTCAAACCTACTCTAACCTAATTAAGTATAACCCGTATACACTTGATTAGCTGAGTATTTCTTTCTTACGCTGCTGTAATTGAGTGGTACAAGAATTTATGAGATAGTTACCGGGATGTCGTAATAATAAACTTGGAATGTATTGTTTCTAGCTAATTACTATAAAACAAGTAACTTTTTCTTAATTCTACTTACGATATGACTTTAGTTGATTTAAGTTGTTAAAATGATTCAAATAACAGAGTTCATGGAGAACCCTTAGTATTCATACAAGAAATGCTTATTTCTTTATAGTCCTTTAGAAAAATAATTAAACGAAAGTACTAAATAAATAGCATTTGTTAAATCTTTATTTAAGTGATTTTAGCATTGAGTATTTTCAATACTTTATTAATTAGAAATCTTTTTACTATTTAGATAGATAATCGCAATGAAACCTGTTGAATTTAAACAGAAATTTGTTGTACTAACCGGGCCTCGCTTACTTGAGGTGGGGCACGTGATTTTACCTCGAGACATTCTACATATAATGTTTTTGTACTGCACTTACAGCAAATCAAGCACAAGAAATCATGTCACCGGTCATTTTACTGAGTAAAGCAATTGTTTGCGAACATTACCATGCTTAGAAAGTAACAATCTATCGTATTTCTTTTACACTTGCAACTTCCACCACCAATTCAGCTATTTACATTGGTGTACCATCGTGATTAGAAGTTCTAGACGAATTCCGGAGGCGGCTGAGGAGCGGAGCAGCGAAATGGTTTCGAAAGAGCGTCGTATAATCTCCTGGTTCATTCTAGCGATTGTATTAGCAATGTAAGCATTGTAATATGGTACAAAGTCTTAACTTACGTAAAGTTCCTCGCCCTCTTGTGAAAACCCTGTGCAAATCTCCTGATCGCATCTCATAATTCTTCTTGTCAGCTTATAGACGTTTGCTACTCCGAATTTAATCTCTCCATCTTCATTTTCATCTCCCGTCTTTCCATTCTTTCCATTCTTTCCATCATTCTTTGCCTCCATATCCTTTCTCATTTGACACAACATGTATGCTGAAGCGATTTCTGTTTTTTAACTGTGCTGCCACCATTCCATTATACGGGGTGGTAAATTCGTCCATTGGATGGGTGCAGGCTCAGGCTCTACGAGCTCTGCAACAAGCGCTCCAGGTTCATGATCAATCATTGGATAGATGTCATTTCCGACAAACCAGACCATTTTTAAGTTTGGGAAGAGGCCCATATCTCCTTTCAAGGTAGCTACTGCTGGACTTTGGCTATTGTTACCGGCCATCTGTTGTTCATTCATTAAATAAAAATCCATCGCCGCGGACGAGAAGAGGATATGCCGGACTTCCTGGAGATCGCGACATTTTGGACACCCAGCCGGCGGTTGCGGAATGTTGCATTGGAGAAGATCGTTTGGTTCCGTAGAGTAGAAGTATAGCATGTCGCCTCCCGCAAGATCAGCGTAAACGGTTTCGGAGCCAAAAATTAAATGGTACGATTTGAGGGCTACGGCTCGAGACTCACGATTGACGGAGAGGATGGCGGGATTCTAAAGAAAAAAGATTAGTCTCAAGTACTAAACTCACAATAATAAAAAATCTATGGAATTGTATGCTTACCGGCGAATGAAGAAGACCTGAAAACAAAATGCGAACGCCACAGGAACAATTTGGATCATTCCCCCAATCATCCGTGTTATAACATTCATGTACAACTAGCAACCGTGGTCCAGGTAATGCGTATCTCCAAATCATCCAACGAAGTTCAATTGGTAATCTACGAAACTTGGGAAACGTCTTAAGATTTGTTTCTTGTGTATAGGTCCACCCCGTGAGCCCAGAACTTGCGATATAGCGATTGAATTTTCTCTCGTACTTTGCAGCATTAGGCGAAGCAACTTCAATGGACCCAGAGGCTTCGCGTGCTCGGTGTATGTTTTGTTTGAGGTAACACCTGCAGAATTGTTTGGTTAGCATGCTTCGCAGGGGATATTTGAGGAGTACCTAGTTGCCAGTCGACTCTTGAGTCATGTGGAAGCTTCAAAGGTATATTGGCACTAGAGTGCCCCTAAAGAAGACACTTAATCATGAGAGATGGGTGCTTACCAACGTCTCTGATCATATGCCGCAAGTCTCTCACAGAATAGCTGCTGGTGATTGTCCATGATGTCTCAAGAGGGCATTGTATCGCTTCGGCCAGCTAGAAGTTGTCGACGGGCGCGCAAATAGTCCTTCTCTTCATGTGTTAGAAGACCTCGTTTCTCCAACTCTGCCTCGAGTAGTGGCTCCTCCATCCTCCAATACCATCCAGGGCTTGTCGAGGGCATTGGTGGATTGGGGGGATACTGCGAGAGCAGTTCTCCAAGGAGCATGCCATCTTGTGGACTCAACGTTCGCACACGTTCCTGGGTGTAGTGTACGAGCCTGGATGCGACTATGGTCTCCATAGTTGGATTGCGTCCTCTCTGCATGGATCTGAGCATGTTAGCAAACTTGATTTGCAGACAAAACAAGCGTAAGGTGCCAAAGAATGATGTGTGTTGTTAAGCTTAACCCATTTTCGCTCACTCCTGGCTCAGTGTCCGATAGTGCGTGGCTTAAAGCTCCGATCTTCCTACCCGAACAAATCGGAATTCTTTTCTTGATTTCCTATCACATGATGTTCTTTATCCAATCAGAGTCTATTTTTATATCTGAGTGAATGAAGGAATAGTGAACTTTTTTACTGGTGAAGTTGATTCAGCACACAAGCGAACAAGCCAAAAGGCAAATGGAACCAGCCTCCTATATATTCAAGAGACCATTCTATATAGATAGTCAATCCATTGTCTCTTTGAGAAGTATCAAACCACTGAACTTGCTTGAGGCCTGTACTTGGTGCATTTATATTGAAGTTTGGGAAACTCTCGCTTAAACAAGAGTTGTATAGCAATCAACAAGGCAGTTTGTTTAGCGCCATGTCAATGAGATAACATACATATGTTTCTGAGCGATTACTGCAAAGTATGACAAGAGCAACATCTTTTTCTGTTTTCTTCTTTTAAAAACAAAATCATGTCAGGGCTCAGTCTTACTTAATTGTGCAATCATGAATTCTGAATCACATCGGTTGATTCTCGGTTGAGCTAAGGGATAGATGGATAGTCTTGGCAGTGGTTGGTCTCTTTGGCCTTAGAACACCGACTTCCCGTTACCAATTCACGACAGACTATAGCCAACTTGCAGCATGGGAATTTATTGCCAACACCACCCTCGATTTTGTTCTTTTGGTAGAGATACTCTTTGGAATGGATCCTTCAAATGTTGAGCTTTTGGTACACATCTCCGCCCCTAGCACATCTCGAGATGATGCTCGGTACAGGGCCTTGGCGCGCGCATACTTGAATTTCGTGCCTGCAACGAGACTAGAGCTTGAGGAACTTCCAGAGGACGATGAAGAGACTCGAATAGCCGATGATCGTGTTGCGTCTCTCGAGGAACGAGTCAAGGAAAACAGCCAGTTCAACGCTCGTCTTGGAAGTCAGGTGCGTGTTGAAGAGGAAGCCGAGGTCAAATCATGGGAATCCTTTCGACCTGGCCAGGAGGAGGAAGACGAAGACGATGATGGCCTTAGTGAGGCTATACCTACGCAGTCTTTCTCTCAAGAGCATCGTCAATCGTTTTGCTCCGCCGAATTATCCTTTCGAAGCGTAGCAAACAACGCCGACTCTCCACCATTTCGAAACCAACGCGAGGTCACGTGCGCTCAGCTATCCTCCCCAATCCAACGACATGTCGAAAGTCAGAAATCGACGGATTCTTGGATCCCACCTCGAAGCACTATTTCCGATTCGCAGCCTGAATATAATAGGCCCTCACAAGCTCTCTCTTCCCCCACTCGGGTTTTGGAGCAATATCTCCAACGACGAGAGAACGCGGGGTCTGGATCCCAAGAAAGTGGTAGGTCACAAAGGCAGAAGAATCGAGATGAAGCCTCTTCCGGGACGACTGAGAGTCAAAAGACTAGTACCTCGGACATAAGAGATTTTGCCTTCAACGAGACTTCCTCTTCTTCGGTACGAAACCCTATGGCACAGCAAGAAAATACCCCAGGCGCACCACCAACCACCATTCCAGCGACGTCAACTCATATAGCAGCATCTTGTTTGGAAATTTCTCCGACTCCAATATCAACCCCTGGGAAAATGCTTTCGCCATCTGAGATCATGATAAGCTTCAAGCTTCGCTCTGGCAATGTTCCGTCCAAAGTACCATCGTCGTCAGTGAGGTCTAGTTCTCCGATTGTAGTCAATAAGACAACGATACCCAAGTCCTCTGAAAATATCGAAGCTACACCCACGGTAAGAAGAGCGATTCCAATATCCGAAAATTCAACGTCCATTATGTCTAGCACCACAAATGTAGAAATCTCAGCATCAAATATCCCCTCTTCTGATTCTACCAACTCAGATATAATAACGATACCAAGGAAATCAATGAGAAATATTCCTCGAACTCCATACCGAGCTATGAATACTACTGAGGATTCCTCGATTGCGTTAAAACGGAAAATGGCTGAGAAAAGATCTGGATTTGAGGTGCCAGATTCCACGGCTGAAGTGGAGAGTTCTATATCTGTTATCCCCGAAACTATTATTAAGCCGCCGGCGAAGCGTACAAAATTCACCCTAACTCGCCCTATCTCTTCAAATTCTTCCTCCAATGCAAGGACCGACGACCCCTCAAAATTACCTGCAACACTCAATATGGAGCAGCCAAATAAGCCTCAAAACGACACTTCCCCCTCTAAGACACCTTCAACGCCCACTCGAAAGCAGCCAGACAAGTTTCGACCCGATAACACTCCCTCAAAAACAAAGGGTCCTACGGCTCAGGGAACCCCACGCTCGACGCCTGTATTCAGTTCCCCTCCATCTGCAAGTCAACTCCCCACCCATCTCGACAAGACAGAAGCACGCCCTCGTCCACCGCCTACAGGAACAGGCCACATTGACCCCAAATCTTTCATAACCCCCGCTCTTCTCGGTCTCGCAGAGAAGGACCCCAAAGGATCTCTATACAAGCCTCTCGACCAAGTACGGGAGCTCAGACCCACCGAGCGAGGATATTGGCGTGTCGACACCACGAACTGGGAGCCTGGATTCAAGGAAAAATGTTGGAGCGTTCTTGCAAACTTCATTCTACAAGAGAAAGGCGGTTGGGGAATCTCTTGTGTGCGGACCGAGGATTTCAAGGAAATACAAGTCTATTGCTGGGGAATTACCGTGCCGTACGTTTACTTGCTAATCTTTATGGCGAGTTCAAATCGAGTGCGAACAAAGGGACGAAGTTGGTGGATTGGAGGTGATGGAAATCCTTTGATCACAATGCCTGTGGTCCCAAAGCCTACTAAGAAATAATCGCGTTGAATATTTTTTGGGCTGCATAGGATAGGCACGAAGGAACGAATAAATACGGAGTTTGTAATAGGATGCGGTTAACACAAACCAAATGATACCCAATGAAAAACACACTTTGATCACCAAATTACTCCTGTGCCAAAAAAGACTTCAAAGGCGTATGACTCTTAGAATGATGCATAATGATTTTTCGATTCTGCCTGTCCGAAGGCATGGCCCACATCTGTCGCTTCGCTCCAGAGATGACACACAGTCCGAGCCTGCAAGTTTTCACTGCCTGTATTCCTCATCATGTAGTGATGACTAACAAGTTAACAACGAATAAATGCTCTAGCGGAAATATCCGTGCTCAGTCATGGCGCCGATATTATGATTACCCCCAATCAATAAACCACACAATCGAAAGAGTAGCAAGCGCCGACCTCGGCATGGTAGTATTAATACACGTGACATTCTTAGGCGCAAGTGAGAAGCTTCTAAATTCTGGGTCACAATTTTGAAGAAGGAAAAAGATGGTATTTTCGGAAAGTGTGTTGACTTTTTGATAGGGGAATCAACTATTGAAACGAAAGGAGAGCCTTGGAGAAAATGCACATAACCGTGTGTGACTTTGGCCACAATTTGGACCCCTTTTCACCTCTCGCTTAGCTTGGAGCGACTCTTGGCATTACGAAAGTTAAGAGAAGCACTGAGCAATTTAACACCAGGTTTATTTTACCACACAAGGTACATTCTGCGACTGTTATGGTAATAAGAATGAAAAGTACTGCTCAATTCTTTTCTGGCTCGATAATCGGATTCGGACTCGACAGCAGACTGCTTACAACCATGTCCATGGAATAGTACATCTGACCACAGCCAAATTTGCTAAATGAATCTTTAACACAATGTCTTCCGTTTCCTGGCTCGTAACATAGAACAATGCACTTCTTTCGGCACAGGGGGACAATAAGAGTGGCAACAGCAATTACAAAGGAATTGCTTCCATAACAAGGAATTATGGTGTGTTCAAGATCTGTTTCTTTGATCTCTTTCAGATAATGACAAAGGAGGGGAGGCACAGCTTCGGAATAACGTAAACAACTTCAATCTTTAACCTCTCGTCGAGCCTTGTAAGCTTGCATTTTCAAAACACCGTTAATCCAATTGAAAACAACAGGAAACCCGTCAGTGGATTCCTGCTTTCAGAATGTAAGAAAACAGCTTCCAAAACAGCTCAAATCACTTCCACTGGCCAGGTTTCTCTCATAAACTCGATAGCTAGTCTCTTCATCCCTGCAAGCTCCTCTCCTCAACCTTCTCTTCTTCCACTGATGGATGTCAGACACTACTCTTCTCACTAACTTCAGATTCTCTTTACTTCCTAATGCGGTAGTAAAGGAAAACGAGGAACAGAGGTCTAGACCGATTACTGAGTCCAGTACAGTCCCATCCCTCGAGTATAAAAGTGTGGAACTTTCCGACCTTAGAAATTTTTCTCCACAACCATCTCACACCGCAAAACCACTTCACTTACCTTGACACTATCACACCAACAAACCGAAGTTAACCACATCCACATTTATCCATAATGTGTCATCAGAACATTGTTCAGGCCACGGACTGTGGCCACACGATCACTAAATTGTCTATGTGCCATGCCAAGCAGCGAAACGCTAGAAAGCCAGGGTTCTTCAAGAAATTGTTTGGATCCAAGCCTAGTCAGCGAAAGACCTGCCCTCCAGAAGAAACGACGACGCGCATTTTCGCTAGTCAGGATCGAGTTTGCGACCAGTGCCGGGCTATTCCGGTGGAAGAGCTCGCCCAGGTCATCCGGAACCACGCACACGAGAAGAGGGGTTTGAAGAAGGTGGTCAATATGATCAACTTCCACAACCGCACTCTTGGGCCACTTGAGACGTGGAAGTTCAAGAATTCAGTGTATCGTATAGGGGATGCATCCCATCCCCTATCGTACAATGAAGCAAGAGCTCTATTCTGGTGTCTACGATGTCGAAGGAACAATATTAATCGTCCAGAGGTTGGTAAGACACGAAGCCCTATTAATGGCTTATGCTGTGACCACTCTGAAACGTTTGAGGAGTTCAAGGAGCTGGTTGCGAAAAAGAGTATCTCCGGGTACCCAGTTTCGCCACCAGGATCCCGTCGGTCTTCCTTGCAGAGTTATCGATCAGTTCGCACCACAGGTCTCCGGGACCCAAACTCTTCCAGAGCCTATATAGCAGGAAGCAGCGTACGACCCCCACCACCAGCCCCAGCGTTTGATGCCTACCAGCGGGATAATGCTCCACATGCATTAACCACCAGTGGTGATTGGGCAATCGTCACTGACGGAAACTCGCCCTATCATTCCAGACATGATCAAAGAATCCGGGAAGCAGGATCAAGTCGACGACCCGTAGCCCCAGCCCCAGCACCAGAGCCAACCCAACGGGACCCAATATTCCGCGGTTCTCTAGTCCCAGAAGTCAGAGGAGCCAGTGGACGACGAGGAGCTGTTTCCCATTCTAACCCCGCCCAGGCACCAGCACAAGCGGGACCAAGTAATGGGAATGCGGGAGGACTGTCCAGACAAGAACGAACCATCCGTAGTCAAGCACCAAACCCAGGTGGTTCCACGGACGAAAGGCTCCAACACCGGCTCGCTAAAGCGGAGACGCAATGGAGAAAGATCCTAAGAGCGCAAAGGATGGGGCACTCCATCTCTTACGAGGAGGAGCTTCGACTGTGGAATGAGATCTGTGATCTGAAAACGCAGTTGCATCTTCCTCAGCGTGCCCGGAACTAAGGCTAGCTGGCTAGCTGCTGCGAGAGGGTCGAATATGGTAAGTTGTCCCCAACCCCTATGAATGCTGACAAGACAGACAAGACAACTGGCGCTGGACACCAAATCAACTGGAACATACAACAAGCCCCCAAGATTGGATAATCGGGGTTCGCAGGATACGGCGTTAACAGGTCCAAGGAATCCGGAACGGTATATTGATATTACGCACTAAATAAAATTGGTTAAAAAAACAAAACAAGAAAGAGAAGGAAAAACAAGAATTACGACTGAAAAATGATGGACATACGTGAGTAAAGGGAGACAAGATCTTATGAGGAATATTGGCTAACATTTTGTGATATAGGTACAACGAAATCTACTGGATACACGAATTAGCGGCAAAGCAGAGCAGGAAGGATAGGTAAGAAACTCCTTGAACGAATTTTGGCTAACATTTTCATACAGACAAATTCAAACTCGAACCCCTGAATCGGATACGTTGCTCACACAGGCCTCACATAGGGAGGTCTTAGACAATCTCTGGCCATATGAACGCGAATATTTCTTCCTCGAGTCGAACAGAAGAGAGCTCCGGAAAGGCCGCTGATAATTTGACACAAAAGGTAAGCCCTTGTAACATTGTAACCTTGCTAATAATTCATTGGATCATCCCTTACCGACCTATAGGCTACAATACTCTCTTGCCTACCTACCTATAATACAATATTCTTAGCGAGAATGGCAGTACAACTAATACAAGCTTCAAAACAAAATATTGACTCTGATCAGATAAACGTGAATTGACATGTGAGGTGTTCCTGAGTTTAGACCCGCTTTCGACAACATCATGGAAAAAACATTGCAGTGGATTTCTCATGGATTCAAATGCTGGAAAGGGTACCAAACTAACGTAATAACCGCACCAGACCCTAGGACCTGAACACCAACCTCGAACGTGTCTTGCAATGAAAAAAGGTCCACCGTACCTGCCCTCTTCAGATAGCCCTGGAGCCATGGTCCAAGGTCCTGCTTCAACTTGGCTCTTCCAATTTCCCCACCATTCCATCCCTTCTTCCTTAGTCATTCTTCCCATTCCAACACACACGACCGGGTCATCCGGATTCATCTTCCATACCTCCCCTGTTCTATACACAGCTCCGCCCCGGACTCCAATTTCACTCAATACAATGCCTTGTCGCTTGATTTCAATTGGCCTTTCCATTCTTGGCCTCTCCGTTTTTGGCCTCTTTGCTTGCTCTGAACTTCTTGACTTCCTTCTCGACGGCGTCGTTAACCCTCTTCTGGAGCTCAGGTCGGTACCCAAACATGAACAAGAATTCCATGAATACAAAGAATGGAGCCAGTACCAATGCTTGGAGCAGGTTGTCCAACAAAGCGGGAGCACGACCTTCGTAAACCCCGTGTCCAACAAATTGAGCTCCCCATGAAATAATTTCAGCAGCGATACCGTAAGTGTTGGCTGTTGTAGGATATGTCGCAACAAGATAATTGGAAACGGCAGTCCATCCGATGATTATTGGCAAGAGAATAGTACCTGCGACTGGTTCGAGGAGGATATAGAAGCCACTGTATAGGAGTGCGGCGATAGTGCTCAAATTGAGGGGAAGATTAGGAACCGATAGCCATGATGGCAGAGGTATTAACGTGGGGCTGTTGGAAGCCTGACATATCGCTTAGCAAAAGTTCCAAGGGCTAATTGTAGTTGAGGGAGAAAAGGCATACAAGCAGTAAACTGGCAGCAAGAATCAGAGGGACACATGTCATATGAATTGCGATATTGGTCGGGTTGTGATGGTATGCGCCGTACTGTGCCGACGGTCAGTTTCTCAGGGTTGATGAAGGCGACGGATTGCGACTAGGTGGACTCACAAAGCACAACTGTTTCTCAAGATTTAAAGACATGGCGAATAACTCGGGTTGGTTTGCGCTGTGGTGGAGAAAGGAGATGGAGAGGCTTCGTGGCGTGGTGGACAGCTTCGGAGGAAGATGGCAGTTTGACGTCGAGGGAAGATATCAACGCGATTGTTCTGAACGTAGGATCATCACTGGACGCGACAGTGGTTCAATGTGGTGGTGAGAAGGTGGGGATTGGAAGGTGTTGATGTTGGCTGGCTGTGGATGCGGATGTGGATGTGGATGCTGCTCACGTCGCTTTGGTGATCCCGCGCACATGCCAAGCCCATGAAGCTGTTCTCAGTCATTTTCCCCGAGGCTCCGTTGATGAATGGTATGGGGGATGCTTTCTACGCAGGTGGGCGTTCAATTCAGTATGCGCCGTGTCCACACTGTTACTCGAGACTGGAGTGACATGCCAAGCGTTTCCGCTCCGCTCTTGTTATTCCGCTCCGCCAGCAACCGCTAGCTCTCGAATCTTCCCTTTGTGCCTTTGACTTAACAAGGAACAACTCGACGTCCTCGTTCCCATTCACGCATCCTTTGTGCGCTCTCTGTGGCCCCCAGAGAAGTGCCAGAGCGTCCATCTTGCGACCGCCATTCTTTTGAAGCTGTGTACTGTACGTCATGTTGCGAATCACAGCACAGAATCGCGTTTTGGACTGATGTCGGCAGATTCTCCTAGTAGTTCAAGTTCAATCCCAACCAGCATATATCGTATCCATATCGCATCTGCATCTACTGGTTAAGCAGCGCAATTGTGCGATCAAGGAGGAGGTGAAGTCTACTCTATACTGTACATGGGCTGCGAACGGCGCACTTGAAGATCGCGGCGCGCATAGATTCACCTTCGATTCGACATCGAGTCCTCGAAGACAAAAGCCAGAGCCTCCTCTCCTTTGCCGAGCCAAAATACTTGCCGCGTGAAATTTGCTTCCATCGCGATCGCAACAACCCAAGACAGCTCTTGCGCGTCTACAATCCTTATTGCGACTTCTGCCCGTCATGTTCTTCGTCTTAAATCTGACCCATCAGGTCACCCTGCATCCCTCGTACTTTGGCCGAAGCATGCATGAGCTGGTGACGGGAAAGCTCTTGAAAGATGTCGAGGGAACCTGCACAGGGCGATACTTCATCATAACTATAATGGACACGGTGAACATTTCTGAGGGTCGCGTATTGCCAGGAAGTGGTTTGGCCGAGTTCAACGTGAGCTATCGAGCTGTGGTTTGGAGACCTTTCAAGGGCGAAACGGTGAGAGATACGGCGCGATACCTGCGGTGAACTCGTACTCATTGATTTCCAGGTTGACGCTATTGTGACTTCGGTCAACCAAGTCGGCTTTTTCGCGGATGCTGGACCCCTTCCTCTATTCGTGTCCTCGCATGTAAGTATACTAATTGCTGGCTTGGGATGAGGCTAATATTGGCGACAGTTGATTCCTCCTGATATCAAATTTGACCCTAATGCCACTCCACCTCAGTTCACCAATAACGAAGACTCCGTCATCGAGATTGGAACACACGTCCGCGTGAAGCTAATTGGTACTAGAGCCGAGGTGGGAAGTATGTACGCTATTGCAAGCATCAAGGAGGATTACCTTGGGTATGTTTTTTCCAGTGATAACTCGCAAGTTTCCCTTGCTAATCAACAACAGGTGTCTGCAAGGCTCTTGATGTGCTCTAATTGAGGTGATGGTAGGAACGAACCGAACGAGGAAAGCGTAAGAATTCAAAATTTATACTGTGGGCATGAGTTGAAGGCCATCCTTCCAAATTGATGGCAGAATCGCTTGGCCCAAACAGAAGCAATCCGCGTTCAAGCAGATATCATAGAAGCAGCAGTCTTCAGGATCGGCTTTGATGGAGAAAAACTCGGAATTCTTGAGATACCAAATTGAAGATTAACAGAATCTCAAAATGAAATTTTAGCGTTTCTTAGACCTATTTAGCCCATACTATCATATTTGTGATTTGTGAAATACGCTGGTCCCCTTGCGTACATAACATGTAAAATTGCCACTCCACTGAAGACATTTGTACTGGGTAGAGCTTGAATGAGATACGCCATCTGATTCCAACCTCTATTTTCCGTTGGAGAATGTATTGCGATTTCACTTTTCGTCTCTAAAACTCCTTGATTTTCAGATTGTCTGGCGGAAGAACGTTTTCAATGTCCCATTTTGTAAAATTGGAACACGCCCTCTCAAGTTAAGCGAACAACTCTCCTCGCATGTTTACTCCTTAAAACACCACAGCATAATAAGCCAGTAGATTTCCTACTATAAAGGTATGTGTACTCAATTTCATGTTCACGAATCAAAGGATTGAGAGTTTTGTACGATAAATTGGATGTGCGTAGCTTTCTCGACCGAGAAATGAAGGGGTTGTAAGAGGGAAACGGCAGTGTATGGATGATATGGAGGGAAGTTACTGGTTGAAGTGTGCTCAGTGATATGCAACTAACTGTGGATATATGAAGAGACTTATTAAGTACGCACACTGGAGTCTGGTAAAGCTTCGGATTGTCCAATCTAGAATTCTGGGTAGGTGTTGCTTCGCATTGGAATCACTTGAGACTCACGCGTACAGCCGTTAATCTTCCCATCTTAGTTCTTTGCATTTCAAAATGTATACTAGTTAATGTCTTCCAATCATGTCTCTTATCTCTCGACATATAGATTCTGTCCACATATATGCATCTTCCCGAAGAGGACCTCGCGAAACGAGGAAGAGTCGGACAGTACACAATCGCAAAAGCTCCTATACACTACATCATACATACCCTTCTACCTAAAAGAGCATTACCAACCTCCACCTCTAAAAACTAGTGCGTTAGCTATTTGCTCACCACGCCTACTCTCCTTGATAAGCCCCTCGTGATTCTCGGCGATAACGCATCTGTTCTTGTTGTTGTCCCTTGATTTCTCACCCAGCTCGTTGCACTATCCAATTGTTAAGCGTCTGTAGATGTTGGGAGTTATGGGACTTACTTGCCATCCAGCCAAAGGCTGTACTTCCTTGACATTATATATTGTTAATTCATGGTTTGAAGGGGGTTTTGGTGGTTTGAGCTCCAATAGTCGAGGACCGAGGTGTTACGGACTGGACAGAAACTCCAAGAAATTGCTTAGGAATGACAGGGCTTACATGTTAAAAACCGCGAAGAGATCCTCGAAGCATGGGAAAGAGGACCTTTTCTATAAGCCATTGTTATCTCTTGTAGGGAAAAGCTCTGTGCTCAACTCAAATAAATCATCGCCAACTTTGATATCTTGCAACTACCCTTGATCACTGACTACAGTTCATTATATATGGAAGTAACAAATCAAACAAAATATTTTCATCCGTGAAGCTTTACTTGCAGGTCTTGCCGCGGTCAGACAAGCGTCACCATAGATTTGGGAGCGGTATGCCACTCCATGTTCGTTGAACCATCCCATTTTTGAGCAACGAAGAAAGCGTCTCGGATGGTCTGTGGAAGCTGTTCCACAGGAATCGACTTCTGTAGTTCACTGAAGTTCTCGTTTGTAGTGCGGAAATGCTGCACTGTCCCCCAGAAGTAGCTTAGAGCAACGTACTGTTCTTGACGTCCTCGGGTTTGAATGATCCTCGGTTTGGTCGATGAGGCATCCCATGCCCCGAGATCAATGAGTCGCTTCGGCATACATGATTTGCCAACAAGTTGCTGGATATGTTCCAGAGAACACATCATGTGTCGTCGTTTACATATTTCGAGCCAATTTCTTAGCCTTGAAAAGTTGGCTTGGCATGTAGCATGACTTTCAATCTCCCTCAGTCTAAGGATTCCAGCTTCCTCGGCAGAAGAATCTTAATAAAGTGAGTAGATGCTCGCAATCGTCGCTGCAGCGACCTACCTTTCAATGCATATATCTCAAGCAGGATTGACCGAGATGGGCCAACGACCAGCTTCTCTGTAAGTTCACCTACAGTCACGAGGGCATTTTGAGACAGCTGCCTCTCTCGAAGTGCTGCGAAATTTCGCACTTCCATTCCCGAAAGACGGTCCTTCCGGCCAGTTGCAAACAATCGAACAGGGCCTACATTACCAGTTGCCGCATCAATGTTCACCCTTTGCTCATGCAAATAATGAACACAAGCCTCTGCAATCAATTTGCATAGCATGCAACCACTTGCGCTGTCCACAAGGGCCTTGAATGATGGTTGATGCATGTAGCCGTCTGCTCCTTTGAGATCCTCCAGGTTTATAGGATTACATCTTTCGCATAGGCGTTTTGGGTCGGAAGACTCCGCCATTTTGCGTACTCGTTAATGGCTTTGTGTAGTTGAGATTACTGCGGTACCATTTAGTATACGATATTGTGAGATAAAATTTGTTCAAAAGCGATTGCACACAAGGCTGGGCTTATGAAGTGGGCTGATAATCCATAGGAGGTTGTCTGCAGGAAGCAGGTTTCTGGTTCTACTCTACCTAGGTAGGCTCGAGGTAGGTAACATTCTTGTCGATTGTATTACTAGATGGGCCACTCATAGACATACGATATATATTCTGCTCTTTGGTTGGACAGCGGATAAATGGATAAGGCAAATCAGCATTCTCCCTCCTCCCTCGCCTAATTGGTGGTCTAAGGTTTAGGTACGTTACAGTAACCATCTTATATTACTCTTAACACCACGCTATGGAAAAATAGAGTGATTTGCCAGCGGTTTTTAGTAATAGTAACAAAGCTTATTAGCGTGTAGGAATTGAGGTTTATAACTTATTGACAGGTTTGGTAGGCGTATTTTAGTACCGAATCAGGGGTTGTTTGGCTACGGAAAGTAGGATATTTTTATGTATATTATAATGAGTACTAAGGGCATGTTTGGCTACGCAAATCTCTCCATGCAAATTAGGTGCAAAAGTCGAAGATTTTCACGGGCTGGAGGACCCCAAGGGCTCATGCAAAAGTTTCCTGAATTGCATGCAAATTAGACTATTCTCACGAAACAAATACGCCACCGTTTGGCTGGTGCAAAAGTTTGTCATTAAATAGCAAATCTTTTTCATATATCTATGCCCCCCAGTGTAGGTAATAGTTCAGTTTTCTCAGTTCTCATTTTAGTTTAGGGTATAGTAAAACTAACCGCGGTTTCGATATATGTTATAAAACTCAGTATTAAAAAGAGTAAACTAAACTGAGTAAACTATTATAGTTTTGAAAAACTAAGCTATATTTAGTCTAAATTAGCTATAGCCTCTTATATAAAAGAATCTACGTCTCTTGCGATATCTTTATTATCTTGTTCTTTTATTTCTTTAATCGTCTTATTAATCTAAATAACTACGTCTTCTATATTAAAAATACTATATACTAGCTCTTTAGGTATATAAGGGTATTAATTAATAATATACCTAAGCGATTCCGTCTATCTATAATAGTAATCTTTATACTAGAAAATAAGCGCTTAGGACTAGCGGATATTACTAGTATTAATAATACGTCTAGGGCTATTCGAGAAAGGTATAGATATTACTTTTATTATATAGGTTCTAACTACTATATAATAGGATCTTTATATATAGAAATAGTCGGAGAGTTTATATAAAATTTATATTCGTTATAAATAATAAGAGCGTTAAGTACTTCGTCCTCTTTACGTAGGAACCGAGTAAACATATTCTCCTTATTAGAAGAAATACTACTAGTTATACTATAGGTTTTAGAAGTTATTAATACTAGTTTATACTTAGATTCCTATAAATTAAGTGCTAAAGATTTTATTATACTATAAAGGTCCTAGTACTAATTCTTATAGATATATTACTACTTATAACGTAGGTATAGTATAAGAGCGGCGGTATATACTAGCGATTGATCCGATATTTAATAATATTTATCGAGTTTATACTACCCGGAATTAAATATTTAAGATAATATAGGATCTTTTATATATTACTTTTTACCTTTTTTAAAGAGTATTAAATAAAAGTCTATTAAAATAATTGTATTATAGAGTATAGAGCTATTAGATTTAAGAGCTTTAGTTATTTGTTTAAAGGCTTATAGGAAGTTCTGTATAATAATAATATATTACTATTTATCCTTAGAAAGTACTTTATTACTATACTTAAAATTATCCAATTTATTAGAAGACTAGAGTTTAGAGAATTCCTTAATTAACGCTCTTAAATCTACTATACTTTTTAAGTATATTAAACTATAAATTCTAACGTATTAAATTATCTCTCTTTAATCTCTAGCTAGGTCCTATAATACCTTTAAAAGTATAATATCGTAGAATACTTCGAAGGATATAAACAATAATATTATAGAGTTTACTAAGCGGTCTAAGTTTATACTATATCTTAAATATATCTATTGTTTTAGAAAGAATGATATTATTAGTAGAATACTCTAGACTAAGCGTATCTTTATTAGTATTAAAAAGGAAGACGTAGATAACAAGATTAATTATATAACCTATATAGCGTATATAGCGCTCAACTCTATTAAAGTTTACTATTTAATATTTATAGTATATGACTATTAAATATTAGAATTAGAATCTATAGTACTCATTTAGGTATAATAAGCTTACTTATTTTAACCTTAGATATTATTATATTATTGTTTATAAGTTAGTATTATCTATCTAAAAATATCTAATATTCTTTATAAATCCCTACTCCTCTAATATTTTATAAATCCTATTTATAAGGTACGTACTATTATATTTAGAATTTAATTCTTTAAGACTAAGGATAACCGATTTAAGCGCTCTATCTAGCCTAATAAAGTATATAAGAATACTAAAGATAGTAAGGTAGTTAGGTAAACTCTATAGGTTATAAGATATATAGATTTTACTATATACTTTATTAAGAAGGCGTTAGATAAGAGCTTTTTAAATAGTATATTAGTTAAGAATCTAGGCTTTAATCGTATTATAAGAGCGAGGTAAAACCTCTAAAATTAAGGCGTTTAAATAGTATAAAAAGGCTCGAAACTCTCTAACCTCTATAGATCGAAAAGCGAGTATATAAATAGTAATAACTCGGACCTAGAGATACTCGATTATTTTAATATCTAGCTTATTATTTAGTTTACGTCTTTTAGCTATATTTAGTTAAGAATATACAAAGGCTTATATAATTAATATTATTATATTTAAAGCTCCCTCTTATCGTTTACTATTCTCTAGAATCTTATAAAACTCGGTAAGGTGTTTTAAAGGTACCCGAGTACTACTAGATATTTAGTAAGACTATAAGTAATATTTATAATTCTATATTAGTGTCACGAATCACGTGCTCACGTGATACTTGTCATAATAAGAGGCGCAACCCTCGACAGGCACATCCAGGTTTCTTATATCAAATAGGGATCGTTTGGGGTAGCTAAGCGATCCAGGGATTTCTCTTGTATGTAATCACGTGACTAATACTGGACCGCCAGCTCGCCTAGCGATCTGGCTATCTGGACCGCCAGCTCGACAGGCGAGTTGACGGCCTAGGGAGAACGAAGGTTCTATATAAGACTGGCACGTCTGCCATTAGATAGGAGCTTCGTGCTCAATTTAGTTATCAATCTTATCTTCTCTCGACAGGCACATCCAGGTTTCTTATAGCAAATAGGGATCGTTTGGGGTAGCTAAGCGATCCAGGGATTTCTCTTGTATGTAATCACGTGACTAATACTGGACCGCCAGCTCGCCTAGCGATCTGGCTATCTGGACCGCCAGCTCGACAGGCGAGTTGACGGCCTAGGGAGAACGAAGGTTCTATATAAGACTGGCACGTCTGCCATTAGATAGGAGCTTCGTGCTCAATTTAGTTATCAATCTTATCATATTAGTTTGACATCTTTGATACAAGTAACGAGTTCACTTCCAAGTGAACAACCCGATAGTCTTCTTCTTATCATAGCATACCAACCAGCGAACACCCATCCAAGTTTAGTTAGCCAGTTTGAGTATTCGTTACAATTAGTACGTTGGTAGTAGAGTAGAAGTATTTAGTATTATAGTCCTCGGAGAGTATATAATCCTATACCTAGGACTAACGCTAATTAGTATTAGTCTTTCGCTTTCTTTTTTTAGAATTCGAAGAAGAGATATCGATAAAGGCGCTTTAGGTATATTTAAGGAGGTTAGAGTTATTATAATTGTTGTTATTATCGTCTTCTTATATAGGGTCGTTGTTTTTAGTAGCCTTAGTTTCTATAGCTTCCGTAGCTTCTATATACGCTACTTGTCGTTTAGCGATTATACCGGCTAATAAGAAAGATAATTTAGGTTAAATATACTTCTCTTAAGCCTTTTCGGTAGGTTTTACTATACGCTTAGACTTCCTAGGCGTAGGTTAATCTATAGTAATAGAGTTAATTATACTAGTATTATAAAAGTCTAACCTTTTAGGTTAGTAGGTGTCACGAATTACGTGTTCACGTGATACTTGTCATAATAAGAGGCGCAACCCTCGACAGGCACATTCAGATTTCTTATAGCAAATGGGGATCGCTTAGGGTAGCTAGGCGATCCAAGGATTTCTTCCTTACAGAAGATCATGTGACTAGGGAGTATGAGGAAGTATAAGGGAGGCTTATACTACTCTATACTACCGGAGTATAAGGAAGTATAAGGAAGGCTTATACTACTCTATACTCGGACCATACGCGGGGTATGAAGGTTCTATATAAGACTGGCACGTCTGCCATTAGATAGGAGCTTCGTGCTCAACTTAGTTATCAATCTTATCATATTAGTTTGACATCTTTGATACAAGTAACGAGTTCACTTCCAAGTGAACAATCCGATAGTCTTCTTCTTATCATAGCATACCAACCAGCGAACACCCAGCCAAGTTTAGTTAGCCAGTTTGAGTATTCGTTACAGTAGGGTAGAATATACTATAATAAATTTTTAGGCGGTATAGATAAGCTAACCAGATTACTCTAAATTATTAAAAAAGTAACGTTCTAGGCTTAGTATACGGCCTTTCTATACGCTGGTCTCTTAAGTACTTAGACTAGAATACCTTTACTCTTATAGTATATACCCTACAAAATACCTACAAAATGCCCTATAAAACTAACTAACAGTTTGGATTTTACTTATAAAACTGAGCTAAATTTCGTATAAACTAAACTAACTAAACTAACTAAGAAAACTAAGAAAACTATTGCCTACACTGATGCCCCCTGCCTACCCCTCCTACGCCAGCTTGTAGTATCCCTTTTTGCGGCTACGCTTTGCGGCAACAAACTAGCCGAGCTTTACTTTCTGTTAGTATAGGGGGCTACTGTAGGAGGGATACTGTGGGAGGGATACTGTGGGAGGGATAAAGTAGGGGTGTAGTAGTAGGAAGGGACACTGTAGGGAGGGATACAGTAGAGCTCACTATAGGGGGGGTAGGGGGGGCGGACAGATTTGCAAGTAGATTTGCGCAAAAGAAAAAGATATGGAACCTCAAGGGTTCCATATCTTTATATATCTTATTTTAGTGGTGCAAATCTAAAAAGATTTGCACGTAGATTTGTCACAGATTTGTAGCTAAATTAGTCAAAAACAATTGGTCCTATCCAAATAGTAGCGTATATTACAATATGTATGCATATCGTGCATATTATAATATGCATGCAAATCTTTTTGTATGGTGCATATTTTTAAATTTGTTGAGCCAAACGGCTCCTAAGTATAATTTGTATATAAATCGTAATATATATGTTTGCTTAGATATCTATAAAAGTTTTCTACTAAATTAGCTATAAATCTATCGTAAACCTAGAGCAAATCCTTCTCGATCTACACCACTAAAATAAGAATATAAAAGAATTGAACCCTTAACCGTTCAATTCTTTTTCTTTTACGCAGATCTCTGTACAAATCTATCGTAGTATAGACAGATCCTACGTAAATCGACAGATATACTACAAAACAAAAACAACTTTTGCACGAGCCAAACAGTAGTACATTTGTTTCCGAAGATTAGCATAGATAATATGCAAATCTGGAAAGATTTGCATAAGCCTTCGGGGTCCCTAGCATCTGTAAAAGTCTATGATTTGTACCTAATTTACATGGAACCATTTACGTAGCCAAACATGCCTCTAAGTTAGTATCGATCGAATAAAGTATATATTAATAAAATAAGCAGAAAGCAGGGACGGTTGCTAATGGAACTACAAATACTCGAGTACGAGAAGTCTACTATATACAGAACACGGAGGCTTATATCCCTCGAATTAGGCTCAATTGAAGACTAAAAAATGGGATAACCTGTGAACTGACTTTTGTTAGTACTGACACCTCTTAGGAATCCTTAAATGGCGCTTATTTATTTCATAATAATTACACAGCTATCGCTTGGATTTTATCCACTTCTTAGTATAAACTTAGCTGCAGAACTCTCATTAATAAACGTTATAGAGAACAGATAGATAACTTCTGATATTGATAACCATTGGCCCAACTTGTCCCGAAGGACACTCGGAATTTGCTTAATAGTACATACAACCACTCCCCTGTTCCATGGCCAGTCCACCCACTGTTATATGCGAGTCATAGTTGTGTTATTTTATGGGCCCTACATGCGAGCCATATCCCTTACTTCGTAACACCTTAGAAAAAGTTTAATTGAGTTTGATTGGCGCGAGTACCAAGACCAGACCAAATTAGGACGTTCTACCTACCGGTTTCTAAGGGGTTACGGAGTAAGAGATAAGTGAGTCAGTTACTATGCGCTAGGAGTGTTTTCTGTCTATAAAGGTGTACGTCCCTCTATATCTAAACATTATGTATTCTTTCACTTGTACCGTCGTACTCACTTGATCTCTCGATTTCACTATACCCACTTTATTTAAATCCGCCTGTCGACCTCCGACATACTTCAAATACCAACCTCTGTCAATCCTATCTCCCTCTACAAACAAACAAATCAAGCACCTATTAAGCCATGAACTTCCACACTCTCTTCTTCGCCGTAACCCTCATTTCGGCTGTCTCAGCAGCAGTCACGAAACCAGAACCATTCAGGAAGCTTCCAAACCCACCTCCTCACAAATCAGGCCGCAAGTAGAAAAGAGAGGGCAAGGAATGATACCTAACTAGGTTAGGTCCGTCTGCGCTTAGATCTTTGAAGGAACTATATGGTTCCCCTCTTAAAGAGCTGGGGGGAAGAAAGGGGAGGAAGGTAGGAAGGGGTTGGGATACGGTTAGAGCTGGTTTGGGGCATAGGCAGGATTCTTGGGGATTGGGGTTTTGCGGTTCTTATTAGTGGATGACGGAGTAGTGTTTTCATGAGCTAGCTTTTGGATACTCATCTGTACCTATCAGCCGGATTTCTCCATCTATTAGATTCACTAACAATCAAAGCAAATGCAACATCCTCAAAAAACAAGGTTTCACTATACCCACTTTATCCGAATCCGCCTGTCGACCTCTGACACAAAAGCGTAGTAACCTCCTGCTTTGAAATACTTGTTGAATGGTAGAGGGGTGAATTCATAATATTAGCCCTGAGGGAGGGGAGAGGAGGGGAAGTCCATTTACCAGCCTCTCTTTGGTTGTATTATTCATCTACAAAAGATAACATACTGTACTAAACTTGGCGTTGCGATTGCTAAATCTCCAAGGAAATCTATGCATATGTATAAGTCCTTTTGCGATAGAATATCTCATGTGAGAAAATTACCTACAAGTCTTCATCACTGGTAGGTACCTTCTTGAGATGTTTGATTGAGGGGCTCTCATTACTAGGGTTTAAGTTGGACACTGCTGTGTTACTGTACATATTTCTCTCGGTTACACCCATTTTCGATTGTCCTGGAAATGCTTGTTGGCTTCAGAGTATATAAGAGTGAAGTGTTTATAGTGAGGTGTGATTACTAAGCTTTTAGTTGACCAATCAGAAGATTTAGCCAAAACTCCTTAATTCTCTGATTGGTCGAAAAATTATTACATAATCACAACACAACATAACTTTTAACTTAGTTAAGTTAACTTATGAAGTACGTTAACTTAACTTATCACTATAAAGACTTAATTACTACATACTCTAAAGCCAACAAGTACTGTTGACTTTTCAGAAAATGCTTGTTCGCTTCCAATAATCACCTCCAATACAATAACATTTTCAAAACTAATAGGACAAAGTGAATCTGGTCCCGCATTACCCCACCTGCCCATATTGGTTAGGGAAGTTCCATCCAATTGAAAAGCCGGAAGCTTAGAGCTTGGGTCACTTGGTGATCTTTGCCGAGGTTCTTTACGATAGCTTCACAGCATCCAAAAACCATCGTATTGACAAAATACCACGCAACCCTTGGGCAAAAAGAGACCACATACCAGGCTCCGTTAGCAATACAAGAAAAGATGCCAGCTCCCACCCACCTCATTTCCAAGGTTGGAGATCCAATCTTCGCTGTCTTCATTGGACTCTCTGCTGCTGCGACTCGGATCAATCGAGAAGAGAAGGAACTTGGACGCTCTACTGCCGATACGTTGAATACTGGAATGAGGTAGGTGCAATCATTTTGCTTGGGAACATAGGCATCTCAGCTAACTCTGTACTTGGAGGCGACTTGGCCTTCGGAAGGATGAAGCTGTAGCTGCCAAAAAGGGCTGAAGAGAGGGAAGGTGCGGATAATGTAAAACTAGAATCCACCATCAGAAGTAAAGGTGCAGGTTTGAGACGCAAGTTTTGGAAGGAAGGAAGCATTGAGAGGAATGGGCTCATGCACATGTAATTCATCAAGTCCTCGTCCTCTGGTCTTTCTTTTGGTCGGGCCTCTTTCAATACCCTTACCATCATCCATCATCCATCCGCCATTGCTCTACAGTAGACTTGGCTCTGGCTCTATACATTGATAAGACATAAGACCAATACAACATCAATTACGACCATTACCATTTCTTTGCAGTCATCACAACATCCACTACACCATGGAGCCCTTCCAGACTGCGAGCTCAGTGGGTGGTCGTCGTCCACGTACACTCGTTCGCTCGCATTCAATGCTTCCACTTCCATTCGAAAAAAGTCCGGAAAGGCCATACACTGCCACCAGAAAAGGGAATGCTGCAAACGCAGTTCCAGTTCCTCTTACTCCTCGTCGTCAACGCTGCAAGGCTCCTGAGGAGAAGACCCCAACTCGTTCTCAAGCGTGTAATGCATCTGATAGCAAGCTTCCTCAGCGTCCCAGCACTCTTCCTCGAAATTGGGCCGGCACCGGAAAACCAAAGAAGTCTTACCCTGCCCTTGGTGATACTTTCAGTCGATCAGCACGAGCAACAAGCCCGTAAGTTGCCGTCCATCTTTCAGACTGAATTATTGCTTTCACCTAAGCCTAACAATGCTGCTCTTGAAACCTTGGTTTTTCCTTCAGTCCCCAATGACGAATGCCTCGAAGCCATCCTAAGAAGATTGCTAATCATCTCATCAGATTTCGTCCACCAAGCCGTATAAATACATCCACGCCGTTCTACTCAGTATCTCCGAGAAAAGCGACTCCTAGAAAGGGTACTAGCCCTATGAGAAACTCCATACCAAACTTCGCTCCATCCAACCACCACCCTGACCTCCTTGCAACAATTACACCTGGTGGAACTACCTTCTCACAGGAAGTGAACGCTGCTTTGCCAAATGTTGTTGCCCAAGACTCTACCAATGCTATGCAAATGAACAGCCCTCCGACACCTCCCATGAGCCCACACATTCCTGCTCTTGATCCAGACTTGTCAGATATCAGTAGTCTAGAAGACTTCTCCTCACACAGCGGCGGAAGTCCTCCTCACAGCCCTCGATTGAATGCCCAAGATACTTCGACAGATTTGGACAATTCCAAGGAGTCATTGGCCCGTCGGCAATACGCTGCCCAAGAGGGGCTCCTTTGGAATAACGCAAAGTCACTTCTGGAGCAGGACTTCTTGCATCCTGTTAACCTTAATGAGTCTGAATTTGTTTCGTTGGTCTGCGGAAAAAAAGCCGATCGCCCAGAATGGTTTCGTATTAACCTGGCTACAGTTATCAAACGAACTATTGACCAATGGATGAGAGCACATCGCACATTGGTTAAAGCTGGCATCCCTCCCAGTGAACTGAGGAAAGAATCTCTGAACGCTTTTGAGTTCATGAATGATACACAACAATCACATTTCATCCAAAGCTACAAGCTTGCGGAGAGACAAATTTTGAATGCTGGGGATGCTCTTCAAATGACGCAGCAGGAACGTGATTATTTCGCTTTGTTGCCACTTCCTGACAAGTACAACTTCATCAAGTAAGTCTTTTTCTGAACTTTGGGTATCTTTGTGATTCCATGGATTTGTGAAAGCTCGTCACATTCTTTTTGGGAACTTGTATTTGTATGACGGCATTATAATTCCGGGTTTCTTGTCATCATTCGTACGAATGTAGGCTGACTTGAATCTGGATCCAGTAACTACACAGATCCTCCCATTCAGGGACTGGAAAGTAGCGGATCTCCTCAGCTGAACTCTCGTCAATCTCGGGTTGATCTGCTCAAGTCGAAAAAGGCTGATAAGTTGAAGGCTCTCCAGGAGAAACTCAATGAGATGAAACAAATTGAGCAAGATATACGAGAGCTTGAAGAACGAGGTTCCCTCTCTGATTGCGTGCATGACGAGGATCTTACGAGTGCTGAGGTATACGACGATGACCATCTTGAAATGGACTTTGGAAAAAAGGCTCTCGCCGAACTGGAGGATCCTTTCGTTGACCAACCGGAATCGCCAACCAAAGGTAACATCTTTCATGAATACACACTCTCTGAGCGAACAAACCTACCTAAACAAACCTCCACATCACATACACCAGAGGGCACCATCTCCGATCAAAGGGCCAAAATTCCATACGACGATAGTGCCGAGTATCGTGATTTCATGGATGATTCCTGGCATTGTTTCGAAGACTTGTCCAAGGCTGACACAAAAGCAATTGTTGAGGTGACGGCTCTGCCACTTCCCATCCCAGAGGCTACAGACCCATGTTGTGAGACTGAGTCTATATCCACCCATGAGTCCATGCCTGAGCTTGTACTTCTAGACACTATTTCAAAGTCAAATGATCAAATCAAGGAAACCTCCACCACTCCCAACGGGTACACGGTTGTTCGGAAAGTGTCAGATAACATGGACATTGAAAGTTTTGCCACTGTTGGGGAGCAAGCTCGCATCTTCGCCCAAGAGTTGTCAGAAATCGCCAAGATTTTGGAGTCTGGTGTTCATAGTTTCTCAGCCATCGAGGACAGACTCCAGCAAGCGAATTATAGAGCCAGCTTAGATTCCGCCATCTGCCTACCAGAAACAACGACCGAAATGACGAATGCACTACCCAAGTCCCATCATACTACAGAAAGAAAGACATCAATGACCACCATTCTATCGGAAAGCTCAACCACTTCTGACAAGCTCGTATTGAAAGATGTCACGATCGCTACCCCCGATGTTGGCTATGAAAGTTCTCGAAGTAGCCACGTTGAATACATGGGACCTTTGTTCGCTCGCGAGCGTGCATCTCATGCATCCGAAGAGGGTACACTTCGTGGAACCTTGTCTAAGAAGAGTGGTACTGTTCGGAAGAAGTTGAGTCAGTTCTTTGGATCCATCAGACGTAAGGAGTCTCGTCGAGATCTTCGGGACCTCTCGAAGGTATTTTGAGGTGAAGAGGAATGTTAGGATGTTTGTAGACTATGGGATAGACTGTCATGAGTTTGTGGTTTGATGAAGAGAGGGTAGAACAATCATTAGAGGTGGAATTGTAGATAGAACCCAGTATTGTTATTGAAGCATTCAGGATTATTTTAGAGTCTTGATTCTTTTGCCAACATGAGCTTACTTGTGACAAATCTGATCCAAGTAAATAAAGTACAAGCTACTTGCTATTATTCACAATATCCGGTGAATGAGCATATTACTCAACAGCTTTTGTGCAAATGAGCATTTCATTTCAGTCAATTTCACAAATTTGATGCATTAGGATAAAAAAAGAATTGGCAGAAAGCACCGGATGGTACCTATTCCCAAGTGCGAGATACTAAAACCACTTTGGCTCCTCTTCAGTCTGACAGCCCTGCACTTCAGTAATAGAACGGCCTGCGCCGATTCACTCCTATCCCCGCCCACCACAAGACCACTAACCCAGTATTCTCAGAAGGAAAACAAGTCAAAAAGGGGGAAAACTGCCAGAGTGTTGCACAAGTGTGAGGTCGATTGTATGGGATCACAAATTCCGTCCGTCGCAGCCAATAAAAAAAGTTCCGCAACGCCAGAAATAACCATGTAGTTCGCCGGGGAAGAGAACGTTCGCAAAGGGATTTATGTTATCCGAGAAGGAGTGATTTACGAAGTCTCGAATGATCCGAAAGTGTTCTCGCCAGAGTAGGAAATATAAAGGAATCTGTTGTGATGAAAAAATGTTGGTCAGCTATTTTGATGTTCCCATGATTTGTTGGCTTGTTACAGCTTCCCCTTGTATACCCCGCCACCGCCATTCCGAAGGCGTCGTCATTTCTGGGGAAGGGAGAGAAAGGGAAAAGGAGACTCACCCGTCCTCGTCTTTATGTTCCTCGTAGATACTTGACATCAGAGCGGCGGTAGGTGGCAGGACCTCGTCGACGAAGATGAAGATGGCTTTCTCGGGCGACAACTTGATGCGCTTGCGGATCACGTAGACGAACTGGCCGACGGTGAGATCAGCGGGGACGAGGTACTTCTTTTTGTCGATGGTCGCGATGTCTGACTTCTCGACCTTCTCGCAGATGACCGGGATGCGATCGGAGTACTTTTGGCGCTGTGATGTCGAAAGGCGAAGTTAGTTGTCGTGAAGATGTGATGGGGATGGGGTTATCGTGGGGGGGAAGCTGCGGGAGTACTTACGATGCGTTCGGCCTCAGCCTTGCGCTTCTCGAAAGGGTGTTCGTCCTTAAACTTGGATCGCATCTTGACTGGTGTTGACGAAGGATTCGGGGGTAGTGGTAGGAGTGGTGACGGTGGTATTCTGGTGTTGAGTTGGTTTGGAGGTTGAAGGTGTATTGATGGATGATGATGGTGGTGGTGGAGAAGGAGGGAGATCCCTTTGACTGCTTGCGCTGGACTGGGTACCTAAAGTAGCCGAGCTAGGCGGGGGGGCTTGGGTACTTCTAGATAAGTGACTGTTCACCGTTGCTCACGTGGCCTCGGAAACTGCCAGTGAATTGGGGAAATGATCAAAGAGGTTGAGACAGTGAGCATGACTAGCCTAGGTAGCCTGTGCATCTTCTATTTCTTACAAATCCATGGCTACGAGTATCCATCCCCTTTTCCATTCACTCGGTCACTGTAGTTGGCACCTGCGCACTCTGGTGCACTGTTTCCCCCAGAAGCTGTGATGTGCAGGTGAGGGCACGGAGGGCACGGCGAGCTGCCTCGCCGATATCTCCAGGCTTCGGACCCAGTATTCAGGCATTCATGCACATGCCCATGCATACCCTAATTATTGACCTCATCCCTGCAGAAATGGCTGCTCAGCTGTCATCATCATTCCCCTCCATCGCAATAGGACCATTTGGCACTCCTTTTCCAAAACTCTCTTTCGGAATCACCCCATTCTGCGGTTGTGGTTCCATGTTGGTTGTACGATAGCCCGTTACCTTGACTGCCCTCGCAAATTTCTTTTATATTCCTCTTCTTCCCATCATGTCTCTCTCAATTCGACCGTGTCTGCGGGCTTCTAGCTTGTTCAAAATACGACCTAGAGCTCTACCAATTCGGCAACATCTGCAAAGAAGAACGCTCATAGAACCCACGAATCCAGGGAAACCACCGGGGAAATCAGAAGGCCCCTCAGTTGTTCCATTTGCGAAGACGCGGCTTTGCGTGGGCGTTGTGTTTATTGGAGCTATAATCTACTCCATGGTAGCTTTCCCCTATTTACTCTAATTGCCCGGGGACAACCGGACTGATTTCCTTAGGCCACCGAAGAACCTGCAAAGCTCGATGGCCCTTCAATTGCTGAGAGAGACAGCTTACAGAAGCGGGAAAGTGGCGTGACGGAGAACTCACCAATGCGATTGCGAATGGAGGATTTCATAAAGGCTCAACAGAAGGAAATCGTTCGGGAACTGGAAGCTGTGGATGGCCAGAAGTTCAGAGTCGATACATGGACAAGAGAGAAGGGGGGTGGTGGCATCTCCTGTGTTTTGCAGGACGGGAATGTGTTTGAGAAAGCTGGTGTGAATATCAGCATTGTCTACGGAACCCTTCCCCGTCCTGCTATTGAGAAGATGAGAGTCAATCACAAGGCTATGGATGCGAGCGTGGAATCGCTGGACTTTTTCGCTGCCGGTCTTAGCATGGTTCTTCACCCAATAAACCCTATGGCACCTACAGTTCACCTCAATTACCGGTACTTCGAAACCGCAAACCCGGATGGAACGTCGAATGCTTGGTGGTTTGGAGGTGGAACTGATCTCACACCAAGTTACCTATTCGACGAGGATGCGATCCATTTCCATAAGACCATCAAAGACGCTTGCGACAAGCACGACAAATCATACTACCCAAGATTCAAGGAATGGTGTGACAAATATTTCTTCAACAAGCATAGAAGCGAATCTCGAGGAATTGGTGGAATCTTCTTCGATGATCTAGACGGGACGGAAAAGGACCAAGAAAACACATTTGCGTTTGCCCAGAGTTGTTTGAAGGCTTTCCTACCATCGTACCTCCCAATTATCAACAAACGGAAGGACATGCCATATACTGAGAAGGAGAAGGAGTGGCAACAGATTCGAAGAGGGAGATATGTTGAGTTCAACCTGGTTCATGATAGAGGGACTGCATTTGGTTTGAATACACCTAGTGCGAGGGTGGAGAGCATTCTGATGAGTTTGCCTCTTACTGCTAGCTGGAGATATATGTACGAGCCAGAGAAGGGATCAAGAGAGCAGAGACTGGTGGATATACTGAGAGAACCAAAAGAATGGGTATAGAACTGTATATTATGGAACCAAAATGTAAATACACAAAAGTCGCTCTTTAGATAATGTATATACACTTAGCTGAATCCCGAGCCTCTCGAATGCGCAGTAGAAAGCAGGAATTCAAATTTGTTCTATCAACCGACTCGCAGTAGACGAAAAGGCAGTAATTAGCTGCCTCTCACATACCGTGGCTATTTAGAGTAATGATCTTAGTTTCATGAAATGGATGTATGATCAATTTGGTTTTCCTGGGACATGAAATAAATCCGAATTGCTCTAAAGAAAGTAGGGAGTTCGCAAGACAGACGGCGACTTTCCCCAGAGCGGGGTCAACCACATCATCTCGCTCCCCTTTCTTAGCGAGTCAACCCCTAACCTCATACTAGTACATCCCACCTCACCCCGTCATTTCATAACTCCCTCCCAACCCCAAACTACCATCTCACCATCGACACATATACTCTCAACACCCCCACAACACCTCACCCAAATCCGTCAAAAGAAATGGACCCAACACTCAGACCCATCCCAACACCCCGCCACCTCCTCACGTCCCTCATAAACACCCTCACAACGCCCCCACCACCAGCACCAGCGCCCCCATCAACCCAACAACCAACAATCAACACCCCATATCCCCATTCCTCCAAAGAAACAACCACAAACCCGTTAAGAAATCTCTCAGCCTCGCATCGCGCGCTACTAACCACGCTTCATGTCCTCTTCCCGCCAGGGATGGTATTGCAGAGTCTGGATTTGCTGGATCGGGGGTTAGTCACGCGGATTATGTGCGTGCCATCTGAGGCTCACTCGACACCACCTCAGGAAGGAGAGATGGGAAGGGATTTCGAGAGAGGAGAAGGACAGGTTTGGCCACCGCAGGCTAATATTCACCTCCCGCTTGAGACGCTCAACGACGCAGTCCCAGAAAAAAAAGAGGAGAGAGGAAAGAACAATGTGATATACAGAGTATCCTCCTCACAGCCCCAGAAATCACGGTTCTCACATTCCCACTCCGGCGCGGGGACAGGAACAGGACAGGTCTACACGGTCCGTCTGCAGGCGTGGAATTGTAGCTGTGCGGCGTTTGCGTTTAGTGCTTTTCCTGCTGCGCATAGCTCGAGGCCTTGGGAGCATGAGCGTGATTATGGTGATGAGGAGGAGATGGGTGGTAAGAGGGAGGAGATGGGTGGTAAGAGGGAGGAGGAGGAATGGGAGTTTGGAGATGGGTGTTTGGATGGGTTAAATGGGGAGGGGGTGCCTGTTTGTAAGCATTTACTTGCTTGTTTGCTTGGGGAGAGGTGGAGGGGTGTGGTTGGNATGGGAGTTTGGAGATGGGTGTTTGGATGGGTTAAATGGGGAGGGGGTGCCTGTTTGTAAGCATTTACTTGCTTGTTTGCTTGGGGAGAGGTGGAGGGGTGTGGTTGGGGGGCTGGTCAAGGAGAGGGAAGTTGGGAGGGAGGAGATGGCTGGGTTGGGTGCTGAGTGAGGGTTGGAGTTTGGTGTTTATGATCAAGTCGTCGTTTGAATGAAGGTATGACGCGGATTGTATGATATGATCTAGAAGTACTTGGCAAAACCCGCGTTTTGCAAGTTATGGGGGGGAAGGGGGGGGGGATTGAGGATACATTGCTTCGCAGGGCAACTTAATGCAAGCTAGAAGTCGGAAGAAATTGGAAAAGTAGAAAGTGGTCTGTCGTACTTGTAAGATATTTTGATGTCACACTTGCTTGGCTTCTATTGAGCTGCAAGTAGAAATCTATGGTACAGTAGCATAGCAGCAGCTCCATGATATGCCAGCCGCTTATGCCTCATAAACCCCTGCTGGAAATTAAACGCCGTAACTTTCATCAACATCACTTCTTTTTGTCCTTTTCCTCTTTCTCCTTTTCTGCTTCCTTGGCCTCCTTGACTCCATTAACACCATCACCAGTTGGCTTCTTGTCTTTCTCATCCTTGCCCTCGTCCTTCTTGGCATCTTGCTCCTCTTGTTGCTGTCTGTTCTGGATCTTGTTTTCGATCAGGTCGTGGAAAGCGGTAATTGCTCTAATCAAACTACTCAAATAGATGGCCATAAGTTGATCATTGGTCTTGATGCTCATGGCATGAGCCAACTCGCTGTCGTTCTGGACGGGTGCGTCAATTCCGTTAGGAATATGTGATGAAGTTTTTGGTGTAGAGAGGTTTGGCAAGAGGTTGAAAACATCCTGAAGATTTCCCAAGATGGCGTGGTTGACTGGCAGTTCCTTATTGAGCACTTTTTGTAGGTATGCACCAATATCTCGTAAGCGCATGTGTAGTCCTTGCAGCGATTGGAGTTGATTGGTGATTCTCGTTGATAGTGTTCCAACAGCGACATCTCTGATATCTCTCAATAAGTGCTCAACACCAATCTCCTCTGCCTCTTCCGCCTCGATGATCGATGGTGTGTGAACGAAGGTTTTGCTTGTGGTAGTTCCATCCTAGTTGCTCGATTAGCATGCTGGCAAATTTTGGCAGCATTTAAACCTACATCTTTAATCTCCTCCACCGCAAAGTATGCATCGGTTGGTACACCAGATTCCTTGGGCTGCACATCGATGATTACCAGTAATGGGTTGGGTGTGTATCGCTTGAATAACTCATTGATCTCCAAATCCGAAGCTCTCAACTTTGGCCCCGAGTGGTACCATCCTATTAACTTCTCGCGCGCGTTGATCTTCTTGAACATCTCATTCATCGACTCGACGTAGTTGTGGTCCAGAAACCATACTGAAGGGTCCTTCTCTTCTTCCTCGAAAGGCACTATTGGGTTTAGTTGGCTTCCGGATCTCAAATTCTAATGGTAGGCAGAAAATAAGAGGGGCATCATACCAGCAAAACTGTTGGATACCCGTACGTTCTTTCCATCATTCTGTCCTAGCAACACTCCCACCACACGTTTCCGTGAGCCCTTCGCTGAGCGGCCATAGTGATCTGCGACGGAAAGGAGGACGAGAGGAGCTACAGACACGTTTCTGGTAACCAACGAGAGCGTTTCGGCGGTAGTGGCAGGCATGTTGAGGATTGAAGGTTGAATGAGAAGATCGGGATGGTCTGCGGATTTGCGAAAAAATACCTACTACACCTGCACGGCACACCTTCAAGGCTACAGAGGACCGCGACTGCTTGAGCTCGCCCGCTTAGCTTAGTCATCGTGAGCTCGGCTCCAAAGTCACGTGCATTGTGTTAATTACGTGTACCTACACTAAAACAAACACTATAAATCCTTCTTAAAAGAAAATCTGTTGTTGAGGCAAAAAAGCATAAAAGGATCACTGATTTCTCCTTGGACTTTTTTAGTAGAGAATACCCTTTGCCATTCTCATTCACATTCAATTCCATCCCATTCTCGGCTGACAGGAAGAGGCAGTTCAGTAGTACATACGAGCTTGGCCCTGCCGGATCTTTGCCGAGGGCCATTCTTTAGCTTCGTGGACCTTGCTTGCCCAGTTCAGTGCCCGTTGCATCAAAATCCTCCCACCACCTTCCTAATATCGGAGCGTCTTCTAGACCACTTCGATTCCTCAGCAATCGTCATATAACTTTTTCCTCCTACCTCCCAATCCTCTTCTCACCTTGGTCAGGTTTTCGCAAGTGTTCTCAAGTTACAATGGCACCAATTGGCGACGACGTTGCGCAGAAGGTCTTGGACTCGATTCAAGATCTCCAGTCGAGGATCAAGAAGCTCGAGGATGGCATACACAATAAGACGACCAGCGCGCCTGCTGAAAGCGTCCGAATGGTTCTGATGGGTCCTCCTGGCGCTGGTACGTGAGGTTTCTGGCTGGGGAATGGGAATTCTTGAGAAACACCGGCTAATATACAGTCAACAGGCAAGGGAACTCAAGCACCAAAGATCAAGGAGAAATTCTCGTGCTGCCACTTGGTACGTAATGGATAAAACTCCCGTCCAGATCTGGGCGCATTTCTGACATGTTGAGAAGGCCACCGGGGATATGTTGCGATCGCAAGTTGCGAAAAAGACACCTTTGGGCCGGGAAGCCAAGAAGATCATGGACCAAGGTGGACTCGTGAGCGATGAGATTGTTATCGGCATGATCAAGGCGGAGCTCGATACCAACTCGGAGTGTCAAGGAGGGTGAGTTTGTTGTGCGCTGCTAGTTTCGGGGACACAGGCTAATTTGGTGCTAGTTTCATTCTGGATGGCTTCCCACGAACGGTAGTGCAAGCAGAACGTTTGGATTCCATGTTGTCGGCGCGAAACCAGAAGTTGCAACACGCTGTAGAGCTTCAAATCGATGACGGACTACTTGTATCTCGGATAACTGGTCGTCTGGTCCACCCCGCATCTGGCCGATCATATCACAAGATCTTTAACCCACCAAAGGAGACCATGAAGGATGATATCACTGGCGAGCCTTTGATTCAACGATCTGATGACAATGCCGAGGCTTTGAAGAAGCGACTCGTCACATACCACGATCAAACCGCGCCTGTTGTTGGTTATTATCAAAAAACCGGTATCTGGAAGGGAATCGATGCCAGTCAAGAACCAGGACAAGTTTGGAGAAGTCTTCTTGGGGTTTTTGATCAACAAAAGCCAAAGGCTGGAGGTTTACTCAGCAAGATTACTGGCCACTGATTTGATCTAGAAGAGGGGAATTGTGCCAGCTAAGATTTGCATAGAGTTCAAAGGTTTTTAACGGTTATTGGCCGGCGGGATGATATCTTTGCATCACTTGCAATAGGCGGATGACTGTACGACTATGAACACATGGGTATCACGCCCATTTCCAAGGGATGAAATCTACTGTATTATACACCTGGTTTTCGTGTAAACTGCATCAAAAAAAGTTAATGCCTCATTACAGTATATTTTGATCCGTCATTGATGGTCCAATATCCGATTTACATAAAATCCATTGCTTTCAATAAAAGGAAAAGCACTCCTCAGCGACTTCGGGTCTTTCAACTCGGGTCTTTCAATAATTACGGGTACCCTGCAGTATCTCTGTGCTACTGAATGTCCCCCGTAATTCCTGATTATCCACACTATTATGTTTTAAAACAACTGTTGTTATTTTGAGAATCAGTCTTGTAGTTGAGTACCGTACTAGCAATGCAAATACGTTTGAGTCTTCTTGTGGTGTTCTCGGGTTCTGTTTCTGTTTCTGTGGTGTAAGTGTGCCCACATGTTTTTCCTCGTCTGCCTCTGGAAGACTTTTCCTAAAGAATCCATACAATATGGGGAAGGCATCCGATCTTTCCAATGCAGATCTGTCTGCAAGAGGTCGGATGTAACTGTTTGTGTTGAGATGGACCGGGATTGTACCTGCCTCAAAATCCGCAACGTTACCACTCCCTCCGTAAACAAAAGGCAAGTGCGTTCTCGTTCAGTATTTCTGGCAGAGAACTCGATATGTGATTTCGCTACAACACCGAGTGGACGGGTACCTGTGATTTTCCTCCCTCTTTTGATTTTCTGCTGTTTGGCAGCAGTGTTTCTTTGCCTCGCTACATTGATCCTCACAGCGGCAACGCTACCTACAACCTCGAAGCTTCCCTATATTGAGCACTTTCGTATGACGGTCTGTCAGGGCCCCAAGAAACTTCCTCATGGCTACTCCCAGTCAATTGGACAACGAGAACGGTTCTCACAGAGAGAACCGCCTCTCTGTGGCTAGCAGGTCGACCACTGGAAGGCAAAACATACGATTCAGTGTCAATCAAAGGGAAAAAATAGTGAGTACTTAATTCTTGCTTTCCATTTTCATGTGCTCCTTCAGTATGGAAGTGGGTTCTGATCCTCGTTAGGGACACCTCAGATTGGTCTCCCAAAACAGTATCCGCTCTTCGTTTGAGGCACCGCCTACACCTCCTCCCAAAGCACTCGAGCCTTCGAAATCCCAACGCCGGGGGCAGGTTCAAAATCAAGAGGTGAGCTTTAATCTATGCCAGTCTCCTAAGTCAGACCTCCACCTCACATTCCGTCCAAGTACATGACCAAATACCAAAAAGTACTATCACTATCCCCCGGAACACGTCGATACACACGTCCAAGCGGCCCAGAATTAGTCAATCACCGTCAACCATCCTGTGTTGATCTGCCGGGGGAATGGAATGCCATTCATGACAGATTCATCGCATATCTCTGGAGTCACTGTCCACTCGACGGAAAAGGGAGAGTTCCTCGGTCAGAGGAGAAAAGGGATAGGTGGAAGAGTGTGGAAATTGCAACAATGGTCATCGAAAGATTTCCAGAGCTGGACTCTCATGTTAGTATCTCTCTTTGGTGGTTAGGAATGGCGAAGTGCAACGGCCAAAGTTTCGAGTATCTTACAAGTACTAATGAGCTATAGCTTATCAAGCCTAGTGCAATCGAAATGAGACTCATCTTGCTTGATGAAGCAGGAGACAACGATTATTTCCAGATGAAGTATGGTGCTTATAGATCGGAGGAGTGGGGACGTGGAATTTGAGTTCTTGAGGTATACTATTGGATGATTTATGCTCGATGATTGGATTTTCTTCACCCAATATGTATCTCTCTTTGTCGAATGGGTTGCGTTCTACGCATATACCACATGTTCTTCATCTCGTCAGATCAAGATCAAGATCATTTGTCACTTGGTCTGCTTGACCTTGACTATCTCGGCCTGTTCATTGGTCAAATCCTGTCTCTTTTGTTTCACGTAATAATCCAGTGGCTGAGGTACTATGGTTGTCCTTGAAACACCTTTCATGGCATGATAATATCCTCTTCCTATCATATATATAAGCTCAAAATAGTAAACACTTAACCGTTCTAAAAGCGTGAAATATTTGCACAGATCCTTGGATTCTTCAGGATGATGGAGGGAGGATATATCAGTTGCTCTGTTCTTCGTTGTCCACATAATCCCTTCGTTGCCATCTCATGTTTGGAAATTGATGCCTAGCGTCCATCTAGAGCCGTCGAAACTACCCCCCTTGTTCCTCGCTTCCATCACCCTTCGTTTAATGCTCCTTGCCGACACCCTAGCGTACAATGCACCGCATCGTCATCAACAATAGATAGCTCTCAATCGATCTGCTTCGGCGACTCCTTCGGGCTCGTGAGAACTTGCGCAAATCATCTTGGCAATCTTAAATTGAAAACACCGGACCCTGTTTGTTTGGACTAGATGATGGCATCTGGTGGTTGCCTGCCAGCCTTTCTCAAAAAACAATCAGACTGGCGATGGAATTGTAATTATTAGCGTGTCAGACCCATCTGCGATCTCCACCCACTTCCAACCATGTTTACCTTGGATTCAATCGGATTTTCTCTAGCGTTGCAGTGAGATGGAAGACTGGGCAGCCAATGGGAATTCACATCCGAAGGATTCAAGCGAGGTTTGATTGTGGGCTCCAGCTCGGAGGCCCAGGAATCCATCAAAGAACTGGCGTTTCCCTCTGGGCGCCGCTTTGGTATTGGGGTTTTTGGTCTGTAAATTGTTAATTTCGACGCAAATATGGTTCAGCATGTAGCTTCAGATACCTCGAGACCTCAATTATTAAGCTCCCAAGCGTCCACTTCCCAAGAAAACATTTCATCAAAACCCAGCACCAGACGGCCAAAACCACGATATCCCAATTCCTCGCCAAACAAGTCCAGTCTCCGAGTCCCCGCGGGGCCGGAAGACATCCCGTCGCAACGACACACCTACGCCTCTTCATGACATCGTCACCCCGTAAGTTCAAAGGACCCCTCCCTCTCACGCATGAGACGAAAAACCCTATCCCAATTGACCTCCCCTTCCATCCAATACTTCCCAAAGCGAGGTCCACAACAAAAGTTTTGTTGCACGTCGCAGTCGGATTGGAATTCCGAGGACCAAAGATCTCATCGAGAAGGTCATCATACTCAAGTCCCTCGCACGTAACTTTTCCTGATGCCGGGTCCAACTTCCGGGTTGGCCAGAAGCACCTGTTCACTGGTGATCGATCCCCTTCCTTTGTTAGAAGTACAACTAAGATATATTTATTTATGGAATCATTGGCGGAGTCACCGAAATAACTCTGAAATGACAGCTTTCGGAAAATGAGGTGGAATGAGGATTGGAGATTCATACAGGGGCGATGGATATGGTTGATAGACTAGTCTAGAATATTTATGTTGTGGTATGGAGATCTTTGGTAGACCTAGTTACACTGCAGAGCGGATTAGCGGGTGCGCCAATCCCACGGACTACTATTCGTGATTTGTTGAGCCTCCAAGAGTCCTTGTGCTAAATATAATATTCTGTTCGGGGACTGTAAACTGGTTAGATATATTTAGAGGTTGACACCGCGAATTTCGTCGCCCCTTTCAATGTGTGGTAAACCCGAGCGGGACTTCCTGACTGTAAAACGCGGCCGCTGGCCATATTAAAGTAACCGGTACTTGTTATATTGACGGAATATATTGGCCACCCATCGAAAAGCAAGAGGTCGGAGCTTGGAAGCTTCAGAAAGGAAAATTCGACAAAGTAAGTCAAGTACTGCAGCAACAGTCAGACCTAAAAAGATAGTCTTGCATTATTTATAAGCGACATCTAAGGGGTATACGCAAACACAGTACCGATATGAATCCCACACACAACACACCTATAGAAACCCAAGCTACCTCTATCACAAAAATAATGCTTATCCTCCAAGTCCAATCGATCCTCCACATATACAGAATCAAAATTCGCTACCTCCCAATGCAAAACAGGAAACTTTGACTGGAAAGAAAGATCCTTCTATCGTCTTGGTATAGTATTCACCATCTGCCTCTGTTTATTCAACCAGCTCTTTGGCGCATCCTGACGGCGCTGTAGAACCAGGTGGTTACTTTGTAGACGGCCGGTGAGGTCGTACCACGCGCTGGAAATCAAAGCGTTCTCTCGGGAGAGATTTTTGATGATCGCGTCCTTTGCAGCCTGCCATGCCGTATTAGTTTGAGGTATTTGTATCACGATTGTTTACTTGGTGACGTAGAATCCACGATGGGAAGAGAAGTGAAAAATAATGACGGAATTAAAATTATTAATATCAATTTAAGGTAATTACGGAAACAACGAAAAGAAAAAATCTGGTACGATACCTTTTGTGCGTCGGCTCCGCCTTCTTCTGCCGCTTTGAGTCTTATTTGAAGAGCTAGGATGATTTTTTCTTGCTTCTCGAACTGCTGAATGATTCGTTAGCTAAACACCCTTCTAGTATCTTCTTTCTCGAGAGAGACGTGAGTCTCGAACTGTAGCTGGGGGTGGAGGTGAAATAAAGAGCCCTGAAGAGGATGCAAGAGGAGAAGTAGCACTGGAAATCGAGGATGCCCTTGAGCTTGGAATGCTTTCTAAGCGTGCAGTTGTAATTGCCGCTATTGGAGGGCTCGCAAAAGTATCATGAAGCCCTGCGGGAGCTTTACCAAGAGCGGCAAGCTCTCGAGCAAGCTCAGCGTCTTCGCTTTCTTGGGTGACTGGCCCCGAGTTCTGTGCAGAATTGCCGGAAACCTTGAATCTAGTGCTTACCTCTGCTGTCTTTTGTGATGCCACAGTTGTAGTTCCTGTGCCACCGTTTGCCTTCAATTCAGCGGCCTCCTTGCTAAGTGCATCCTTAGCTATCAGAGCGTCGACCAGGTGTGACTTCTGCTGCTCATGGTCAGTCATTAAAGTCTTGAACTTGTTCTGGAGAACAAGCAGATCGTTTTGAAGTGAAGATGTGATAATTTCGTTAGTGGCTTTGAGATCTTCCAAAGCATCAAGTTCGTCTTGGTCAATGGCGGAAAGATCTGCCTTGGCTTGTAGAAGCTCTCGGTCTCTGCTAGAGAGCTCCGTTTGCACTTCTGTTAGCTTCGCCTTGACTTGATTGAGTTCGAAGAGGGTTTCTATGTATAGCTTTCGAGTGACGGCAATTGTTTCGTCCCTGTAGAAATCAATAGTAAGCATCTTCATCACGCCAACCTTGTTTTGGAGAGTCTCAGCTGTAACTAACTTTTCGGCTTCAACACGACTCATCAGAGCAGAGAGTTGATATTGAGCAAGAATATTCTCCTCTTGCAAATCTCGGTAGTTTGATTCCAACCTCTTCCGGACAACATCTAACTCATCAAGTTCGATGCGAAGATTGGTAGCGGTTGTTCCCCCCAACTGGCTCTTGAGAAGCTGATTTTCCGCCTGAAGTCGTGATATCTCAAGGGCGTGGTTGGGAGTTGAATCACTAGATTGAGCAAGTTCTTCCTCAAGAGTAAGGTGCGAGACCTTTGCAGAAGGAGAAGGTGGCGATGCGAGCTTTGGCGAGCTGGTTCGCATTTGTTCGTGCAAGTTTTGGATAAACTCCTCATCGTGCGCTTTACCTTCAAGGAGATTTTGAATACGAGCATCCCGCTGGCGTATCTCTTCTTGCAAAAGCTTCTTTTGACTGCCCATCTCTACAACCTGTTTCTCGTATGAAGCGGCTTGCTTACGATATTGAGTGATCGTTGCTTGCAGCGTTTCGTTCTCCTCGTGAACTTTATCAAAATCTCTCTGATTGTCATTCAAGATGTCTATCTGCTGACGCAGCTCAGTATTCTCTTGGGCGACATTATTTTGTTTCTCCAACTTCTTTTTGAAATTGTCCAAGATTTTAGACTTTTGGAAGAGATCTTCGTTCTGAATCTGTAATTCCTTCGCTCGGTCCTCAAGCTTTTGAACTTGCTCTGGGTCTGGACGTTCCCTCAATTCTCTCGTCTGACGTTCTATCTTGATACGGTCGTCCTCTATTTGACCCTCTTGGGTTGCAATGAGGTTGTCGCGTTCCAGGAGCTGAGCTCTCAGATATTTGATATGGTCGTCAGGTTTCTCATTTTGCAACTTCAAGAGCTCATCGATTCGTTCATCTTTTGTTCTCCCGTATTCGAGTAACTCATCGTAGCTAAATTGCAAATGTTCTAATCTCGTATTCAAATCCCCATTTTTCTTCTGTAGGGCAGTATTTTCGGCACGGATTGCTTCGAGCGAAAGGGCATCGCCTTTGGTCTCGGGTCTGGATTCCTCCTCATTGGAAGGTGGAGATATGATTTCCTTAATTACCATACACACATCGTCCGGCAATTTGCCCTCGGTGATAACCTGGAGGAATTTTGGTGCGTTGTTGCCGTTAATTGCAGCCACCAAAAATACTTTCAGGAACTTGGTTGTTTCTCCTGCGTCCTCGTGTTCTGCAATAGCATTGAAATCGATAACAGCCTCGAGAGCGTCATTGTTGACGGTGTCATCTACACAGTGAGTGCGCACGTATCGTTGTAGCTTTTTGTAGACTGCCTCCAAATTTTGCTTCTTGACCACCCATTTCGAGGAAGAGGTGTTGGTATCGAGGTTTTGGACAGCGAACTCGGGATCAATTTCCTCTATAGACGATCAGTTAGCATTAATTCAGCAGGCCAGTAAGGGGCAGAGGACGGAGGGGAAGGGGAGGGGGAGGGGGTTATTTACCTAGCATTCTTGATAGGACTAGTCCATCGCTCAGATCTGCGAGGGACTCGACCTTTGAGTCAAGGTGCTCGAATGATGTGTTTGCCCATCTGATCAGGGCGGCGGCTGTTGGATTGTTGGAATCGGTCATTTTGCTGATTATGTGGTCTGCGGGACCTTTCGTATGTATTGGTTTTGGTTTTGGTTTTTGTGTCTGGCGTTGTTTATGCTTAAAATGTTTGGACGGCAAAGTAAACTAAATCGCAATTTCTGTGGCGTTGCTTCGTGTTTTATGGTATTGCGTCTTCATTGTCTCTTCATGTTGAATGGCCTTGTTGTTGAGAAGAGGTCTTTATGCGAAATCGTTTCATTGTCAGGAACACTGGGAGACGCGACTTTGACAGGCGTGCACAGGCTGTGTACTGTAATACTATAATGCAACCACAACCACAATCTTCACAAAGACTCTCCTTCTCTTGATCACAATGGCTTTATTCATGTCAAGGTCAAGACTCTTTGTAAGATAGTAAAAAGTGCAATAATAAAGCATACGACTCTGAACAACATCTTGGTACCTAATTTGGGAATGCTAATGCTGTTCTTTACCTACCACCAGCTACTGTTTTACTACTTGCTTTCATGCTTGGCAATCCTCATGTCTTGATATATTGTTTATGCATGAAATACAGCCAAATGAATACGGAAATCTAAAGCCCCCTAGGTTGCCATAACCAATATCCAAGTAGGTAGAAATTACACCACAAGGTATCACTGTCTCTATAGGTATCATTCTAACCAGGCCTATCTGCTGCCCTCAATCCAAAAATCGACAAAGTAATACCAACACCTTTCTGTGCTGGAATCGCATAAATCAACCTAAGAGTATCCAGAGTCTCCTATGCGCCTCCCTTAAACGTATATACTCCTTGCCATTCCCATATGCCCAAATCAAACGCCACAACCGTATCCAATATGTGTATCAAAGCGCATCAGGCTTGAACTTCTCTTCTCCCACGGAACCAACACAAATACATTTGCCATCGTCGCTGCTATTACTGCACGCCACCGACAATCGAGACCATTTGATCCTCCTCAACTACCACGTGATAGTCATTCCCTAGGGCCTGAACCTGCTCGAGAATCTTCGCTGGTGCTTTGGCGGCAAACCCCCTGAAGCAAGATTAGAAGGAAGAACACGTCAAGATCAAGCTTGGGCGGTAACGTACTTGATGAGCTTATATTCATGGGTTATCAGTCCTCCGGCACTTTTGATGGCAGCCATGGCCTCCTGTATGATTTCGTCCGGAGTCTCGTCGGGGTATGAGACGATCACGGCTTTGTGTGGTACAGTGGCACCAAGAGCCACAGCAGCGAGGGCCAGAACAGAGAGTGATGTTGCAAACTTCATGGCGGTGGTTTTCTGATAGCTATTGGGGTTTGGATGTGTTGTAGGTCGTTTGGAGGGGAACGATGCGATTATCAGGGACGTGAATGCATGTTTCGAGATCTTGATCAGAGCCGGGGGTGGAGTAGGTACGTAAATCCACCAAGCCCAAGCCTTAGTGGGACGCGGCAGGGATGAATCAAAAGCCGTACCAAAATAGGCTTGGCGCGGCCAGGCTCGCAAGCAGCAGCCAGCAGCTTTGAATACCGTTCCACATCTCAACCTGAACCTGAACCTCAACTCTATCAAACACCAACACCCACGATCAGCAACCACAGTGCTTGCATCTTCCAGCACACCAACGCCGCAGATCCGATTTCACATAGGACGGCACTCGCGCGCTCTGTCAAGCTCGTTGATCGTTTCATATTTGGGGATTTGGGGTAGCGCGCGGGATCGGGGTAGCAGTTCAAGGGAGTGGGAATCTCAGGCAAGACCTGAAGGCGAGGTGGCCATCTGGTGGATTGGCAGTCATCAAATACACACTTCTTGATCTCACTGAGTTGAATGCAATTGCGTGGAGTTAGCTAGCTGTTGTTGAAGAGTCTCTTTTCCGGCGTCACAAGTCTGGAGAAGGATCTCAAGAGACAAAGACATTTTTCATTGTGGAAGCCTTTGCCCAGATCATTATCATCTCACAAGCTCAAGCAGTCTCTTCGTCTCACTTTTCCCCAGCCTTTCTATAGCCCATCATGAACTCCGAAATATCTGAAGGTGTTGCGGAGGACTTTCGACAGGCTCTGCTGGATCTCACTTTGAATTCGCGTTATGAGATCAGCAATCTAACCGTCATTGCAAGGGAAAATACAGAGCATGCATACGCCATATCAGAGGCTTTGAAAACACACATCAAGCAGGTAGGAGCGGAGTCTTCTTAGTCCCCCAACTAGATTTTCTAGTTTTTATGTTTCATATTTCTTTTGATTTCAATTTCTGTAGATAAATTTGACATCGTTGCTTACACTTCGCCAGACCTCATCTCAAAAGAAGCTGCCTGCTTTTTATGTTCTCGATTCTATCGTCAAAAATGTCGGTACGCCCTATACCATATTTTTGTCCCGAGGGCTCTATGCGACATTTATGGAGGCTTACGCCTCAGTCGACACCGTCGTACGAAGGAAGATGGATGAGATGTTGAAGACATGGAAAGAGCCAGTACCAGGTGCCTTGGATTCAAGACCCGTATTCCCACGAGATGTGACCAGCCCAATTGAGAATGCGTTGATCAAGGCCAAAACATCTGCAGTTCAAGCTCACAATGAATACCTCCGAAGTCGACAGCAACAGCAAGATCGTGGACGACCAAGTGCTAGCGCTCTTCCACATCGAGAGACTCCTACACCTCCAAACTATCGACAACAACCTCCACCATCAAACGTTCCTCCACCTCAAAACAACTACAGACCACCGCCGCCAGCTCCAATGCCAACTCCGCCTACCATGTACCGACCCCCACCTGCAACAGTTCTCCCAATTCCACCCGTTGCGTATGGGCAACCACCTGTACAGCCTGCCATTCCAAATAACTCTAATCCTCTACCTACCCAGCTACCCCCTTCTATGCTACTTGAGTTGCTACGAGCCACAGGCAGACTTCCTGCTGTACCACCTACTGCTCCACCGGTAACCAGCACACCTCCTTTCCCTGGAAATGCTCTTCCGGGATTCCCCCCATCGTTCGTGATCCCGCCCCCAACTCATGTTAGCACACCACCTGTTGCGAGAACTCCTCCATTCCAAAATGCAACCCCAGTGCCTCGGACAGCCTTGGTTGAGCTGCCCAACGACGTTGTTTTTTCTGATCCTCACTCTTTGAAATTGTAAGAAACCCCATTCCTGCTATACCACGCCCACGACTAACAACCTTCAGACCTAGGCCACATTTGATATCTCGTCTATACGAAAAGCTTGGCACAGCTTGTACGCAATGTGGACGTCGTTTTCAGTCCGATGAAGCAGGTAGAAAGAAGAAAGCCGATCACATGGACTGGCATTTCAAGGTTCATCAGAGAATGAGGGAAGCAGAGAAGAATGGACAGCACCGAAGTCTGTATGTAGATGAGATGGCAAGTTTCATTTCCTCGTATCTCGGAGGAAGTATCTAATTGTAATATTAGGATTGGATCAAATCCCGTGAAGTGGAGGGCGACAGCGTTACGGTCCCAAATGAAGGGCTGAATGGCTCCGGGATCGCTAGTTCCAGCGTAGATAGCAAACCAGAACTGCAATATTTGCCCGTTCCTGATGACCCCGCCTTAGCTAGCAGTCACTGTCCAATTTGTCAAGAAAAATTTGAACCAAAGTGGCTTTACAATGCCGATGAGTTTGTCTGGATGGATGCTCGGAAGGTTGGAGATAGGATATTTCATGCAAGCTGTTATGCAGAAGCAACGAAAGATTTGAGTTCCATTTTGAAAAAGGCAACCCCAGAACCTGCAGGTATATTGGGCAAAAGAAAGGCGGAGGTGAGTTTTCATGTGTCGCTTCTTAGACTTGGGACTTTCACTAATGAATGAACAGGATGATCAGGTTGCATATAGATCTAAGATCAAGATCGAACCCACTTCATGAGGCTAACGAATTACTTGTACTGGTCTCCACCAAACTAATAACACTTTATACTTGATAGCATAGCCCTGGCGTTGGCTAAAGATACGTAATGCATAGTGCCAGTCTCAATTGAGGCAACAATGAATTGAAACAATTACCCAAATTCTCTCTTTTGTTGATCTACATGCGATTGACTTATGAATGACATACTGAGCTACTCAGTCACATTCACCTTATATGAACATGCTCGACAATCTTCACTTTCTCCGTAGGGGGTTGACGGTATTTTAAGATAATTGGCGAGCTCAGTCCAGCGCCGCTTTTATTACGGGTCCGTGCACGTATTGATAAGCGAGCCGCACAATCCCAAGATAGAATTTCAAGACTCGCGAACCTTGAACTTTTCAAGAACCAATTTACGACCTTCAAGAACTTGTCGTTTCAGTCTCCGCTCAACCCGCGGTTAAATTGATTGATTCTCCTGTTCATCCCAAATCACAAATCAAATTGTAAGGCTACCTCTTCACAACATCTGCGCGCACCCTGCTCGATCCAAGTGTCAAGCGCATGTACTGACCCCTCCTTGCGCAGCTATCAAAATGAAGCACCTCGCAGCCTACCTTCTCCTCTCCCTCGGTGGAAATACCTCTCCTTCCGAGAAGGACATCAAGACTGTCCTCGAGTCCGTTGGAATCGAAGCTGAAGATGAGCGCCTTTCCAGCCTCATCTCCGAACTCAAGGACAAAGACATCAACGAGGTATGCGAATATTCCAGAATTGCGAATTTGGAACACGCGGGATACTAATGATACTTGCAGTTGATCGCTGAGGGTTCATCCAAGTTGGCCTCCGTCCCATCTGGTGGATCTGGTGGTGGTGCACCTGCTGCTGGAGGAGCTGCCGCTGGTGGTGCCGCTGCCGAGGAGAAGGTCGAGGAGAAGGAAGAGGGTATGGATCATGCTCAATCCTTTCCCAAGAACGATACTGACAATCTTCTGCAGATAAGGAAGAGTCCGACGAGGATATGGGATTCGGTCTCTTCGACTAAGCGGTCAATTCATGATACGACGAATTCGATCCCTCTTTCTACGAATACATGTGGACAGGGCATTGGGAGATTGCACCGGCTCCGCCTATGGTCTGCATCTCTTGGGAGTCTAGGGACGGATATTACGAATCTCCTCGTGAAGCAATGTCAATCGTGCATACTGATAGCGGAATACAGACGTGCTTCTTTCAATTTATTTTCCCACAGTGATATTATTTGTGAATGATGATTTCGCTCGATTTACTCACAGCCATACCCAACACAGCTAAAGGGCCTTTTACTTCAAATCAAAATTGGCCTAGATAAACATATTGCATTGCGAAGAGTGCGACAAAAAATAAGTGCGGGAATTGGGGGACATTGTTGCCGACATCCTTTCCTTTCCTTTCCTTTCCCATAGGTTTGTGGGAGGCCTTCCCAAACTAATTGAATGCTTCTACAAAAATTGCGGCGAATCAACGAGTCTCAATTATTGAACATCTTGGATTCAAGGTCTCGAATGAATAATAAATATCTCTAAATATCCCAAACTCTTCTGCCAAACCCTATGCGAAAGTGACTTCACCGTAATGCCAAGATTTCATCATTGCTGACCTAATACAAAACGTGATAAGCCGGTCCCCACTAACAAGCGAATCCAGCCCACACAACCTCGCGATAAAATCAATCGACAACCTTTTTTGACAACAACCCAAAAGACGTCAAATCACCGCAAACATGGCTGACGAATACGTAAGTATCAAATTCTCATATTCCTTTCCACACATCATCGTCTGCGATTGTTCGCAGATGCGCATATGTGTAGATGACGACGACGCACCTTCGAGTCTGAAGAGAACGAGAACCACCTGCTAACAAATATTCTTCAATTACAGGACGCTGAGGCCGCTGCCGAGATCAAAAAGAAGAGAACCTTCAAGAAGTTTTCCTACCGTGGAATTGACCTCGAGCAGTACGCCTCCCACACATACCTACGATGAAGAATTCAAAGGGGATCTTTCTTTTTCATAAAAAGACAAGCTAACCCTCTATTCTTTCGAACAGACTCCTCGATCTCTCCTCCGACCAACTCCGTGATGTCGTCCACGCACGCGCTCGTCGTCGTTTCAACCGTGGATTGAAGCGCAAGCCTATGGGTCTCATCAAGAAGCTCCGAAAGGCCAAGCAGGAGGCCCAGCCAAACGAGAAGCCGGATCTTGTCAAGACTCATCTGCGAAACATGATTGTCGTTCCCGAGATGATTGGTAGCGTTATCGGTATCTACTCTGGAAAGGAGTTCAACCAGGTCGAAATTAAGCCTGAGATGGTTGGACACTACTTGGGAGAATTCTCTATCTCTTAGTATGTTTTGCCCCTCGTCACATCGGTCTAGGTTTGAGAATATCTGCTAACATGTTAAACAGCCACCCAGTCAAGCACGGAAGACCTGGTATTGGTGCCACCCACTCTTCGCGTTTCATTCCTCTCAAGTAAACTGGTTGCTTGGATGGTGTTCTGGGGGTTCAATTGGGATTTACATATGGCTGCATTTACGACTCTCTCAGCATAAATGGTATGCTCTTGTATGAGGATAGCAGGCAATGAAATAAATCATGACAACCTCCATAATCAATTGATGAAGTGATTGTTCCGAGTTCGGGTTCTTCCCGCCTCGCTATACTCAAAATGACTTTGCATCGAGTGCCCAGAAGAGACCCCCTCATCAAGAATCCCACAATAAGTACTCGAGTACGTGAATAGTTTCTCCTCTGCCTCTCCCACATATCCTCCAATCCTTACCCCATCCCGCATGCCTACGTCCCCACTTCCCTCACAATCCATCCCCATCTTTTCCCAGGACAATAAACAAGTTCCCCAAACGCACCCAGATCCTGCTCGTCGATTTTGTATATACCCTCCTTCCCCCTCTTATTCATCCCATTGCAAACTTGATTATTTAAGTGGCCCCGTCATCATCTTTAAAACCTGTCAGAGCAAGGTCTGGACTACGAGGAGTAATTTTTGAAGGGGGCGGGGAGGGGGGTTCTCGGAACGATAATCATAGTCGTGGATCTGTGCTCGAGGGGTGAGGAGGGGAGAGTGAGGATGAGAATGAGGATGGGATGGATGGATGGGATGGATGGATGGGGAGGTGATTTTGGATGGGGAGCTGGGCTAGAGGTATAGGGTTTTCGGCTTCTGTTCTCACACTGCGGACTTGGACTTGGAATTAGAGCGTTGGAGATGGTGGGAGGCACTAACTGTTTTGATAGGTAGGCAAGTGAGTGGAAGAATTGGAAGAGGAAGTTATATGGTTGCTGATATTCATCGCGTTATATCGTGAAACCTCATGCTGAACTACCTATCTATGTATGTACAAAACGTGCTTGTCTGCCAATGAAAGAAAATTTATATACTCCAACATACAAAACACCCCCAATCCACCGCCCAATGCCTAGAACATCCTAAAAGATAAACAGACCCCTTACCAGCGCGGTACTATAAATTCGAGTGAGTGAGAGAGAAAAAGACAGGTTTTTGATAGAGGGAACTTTGCCCTGTCTTATTCCATTGTTGCATGCACCTGGGTTAACCATAAAATAAAACAAACCATCCACCCACTTGCTTACTTACATCCCTGAACTCCCACCAGCTCGCAACTTATCGAAACCACCGTTATCTCTACTATCCTCAACGTAACTTTCACGGCCCTGTTTCCTGTCCCATTCCAATTCCTCGGCTTCATAGGCTTGCTCAAAAGAAACACTACAAGAGCGAGGCCAGGAAAGAGGGAGAAGTTCTTTTCCTGAAGCGTCGGGTGTTTTGCTGGATGTTCGCTTGAAGTGTTCACGGACGAATTGCTCGTCGATGAGACAGAATCTGATATCGGATCCCGGGGTGACATACATGCATTCTTGCAGGACCGATTCAAGGATGGCTCGGAGGCCACGAGCTCCTACGCCCATTCCTGGGACTGGTGTATCTTTGGATTTGGAATCGGGGTTTGGAGACGGTGGGAGGGCTTGTTCGGCGATTGCGTGGAGGGAAGCGGTTGTGAAGCGGAGTTTTACGCCGAAGGTTTCGAAGAGGGCGGTGTACTGTTTTACTAAGGAGTTCTTGGGTTCGGTCAGGATGGATACGAGTTGTGGGAGGGATAAGGGCGTTAAGGAGACTGTGATGGGTATCCTTCCTAGCAGTTCTGGAATGAGTCCATAAGATTGGAGATCGTTGGTATTGACCTGAGAAAGAATGTCTTGTGGCGCTTTTGGAGAAGCTGGGACCGGTGGTGCGCGTATGGGAGCGCCAAATCCAATAGAAGATCCAGTTGCAAGACGCTTGGAGATGATCTTCTCAAGGCCAACAAAGGCACCGGCAAATACAAAAAGGATATTCGTTGTATCAATGGTAAATTGTTCACTTTTTCCTTGTTGAGCTGCAATTTCTCGACCTCCTCGTTCGAGCCTATCCCCTCGGGAGGAGCTTTGAGCATCCGATTTGGCGTCTGGCTTTGCATTGATGGTAACTGTGGTACCTTCAATCATTTTTAGGAGTCCTTGTTGTACTCCTTCGCCAGAAACATCACGGCCGTGGGTCATAACGGCCGGTTTGGCAAGCTTGTCCAGCTCATCGAAGAAAATGATGCCGCTTTCGCATTTTTGAACAGAATGAGAAGAGGCAAGTAGTAGACGTTCGATAGCAGACTCGATATCTGTACCTATGTATCCAGCCTGGGTGAGAGAGCTGCAATCTACAGTGGCAAAAGGAACTTCTAGCACACGGGAAAGTGTCTGCAGAATGTAGGTTTTACCCACTCCGGAGGGACCAAGAAGCAGAAGATTGGACTTCTCAATAATGGTGTTTCGGCTCTCTTCTAGCGGCCGAGAACCTAACTCTAACTCTGGTTCTGCTTCTGGTAGGGTGAGTTTATTAAGATCGGCCGTTTGAGGTTGGCCATTGTAATCAGCTAAGAAAATACGTGAGTATCATGTGACAAAAGAGACAACCCTGAGGGAGAAAGGGAGGCTGAACGGAGAAGGGGATATACTTTCTACGGGATGCTGTAGAAACTCAGGAGGTATTCTCTGTCTTGCTTCTTGCCTCGCCCTTTGGTCCCGCTTCTCTTGTTCCTCATGATCTTGGCGTCGAATTTCCCGGATACGCTGATAATGGTTGTAGATTGCTACACTTGTGACTTTTTTTGCCTTATCTTGTCCAACAACAAACTTATCCAGATGCTTCTTCAAGAGTGAGGGGGTCAGAGTTGACACGCCATGCTTAGAAGACAGCGAGAGGGGTCCCTTGGTCGGTGCATAGGCCTCATAATTCCCCACATAGCCTTGAGTATGAGAGATGACGGATTTCGAAGGCGTGCTGAATATGGAGCGGCGATGAGGGAGAGTGCAGAGGGTTGTGAAGCTGCGCGGAGACATGTAGGTGGGGGAGGAAGTTGTGAGTCCGGAGAGGAGGATGCAACGGCGAGAACCCGACATGTTGATGGTTTAAGAGTGGCGGGCGTAGTCGAGCTGGCGGTCAACCAGAGCGCATTACCATCATGAAAATGCAAACTCTCTTGACCGTAGCTTTCCTAGGCTGATCTTCTTGAGTACTTCACTTCTCCCTTTATATGTCTGAGTTCTGGTGGCTCTGGGCCCCGAGTGAGATGCTGCAGGTGACAGTCGCCTCATACGAGTACCATCAGCCAAAGGTCGGCATCGGCTTTCACTACGGAACCGGGCGTGGGGATCTCGGGAGTCCTTGGCCCTGAGCCTGACCTGCTAACCGAAAATCGGCTCTTCCGAATCAATCTCACAAACCGGGGTAGAAGACACCTCGACAAGACAACCGGGGCAAATGGGGGCCAGTGGGCGATGCGATGCGATGTGCAGGTGAAAAATAGCCGGGGAAGGGAAAGTTAATTGGGAGGAGAAACGACGATCAAAAGCGGCAGTAGCACAGCCAGTGGAAAGCAGCACAATCACATTGAACAGTCTCAGTCTCAATTAATTGCGCATAAGATCAGAGAAAACTAGAGTAGCGACAGCTTTTATTTACTTGTTATCTCTTGCCTATCATGAACCTATGAGCATCATGTCAAATGACTAAATCTAAGGCCTGGAATTCTTCTCCAGATTTGATGCACAAGGACGCGTTTGAATGCTGTTCGAGTCCGTTTTGGAAGATCAAATTTTAAGGTACATGTGGATTCATTGTATTTATATCATTGCAGCACTCTGAGTGGAAATCATACTGTAGCTACTGTAGTGTGGCATCGAATATGCAGGTGAGCAGTCTCGCAGTGAGCGCGTTGCATTGTTGGGAGGAGAACCAGGGACCCAGACACATGAGGCAATGACGTTGGACAGCCCAGGCCTGTTTGTGGTTGCACCCGCAGCTCTTCACCAGCTGGAGAGTTGCGGGTGCTACCACAAGCTCTGGGATCAAAGTTAATTCTCCTACTTCCCCTCAACCCCGCAACATCTCGCGCAGCTTTTCCCTCAAGCTTTGCTGTACTACTTTACACTCCAAAAATTCCGGGGAAAGGCTATTCAGCTTTCACATTGATCTCAGATTCTAATGTTCACGACCTCAAAATACCTGTAGACCCACCCTTTCGTCACCAATTCCACCTGGACCCATCAACACTCCCAGTGACACCAGCTTGGTGCTACTTCCAACATGGACAGCACAAATGAGAACTCCAGCAACTCCGTGGTCAATGGCGGAGCTGCCAATGGTCTGCCGAATGATGGCACTGGTATGTCAAGCTCTGAGGAGAGCTCCAGCTCCAATCCCATGCCATGTACAACCAGAAGCTAATTCCCTACTTCTGCAGGTGTCGTACAACTCGATCCATGGCTCGAACCTTTCTCGGACTCCCTGCGAGAACGATACAGCAAAGTTCAAAAGTGGATCAAGACTATAGATGAGACCGAAGGTGGTTTGGAGAAGTTTAGCAGAGTCCGTGACTTTCTTGGGGAAAACTCGAGCATGCGAGGTTGACAATACATTCAATAGGGAACCGAGAAATTTGGCTTCAATATCGACAAGGATAACAATATCACTTATAGGGAATGGGCGCCCAATGCGACGCAAGCATTCCTCGTTGGTGATTTTAGTAATACCTCCCTAGGCGTATACCTCCTTGTGAGGCACACTGACACCATACAGATGATTGGAGTCGAGAATCACATCCTATGAAGAAGGATTCGTTTGGTGTTTTTGAGGTTATAATTCCCGCAAAGGATGGAAAGCCAGCGATTGAACACAAAGCCAAGATCAAGGTATATAAAGACTATATCTTCTTCCATTATTTCTATATATAATAACTCTATAGATTTCCATGATCACACCGTCTGGAGAACGAATTGAACGAATTCCAGCGTGGATCAAGTACGTCACGCAAGACCTCGCCGTCTCTCCAGTTTACGATGCTCGATTTTGGAACCCTCCAGAATCTGAACGTTATGTTTTCAAGCACCCAAGACCAAAGAAGCCAGAGAGTGCACGGGTATATGAAGCACATGTTGGCATCTCCTCTCCAGAATTGAGAGTTTCTACGTACAAGGAGTTTACAAAGAACATGCTTCCAAGAATCCAGCACCTGGGATACAATATCATCCAACTCATGGCAATCATGGAACATGCTTATTATGCAAGTTTCGGTTACCAAATCAACAGCTTCTTCGCCGCAAGCAGCAGATATGGAACACCAGATGACTTGAAAGAGCTCATCGATACTGCACATGGCATGGGAATTACGGTTCTCTTGGATGTTGTTCACTCTCATGCTTCCAAAAACGTTCTTGATGGACTTAATGAGTTTGATGGTACTGATGCCTGTTACTTTCACTCAGGTCCCAAAGGTAACCATGAGTTGTGGGACAGCAGATTGTTCAATTATGACAGTCATGAGGTTTTGAGATTCCTCCTAAGCAATCTGCGTTTCTGGATGGACGAGTACAAATTTGATGGATTTAGGTTTGACGGTGTTACCAGCATGCTTTACACCCACCACGGCATTGGAACGTGAGTGTTTCAACCATGTAATCTGACCTTAGCTGACATAAAGTAGAGGATTCTCAGGCGGCTATCATGAGTACTTTGGCCCTTCTGTTGATGATGGCGGTATTGTTTACCTCATGCTTGCTAATGAGATGCTTCATCAATTATATCCTGAGGTAATTACAATTGCCGAGGATGTTTCTGGTATGCCAGCGCTGTGTGTATCACTATCTCTAGGAGGAGTCGGCTTTGATTATCGACTGGCGATGGCCATTCCTGATATGTGGATTAAGATTCTGAAAGAAAAGAAGGACGACGAGTGGGACCTATCCAATATCGCCTTCACTATGACAAACCGACGTCATGGCGAAAAGACAATTGCTTACTGCGAAAGTCATGATCAGGCGTAAGTTGACCATTCCTTCCTTTAGCTTATCTCGACTAACCAATGTAGCCTGGTTGGAGATAAATCAATCATGATGTACCTCTGCGATGCAGAGATGTATACCAACATGTCTAAATTAACCCCTTTCACACCCATCATTGAGCGAGGAATGGCTCTGCACAAGATGATTCGACTATTGACGCACGCTCTTGGTGGTGAAGGATATCTCAACTTCCAGGGTAACGAGTTTGGCCATCCGGAGTGGCTCGATTTCCCTCGAGCTGGAAATGACAACAGTTTCTGGTATGCTCGTCGTCAGTTCAATCTAACCGAAGACCACGACCTCCGATACAGATTCTTGAACGAGTTTGATGCCGGAATGAACAAGACGGAAGCCAAATACGGCTGGCTACATTCTCCTCAAGCATACATCAGTTTGAAGAATGAATCGGATAAGGTCATCGTTTTTGAGCGTGCTGGATTGGTTTTCGCTTTCAACTTCCATCCTACTGAGAGCTTTCCAGATTACCGAATTGGCATTGAGCAAGCTGGTACTTACCGCGTGGTTCTCAATTCCGATGCCAATGAGTATGGTGGATTTGAGAGAATTGATAGCGGGACTAGATTCTTTACTACCGACTTACCGTGGAACGGACGAAAGAACTTTACGCAGGTCTATTTGCCTACGAGGACTGTCGTTGTATGTTTTCCCAGTTACTCCTTCTTTGTTCTTGGTTAACATGAAATAGGTTCTTGCTCTCGAGTCAACATTGTAGCTTTGAAGGAGCAACTGCTTAGTTACAGTACATACGGGTGATTGGGTGATTGGGTGATTGGGCGATTTCTTCAAGGAATGGTGTTTAGGAACATTTAGACTTTTCTTTGCTTTGCTTTTATGGTACATAGCTTTTCTGTGCCTTTGCTGTAGATTATCGGAATGTAAAAGGCTTCTTTTCTTCAACGCGTGTTGCTGCTTGCCAGTCGTAATCATTGCGTCTGTTGAAAACTTGTGCGAACATGGATGATACGTGGCCGGTATATACTTCGCGGACTGTCTGGGGTTGCGTAATGGGATGGGATGGGTTTAAGTCGCGTGCTCGTGTGTGAGTGGACATTGTAGAAAATTCGAGTAGTTGAGTACGAGTAGTTGAGTACGAGTAGTTGAGTACGAGTAGTTGAGTACGAGTAGTTTTGTGTTAACGCTGGGATTGAACGTCTTGCATTGTTTATTGGTTGGTAGTGAGGAGGGCATTCAGAATAGATGAGTAAGGTATATAGACTTGGGAATTTCTCTTTACACTGTTTTAGTTTTTGGTGAGCCTTCTTGATTTCTTCCTTCCTTCCACTCTTTTGTTGTTGCTTGTTGGGGAGGAGATGTGTTGGTGTGTGAGTGGGGTGAGATTAGTAAATTGTTGTTAGGCCTCGTGTTTACTGTGGTGTAAGAAAAGATTGGGGAGGGGGAGGGGGAGAGGGAGAGGGAGGAGGGAGGTTTGGTTGAGTAAGATGGGAGGAGATGAGGTTGAGATGTTGAGAGGGTGGTAAGTGGTGCCGTTGGCGGTTGTACAATGTTCTTGGCTGGGGTTGTACTTCTCCTGCTATGTTAGTGCTTAGGTTGTTTTTGGTCGTGGGTAGGGAGGTAGAGAGGGTGGACTGATAGGTAATAGTAGGATTTGGATCCGAGGGAATGGGTACTGAGTACCTGTACCGAGTATAGTATATTTGAAGAGATGAGGTATAAGGGGCTTTACTGGCTAGCTAGGTATAGTAGTTAATGAGATATTGTGGGTAGCCTTTTTGGGTTTATAGGTCAGGTTTGCGTAGGATTTATAGATATGGATGGAGTGGAAATTAAGTGGTCCAAGGGAAGTTTTCGCTAGCTTGTTTGGAGATGTATACGGTAAGTGGTGAGGGAAAATGAAAGGCGTTCGGTGAGGAGGAATCCTTGGGGTAGTAAGATTTTATATACTAGATGATCGATGTTTTTATGGCGGGGTGAGGTGGGGTGAGGTGGGGTGGGCGGGAGGACTTGGTGTGGGTGGATGTTATGGTGTGTGGTGCGTTGTGGATGAGGAGAGACNGGCGGGGTGAGGTGGGGTGAGGTGGGGTGGGCGGGAGGACTTGGTGTGGGTGGATGTTATGGTGTGTGGTGCGTTGTGGATGAGGAGAGACAGAGTAAATTATAGAGTCTAGACTGGGTTTCAAAGATTCTTGGTTTATTCAAGCCTTTTCCAGAATTGATACAAGGGGGTCTGTACTATCTAAGGTACGCAGGTTTGATTAAGTAAGAAGGTCTACGAGGTAGTTGTTTGTTCTTGTAGACTTGTAGGTCACAGTATTAATACCTCCTTGTGCTGCAGAATGGTTAGCGAAGCGAAGTGCTGTTTGGTGTGAAGCGTGAACTCTTTTGGGGGGGAGGAAAGGGGCAGAGAACGGTACTTTCCACATACTTGTACAGTACAGATTTTGAGTATATGACGCCTGTCAGAATTTATGGTTATGCACGTAGGGATTTAAGGTTTAGACTTAATGTACACCGTGGTCCGTGGGATTAACCTTACTATGTAGTATCTAGATGAGACGAGGATTTCGCATGGATATCAAGAGCTCGAGTGGCGGAGTACGTCTGTAAATCTTCATAAGTCCTTGCAATTCAAAAGCCCCTTGCAACGCTTCATGGTTCCTCTTATTTTGTAGTAAGTCTGCTTGTATATCTTGCGCTCTGTGGTTAATTTCAGGTGCTGTTATTGAAAGGTATATTGATTCGTCTCTGGAGAAGGTTACTTATCGCCACTTAATATGGAGTTCTTGTCTAGAGTATATCCACAAGTATCTCGCCTCTATTAGAGATGGCCCGCTTTCATCTGAGTACATTGGGGAATTGGAAACTTAATTAATGTTAAAACGAGGGTGATGCATGGGCTACTTCTTTCTTACTATTATACAACAAGGAGCCTTTGTACCAGATGCTGAGTTGTTGCTACTTGACTTTGCTTGCAGAAGGTTGAAAATTACAAATGCGTAACTGGTTCCAGCAACGATGGTAGGACATGGCAGTGCCAGACTTGAAGCGTATATTTGGACCCATGAACTGACGAACCCCAGTTGAAGACAGCGATTGGGGTTTCGGTGGTAGATACTGATTTGCTTGCAGGTATTCGGTATGGGAGGTTTGTTAGGGTTGTTTCGAGAGGAATTGAGAATGGTTGGGATGGCACTTTGGAAACGATTCATGGATCTTATGCTATATCATCACTTGCTTCTTTCATTTACTGTGACTTTGTTTTGAGGTTATTTTTGTGAACCAGGTTTTCGGGAGTTTGCTTGGAGAAGGGATTTCGATGAAAGGCTTATATTTTGAAAGATTCAAGGGAAGTTGAGTTAAGCTTCTTGACGAACAGCCTTTGGTGCTTGAACTGATTTGATTGCTATGTAGTAATGTAGGTATCTTTGGAAGAAAACTCTCATCTATTGTAACGAAGTGTTCTCTGTAGAGGATGGCAAAACCCGGGTGATAAGCATTCCTTCTTTTCACCCCCTCCTCGAATCATCCTCTTCCATTAATACCATGTCATATCTACGTACTCATTCATCACTAGTACTTGACCGCTCTAAGTCGAACAGATATTTAGAGACCTTCGGGAACAAGATTTTGGAAAGATGTCCATTAGAAAATCAACTATTTAGCACTTACTTTCAAGACATAAGTTCCCGGTTATTATTTAGAGTCATTCCAAGGCGCGGAATGATCAATTTAGTGATTTGATTGCTTTTTGAATGACTTTGGTTGAACCGAACATTCACATATCAAGGTTTGCATCTCCTGAAGCCTTTTCAAGAGGTCTAGATACAGGATCGTTGTATCAGGTATATATACGCATTTTTCCATGTCTTGGACGGGGTACCTATAAAAAAAAAAAGAGAACTCCAACGCATGGCGACGTCTTGAGGAGAGTACGGAGCATGACCACGAAAGGGTACGGCGGATTTAAATGCCCAAGGATACTTCAACGCAGCGCGATTCTCTTCCGCCAATGAACATATAAAGATAAACAGGTTTGATTGAAGTTGAGTTTGATCGGATAGCAAAATGATCCTCTACATCCTCTCTTCTTTCTAAAACAAACTTGTGGTCAAATCTATACCCAATCCCGTCACTGGACACCCCCAGTTGCATTATAACCACCTGCCATTCTGCATTTTGCATAAAACTATAATCCAGTTAGATCATTCGTCTTAGAAATATACATCCACAACTCTTTCATCACTACTTCCATCGCTACTTCCATTGAAGGATATCAACCTGAAAAAGGAACCAACTCACGGGATTTTTGTAGATATTGCCTCCAGGACTACGACAAACCACCTTTCCGAAGGCATCCGGCCCAAACGTGCAGTCTTCGCACTCAACGTAGTACTGAAAACAGGCTTTGCCGGTCATCGTGTTATTGTATTTGTCCTGTTCGGATATTTGTTAGTAGAGCGTGAAAAGGGAAATGAAAATAGAAAGACGGACATCTACATCTAAGCAAAATGCTACGTTCCATTGGGAACCAACCCCACAGTAGGCACCGGGTGCGAAGATGCCTAGGAGGAGGAGAGGCTGGGTACGCATTCTTTTAGCTCGTAGTAGCGTGGTGATGTTATGTGTTGGTAAGGGTAATGTCGAGAGGAGGAATCAGGGAGAAATTTATAGTCTGTTAGAGTTAGTGTGTAGGTGATATTAATGAATTTAAGTTTAGCATGATATCTGAGAATTGTGTCATGTGTAGTTGTAGCAAAGCCGAGATTTGGTACGAGGATATATCATATTTCTCGACATAGCCCACCTATGTTTGGTACTGGCTGATCATGGGTCGGCATCTACAATTGACACAAAAAGTAAGAAGAAGAAAGCAAAGGCAGTAACTGGTTATTACCTGGAACGTACAGGGTACTTTGCAGTTAACTGAGAAATTTTGGTGTGTTCTGGTTTTATAAAACCGGCAGCGCAGTAATATGTATAAAAATAGTTACTTGACTTACACGCCTTTCTGACAATCTTGTAAAAGGTTCCTCTTGGAGTTACTTTAGTGAACATGTAAGATAATTCTCTTACTAAGAGTTTCAGTTGGTCCATCTGTTATAATTCATCCTATCCTTATGTTTAATTTTTATTATTTTACCATCTGGGGCTAGTACTCGTACGGCATCCCAAATTATGGCAACCTATTGGTATGGTTATAACGATAACGCTCAAATAGCGAATCATAAGCCACAAATACCAAAAGTTATATGTTATGTTTACTGCAACTGATATTACTACTATGCCTATACACCACCTCGCTTAAAGTCAAGGCATTTAAGAGCGCACATACCACTCTTGTATCCTTACCTACTGTCGCATTCTCACTGTCACATCCTTGCTATTACATGGGTTCGCCGTGGTGTAGGTTTTGTGCCCCAGTTTGTTTATGAAGACAGAGGGGGGGATACAGAGAGCAATAGAAGCGGGAAAGGTTTATCTCAGCCTTCAGCCTCTGGTTTTATGAATATTGCCGATTTTGATTCCGACCCCACGATCCCGCCCGACGAAAACGAGAGTAGTAGTAGTTAGTTTCAAGATTATAGCGGAATTACTGAGTTAAGAATCCTTATACACTGGGCTTGCAAGTTTACGCCTCAAAGAGGGTTCTATTGGGCTAATTAAGTTCTAAAATTCTCGCCTCCGTGGTAGTTCGGTTAAATCGGTAGCATATAGAATTAGGAAAAGGTAATATGAAGACAGGAATGGACTTAGCAAGCCTCGCGAAGGCTCTTTCAGAAGAGGTGAGGTAGTGAGTGGATAATACCTGGAAACTATAGGATATTTTGTAATTATTCAAGAAAATTTGGTACGTTCTTGGAGCTAGACAGTACAATGGTAGCAAAAGAAATACCTTGTTCAGACATAGTTTTCCTATGGGTTAAAGGAGATCGTAGAAGAGAGGGTTCTTAGCACGGGCACAAAGTTCATGTTGAGCGCATTATCGAGAATGATGGTACAAAACTTCGGGTACATAAAAAGACGTAGGTAGGACACTGCTTCTGCTCCTATGAAGCAATCTGACCTGAGCAAATGGTTATATACAAGCTTCTAAAAGGAGCAAGATACGAAGGAGTCCTTGTCAGGTAACCGGGTCTAGACACCGAAACGATTATAAAGCTAATGGTAGACGACTAAACTACCACTTGCATTTGATTTTTTTATATGGAGTTTTCGTACAAATTTGATGAAGTTGAAAGCAGTGGTACATCTGTCCGAAAACGGTGGTATTCCTGTCGCCCTATTATTATTTTGACTTGCTCATATGTGGCCCCTCCCCCTCCCTCCCATCTCCTCTGAAAAAGAATCGTTCCACGCCGTTGCACCGACTCTAGTGGAGGTCAGGAAGTTAAGATGTAAAAATTAGTTCCTGAACTACGAATGCTGCCATTTTACGATAGTAAAGTTACCTCTTTGTGACGAAACTACTACCTATGAAGCGAACATTACTTTATGAGCAATTTTGCTTGTAAATTAGTGAGGTGGCACATACGTGGTGGTTTAGTCGCTTACAACGTAGAAATAATGATGTGAGCCATGGAGTTGAGAATCTTCTTCCTTTGTGGAAATTTCACCTACATTCGTAACCACTCTGCGGAAAGTAGAGAAGATGAACTATTGTTATTGTCCCAGATTTCTTGCGGAATATACAATTTCTGAAAGTTCTAAGAGAATCAAAGTGATTGACCCAAAAGATTTCGGTAAATCACCTAAGTTTATCCAGAGAGTCAAAAGAACGAGAGCCATCTATTTCTACTTCAGACATCCACAGAATGCTATTATAGGTAGATTTGGTATAATTACAGAGATTTAATGATATATATCTTTACGGTACCTTTACATAGCATACTTCTTAAGTACGCATATGACCTTGTTCTACACTTCATCTTAGTTGTCGAGATTGTTTCAAAGAATTGAGGAATTTGAAACCATTGACCTTTGGAAATAGTTAAAAGGTCAGTCAAAACTCAACTAGCCTAGCCTCCGCTAAATGCGGACTGGCGTGGTTCACTCTATGGCATAAATAGTCAGGCCAGCCGTTACTGTAGCTTAGCACTTGGTAAATAAGAGACTTCTCCGCCCATAATTTTTGAACTCATTGACCCAGCTATTTGGTATAATGACAATGATTCTTCCAACCTTTTGAAACAATCCTGTTGGATTGTATCAGACGATTATAACAGCAAACGGTACTCACTGTTGTACCTTTTCCGACCATCGTAAGGCATGTACTTGTGGAATCTCACATATAGAACGAACAATTCAATCCTTGGTATGCTTAGTAAGAAATCCGACCTGTTCAACACGAAGTTGGGCTCTACTAAACTCAACTCCGGGGTTTGTAGAGCACTCGTGCTTGCCATGGCTCATGGTGGGCATTGAAGGCAGTAGTAGATATATCTCTTGTTGTTACTTTTCTTTAGATAATTAAATTGGTTATTCCAAAATTTTAGAACAATTAAGACAATTGGCTTAAGCATTTGGAACAACGGGTTTGATTGTCCTAAAACATTGAAACAATCATCTTAATTGTTTGAGAGAGTTCGAATAACTTGGAGTGATTATTCCAGCATCTTTGAGTAATCGACATAATCAACTTAGGCATTGGAAGAACGGGGTTTAATTGTCCTAAAACATTGAAGTAACCATCTTAACTTTTCGAGAGGTTAGAATAACTTAAAGTGATTATTCCAGCATCTTAGAGCAATTGAGAATGTTCACCGGGATACTTCTAACAACCATGAGTTCCGTTATTAAATCTTGAAAAATCATGTCAAATACTCGAAAAAGGCAAAACAACGAAAGCTATTCCTTGTCATTTTTCTGTCCATTGTGCTTGTAAAACATGGGGGGGAGAAAGGCATGTTCACTTCGCAAAAAGAGATTTGAAAGATGAAAATGATATGGCTCAACTACTTAACAAACAACTCACACATGCAACAAATACTATAATGAAAAGAGCCTCACGATTTAGAGCGTCGATGCCGACAACAGTGAAAGTGTCTTTCTTTCCTCGGAAGTTCACGGCCCCATTTCAAGGGTTCAATTTGGCCTAGTGCTGCCACGTGACCCAGTAACCAGCGTGGGCACCTCTCCAAACTCCTGGAAGCTCCGAACCTCATTTTTCCACTCATCCATTCCTCGACCTTCTCAACTCCACTCCATCTTCAACGCTTCAAGATGTTCAGAAGGTGTGTACCTGCCCTCCAATTTCTCCTCTCACTGTCGCCATAACTTGCAATTGGGCCAATTGAGCTAATAACGGTTTCTCCGGTAGCGCCCTTCAAAAATCCGCCTTCCAGGCATCGCGGAGCGCTTTCAGACCAGCCGTCTCTACTGGATTAAGAGCGTCTGGTGCTCGTTTTGCTAGTGACACAGCTCTGCATGGAAAGATTCATCAGGTTATTGGTGCCGTTGTGGATGGTGAGTGATGGAAAATTCTTCCCGACGACAACGTGGAGCTCTGCGACACCTTAAAAAATCCCTTTGCAGAGCTTGGTGGCCAAATTTATCAGACGCTGATATACCCTGATAGTCAAATTCGATACCGACAAGCTCCCTCCAATTCTGAACGCCCTCGAGACGGACAACGGTGGACAAAAGCTGGTTCTTGAGGTCGCTGTACGTCAACACGACCAACGAATTCTTCTATCACGCACTGACAGATACAACAGCAACATTTGGGACAGAATGTCGTCCGAACAATTGCTATGGATGGTAAGGATAGCTTTCCGCGATGGATTCAGGTCAACTGCAGACACTGATGCGCATCCAAAATAGGTACCGAGGGTCTCGTCCGTGGACACCGAGCTACTGATACCGGAAACCCAATCATGGTACCAGTTGGTCCAGGAACACTCGGTCGTATTATGAACGTTACTGGTGACCCAATTGACGAGCGTGGACCCATCAAGCACACCAAGAAACTTCCAATCCACGCCGATGCTCCTCCTTTCACCGATCAATCTACTGCAGCTGAGGTTTTGGTTACCGGTATTAAGGTCGTCGATTTGCTCGCCCCATACGCTCGTGGAGGAAAGATTGGTCTTTTCGGAGGAGCTGGTGTCGGAAAGACTGTGTTCATTCAAGAATTGATCAACAACATCGCCAAGGCCCACGGTGGTTACTCGGTTTTCACTGGTGTAGGAGAGCGAACTCGTGAGGGTAACGATTTGTACCACGAAATGCAAGAGACCAAGGTTATTCAACTTGATGGAGAGTCCAAGGTCGCCTTGGTGTTCGGTCAAATGAACGAGCCCCCGGGAGCCCGTGCACGTGTTGCTCTTACTGGACTCACGTGAGTACAACCCAATCCATCTCATAAGGTTATATTACTATAAAACATGCTAATATTCTCGTTCCTCTGTTCTAGAGTAGCCGAGTACTTTCGAGACGAAGAAGGACAGGATGTGTTGCTTTTCATTGACAACATTTTCCGTTTCACCCAAGCTGGTTCCGAAGTGTCCGCTCTTCTTGGTCGTATCCCCTCCGCAGTCGGTTATCAACCAACTCTTGCAGTAGACATGGGTCTTATGCAAGAGCGTATTACTACCACTAACAAGGGATCTATTACTTCCGTTCAAGCCGTTTACGTGCCAGCCGATGATTTGACTGATCCTGCCCCTGCCACCACCTTCGCCCATTTGGACGCCACCACTGTACTGTCTCGTGGTATCTCTGAATTGGGTATTTACCCAGCAGTTGATCCTCTCGATTCCAAGTCCCGTATGTTGGATCCCCGTATCATTGGTCAAGACCACTATGATACCGCCACCAAGGTCCAACAGATGTTGCAAGAGTACAAGTCGCTTCAAGACATCATTGCCATTTTGGGAATGGACGAGTTGTCAGAAGCTGATAAATTGACTGTCGAACGTGCCCGAAAACTCCAAAGATTCTTGTCGCAACCATTCGCAGTCGCTGAGGTTTTCACCGGTAGTAAGTAATCCTTTAGTGTGACGTATTTGATTTTCTGCTGACCACATAAACAGTCAAGGGTGTTCTCGTTGACCTGAAGGATACTATCCGATCATTCAAGGCCATTATGAACGGAGAGGGTGATGATTTGCCAGAAGGGTAAGTTTAATCAGATATCTGGCACTACAAATCCAAACTAACATACACCCAGTGCTTTCTACATGGTGGGTGATATCAACGCTGCCCGAGCAAAGGGTGAGAAGATCTTGGCAGATCTTGAGAAAGATAATTAGAGAGTAAAATGGTGTAGGGGTTGAATGGATGGGGGCAAATGTGTATAGTTTTTTGCAGCGTTGAATTGGTGCCTGGGGTTTGGCAGCAACTCAAAGGGCTGCGATAGTGTACAGATGGATGGGACGACGAAAAGACTTACATGGACGCCAACATCCTCTCTGGTATCGCATCTCCTTATGTTAGCTTGTAACAGAATATTTCCTCTTTTTAATTCCATGCAGTTTTAATGTTATCTTGTGATTCTTTAAAGAGGTAAATCCCCGTCTATAGATGCTGTAGGTAGTACACTACTATCGGTACGCTACTATTACTAATATAAATTCTAGAACAATCCCTAATTGTTCTAACTACTTAGATAGATTATAGTATAAGTAATTAGACTAAGTACTTAGAATAATTAATTCTATTGTTTAAGAAGTCTACTCGTAAAGTAAAGTCTTAACAAAGTATTTTAGTTATCTAAAATAGCTTAGACAAGTTAATCTTTTAATTAGACTTACGCGAATATAAAAAGAAAAAGTTCTAGAATAATCTTTAAGTATTCTTACTACTTAGGTTAATTGTTTTAATTATTCTAAAACTTTAGGTCAATTAAGTTATTATTATAGTAATTTAGATTAATTATTAGTACTTAGTTTTACTAAAGTGTTTGGAATTATTAATTTTATTTTCTAAGAATTCTCGATAAATTACTTTAGTTTATTTAAATAGTTAGAAGAATTTAGTTAGGTTATTAGACTTAGGTAAATATTAGAATTCTTTTTACTTCTTTTTTTTCAGTATTATTATCGAGTTCTTATAGTTAGTAAATATCTAGAGATTATAGAACGGATATAGGCCGATTAAGTACGTAATATTAATATAGAATAGATATAGGCTAATCGAGTATATAATATTAATTTTTAAACTTTTAATTAAAAATAAGTTACTTATATAGCCTTTACTATTAGAGAAGCTAACTATTATATCTACTAGTATCCTTACCTATTTACTCTCTATTACTATACGAATATTAAGTAAATACTTAGTATAAGTTATAGTACGTACAAGCTAGCCTCAGGGCTAGCTAGGGCGCTAGCGCCTTGGCACTACTATATAATAGCGAGTACCTATAACCTTTACTCGGTATATATATCTAATACTCGAATATAATACTATTCTATTTATACTAATACTTTATCTAGACTCTCTATTAGAGTTAAACTAATACTCTCCTATATTACTATTTAGAGCCTTACCCCCCCTTCTTTTCTCCCGCCCCCCGAGAGTATCCTCCTCTTACCCCCTCTTACTATTATACCTTTTTATTATAGTTTTACTATTATAGTTAATTATAAAGGAAGAAGAAAAGGAAGGGCGAGGGCTTACGAAATTATAGAGGTAGAAGTAGTAATATAATAACCTAGCTAGTTTAGAAATAGCTCTTATAAGCGAAAATATAAAACTCTTACGTCTACTTATAATAGTCCCTAGTCTACCTTCTTTTCTACCTTATATTACTTCTAATAATAGTAGTAATAATAATAATAAGACTAGTTTATATAATAGTTAGAATATAATTGTGACGGTTATGGTCACGAGGGCTGGATGTCACATGCTCGCTTAGCGAGGCGCTAGCGCGCACGACCTGTATTTAGTTCCCAGCTCCCTCGAGCTCTCCTTCTTTCCTCGTCTTTTGTCCTAAGAATAGAGTGTTAATTGTTCTGAGTTCTACCTGAAGCACGTCTGTCACATTACAAAAGACCCTTAGTTGAGGCTAAGTATCCCAGGTCTAAGTTCACGTTCACGTCCAAGTTCAGGTCCACGATCTTACGTCTCAATTCTCACGATTTCTACCACTTTCTTGTGCGCAAGAACCCTACACTTTACAACACGACGAAACCTCTTCTTTTTTCGACTTCTCTACAATGGATGCCCTTCAAGTTCAGTCCGCCATCGCTGAGTTGCAAGCTGAAGTCCAGCGACAGCGCGACGAGATTCACTTACTCCGGTCAAGAACATCCGCAAAGCCTAAACCTTCCCTCCCAGACCCTGACAAATTCACTGGCCAGGCTCATAAATTCGACACCTGGCTTCCCTCAATCAAAGCAAAGCTACGAGTCGACGGTACAGCTATTGGAGACGCTATTGCGCAGTTCTACTACGTCTACCTCAACCTTGACTCCCACGTCCAAGCCATGGTCCTTCCACAGCTCTCTCAAGCAGAAGACACCCAAAGCTGGGACTACCAAACAATCCTCGAACAGCTCGCGCGCGTGTACGACAATCCAAACAAGGTACAGGAGGCGGAAGACAAGCTATTTGCCCTCAAGCAAGGTGCTGACTCAGTCCCTACATATATCGCCAAGTTTGAGCGTGTCCTTTACGAAGCAAGAGGTCAGGACTGGCCAGATGTCAACAAAATTTCCACCTTTAGGAATGGCCTTAATTCTACTCTTCGCGGACGACTTTCTCAACAACTCAACCTACCTCGCGATTATACTACATTCATACGCGTCGTACAACAATTAGCAGGCCGCTTCTCTTCGTCTACACAACCTACACAGTCCTACTCCTCTGGCAACCACCACAGCGAACCAATGGACATAAATGCTTTTAGCATCAATTCCATCGACCCATCCTCTCCTCCACGCGCTCGCTCTATTTCCCCTGAGCGTAGAGATCAATATAGAGCTGAAGGCAGGTGTGTACGATGTGGCTCCTTGGAACACTGGGTCAACGATTGCATACTCCGTCCTTTCTCACCAGGACCACAAGGAAGGAAATCAGCCATAGATTTGGGGGATCTACCAGCTGGGGAGGCATTCCCAAAGCCAGTACGAAAGCAGATTGCAAGACCAGGCAGAGTAGTAATAGCAGCTATGAACGACAATGCTTACGATAGCGCGGAGGTAGATTCGGACGATCTTGACCATCCAGATGCCTGGCAAAAGGTTATTTTTCACAATTAGTTCAGATTTTCAACGCTCGGGGCGAGCTCTTTTTAAAGGGGGTGGTGATGTGACGGTTATGGTCACGAGGGCTGGATGTCACATGCTCGCTTAGCGAGGCGCTAGCGCGCACGACCTGTATTTAGTTCCCAGCTCTCTCGAGCTCTCCTTCTTTCCTCGTCTTTTGTCCTAAGAATAGAGTGTTAATTGTTCTGTGTTCTACCTGAAGCACGTCTGTCACAATAATAGTAGAGTACGATAGTAGTGTATAATAGTAAGGGTATAATAGTAAGGGTATAATAGTAAGGGTATAATAGTAAGGGTATAATAGTAAGGGTATAATAGTAAGGGTATAATAGTAAGGGTATAATAGTAAGGGTATAATAGTAAGGGTATAATAGTAAGGGTATAATAGTAAGGGTATAATAGTAAGGCCTTATATATATTTTATATAAGTTAGTTATAAAAATTAGTTAAATCTAAGTAAATAAATATTAGAATTTAAAATTGTAAATATTACGTGCTCGATTAACCTATGTTCGTTCTATAAGAGATATATATTTATTAGTATTATAAGTATAGCTATAAGATAGATTTTTTATATTTTACTTTTATAAGTACTCTCGGCTTTACTCTATCTAGTAAGTATATTATATAGAAAGTACTAGTCTTATTTCGAACCCTTCTAGCTAGCTATATAGCCTATATATTAAAAGCTACTTCGCTCTTTCTTAGCTAGCTTTTTTCCCTATTATAGTACTTACTTTATTCTTATATTTTACTCTTATCTCCTAATATTTAGTAGCTATAATTCCTTCTAAAATCTAAAGGTCTAAGAAGGGGATAGTGTCACGAATCACATGCTCACGTGATACTTGTCATAATAAAGAGGCGCAACCCTCGACAGGCACATCCAGGTTTCTTATAGCAAATAGGGATTGCTTAGGCCAGCTAAGCGATCCATGGATTTCATTTGGTTGTTGTCACGCGATGGACCCCGATGGATCCAGTAGAACGAAGGTTCTATATAAGACTGGCACTTCTGCCATTAGATAGGAGCTTCGTGCTCAACTTAGTTATCAATCTTATCATATTAGTTTGACATCTTTGATACAAGTAACGAGTTCACTTCCAAGTGAACAACCCGATAGTCTTCTTCTTATCATAGCATACCAACCAGCGAACACCCAGCCAAGTTTAGTTAGCCAGTTTGAGTATTCGTTACAGAAATGTATACTCCTAGGTCGAGTAAAGGTATCTCTATCTTTTATAATGTTTTCTCTATAAGATAAAATCGTATAGCTAAGTAGACTATACTTCTAAGTATTTAAGTCTTAATTAGACCTAGATATTATATCTATATATCTATTTAGAAGTATACGGGAGGTTTTTTTTAGCCCTTTAACGCCCGGAAGGAATAATATCTATATATGTTTATTTACTTATTATAGTACTAGTATATAAGCATTTGTAACCTAGTAACCTACTTATCTTCTCTAAGTATTTAGGCACTCTCGAGTAATTAATGATTACTTCAATCCCTTTACTTACCTTTACAAATACTAGGTAAAGCGGCAGTAATAATGCGCGAGAACTAAGTATATCTTGTCTATTCCGGACAAAATATGGCTATCTTCATCTAACTCTGGCGTTACACGCTACTAGAGAACAATTAATGTTAATCATCGATATTTGCGTCAGCTGTTAAGCTCAGACACAACGTTGGTATATATGCAATGTACAGTGGTTTTAGCTATCTTCCTTTGAATGTTAACTCCAATATATCATTATAAACTCATCTATTACTTTCGCGGCCTGGTTGCGTATAACAAACAGGAATATACTTCTCAAAGAATGCCCGTCCCTTTCAGATCGTCTCCACGCCTTCAGTTGACCACCGACAGAGCACTACTTTCAAAGGAACGCCATCCCAAAATTCATATTCGCTGCAATTGCAGGCAAAACGGACACTACCTTTGAAGTATATAAGTTACTCGCTCTTTCCCACCTGTTACAAAACCCATCCGTTTCTCCCGCCCTTCTCTGCACCCCTGTCTCAGCTTGATCACTTTGTTGGGAATTCCAGTAAAATAAACAAAAACCGCCTCATTTCTATAATTACGGACAACCTCAACTTGGCCTGCAAGACTGGTAAGAAAACTAATAGATATTCGCTTTTACGAATATCCCTCAAGCGGGCTAGTAGATGCCTCAACAAGAACATCTGCCCCCCCCCCTATGGCTCGCTTAGCTCCCGCATTGATCATGCCAAAGTACCTATATGCGTATAC